TCGTGGCCTGTGTATCGAGGTATGTATCGTATCGTGGCCTGTGTATCGAGGTATGTATCGTATCGTGGCCTGTGTATCGAGGTACGTATCGTGGCCCTTGTATCAAGGTATGTATCGTATCGTGGCCCGTGTATCGAGGTACGTATCGTATCGTGGCCCGTGTATCGAGGTATGTATCGTATTGTGGCCTATGTATCGAGGTACGTATCGTATCGTGGCCTGTGTATCGAGGTATGTATCGTATCGTGGCCTGTGTATCGAGGTACGTATCGTATCGTGGCCTGTGTATCGAGGTATGTATCGTATCGTGGCCTGTGTATCGAGGTACGTATCGTGGCCCTTGTATCAAGGTATGTATCGTATCGTGGCCCGTGTATCGAGGTACGTATCGTATCGTGGCCCGTGTATCGAGGTATGTATCGTATTGTGGCCTATGTATCGAGGTACGTATCGTATCGTGGCCTGTGTATCGAGGTATGTATCGTATCGTGGCCTGTGTATCGAGGTACGTATCGTATCGTGGCCTGTGTATCGAGGTATGTATCGTATCGTGGCCTGTGTATCGAGGTATCTATCGTATCGTGGCCCTCGTATCAAGGTACGTATCGCATCGTGGCCTATGTATCGAGGTATGTATTGTGGCCTGTGTATTGAGGTACGTATCATGGCATATGTATCGAGGTACGTATCGTGGCCTGTGTATCGAGGTATTTATCATATCGGCAACTTCTTAACGATACCCAGCCCTAAGATCAGGGGTGCCCAGTACGTCGATTGCGATTTACCAGTTGATCGCAGTGTCGTAGTATTTCCAGGCCAGTCTTGTAGCAGTGCACGGGAGCGCGGGGCGTCTCACTGCAGCCTGTGCGCTCGTCTGGAGCCCACGGACACTGCATGGCGCATCACAAACACACACTCTCTCAGTGCGTGGTTTGTCTGGAACAGTGTGTGCCCTCGTGTACCAGCATGCGTCGCAGGGCAGGTTAAACTTCCTCCCTGTCCATCTGCCTCATGTCACCTCATCGTTCCTCACCTTTTTACACTCTCACTCCTCCCCGAGTACAGCGCACACAGGCTCCCTCCTCAAAGAGCGCTGATGAGAAGAGCAAGGCAAAACACGAAGCAAAAACGAAGTAAAATTTATGTTATAGTGTTGGTACAAAGCAGGTCAACAGCACAGAGCAGACCCTCAGTGACGTGGATGAAGTTGTGTGCACAAATGCGTCTGTATTTGTCACGACGTGCATTTGGTAAATTTGCAGAGGTTACGTCCACAATTTTACAGGCTGAAAAAAATTTGCGTCCCCACACGTGTCCGATCAATAAATATTCACATCCAGACGACACGGAGTGAAAACGGTGTAATACATCTGCCACACCTGTATGTGGTGCTGTAACAATGATAATAATATTTAATAATGCAAATCTCATCGCAGTTTTTTTTTTTACTTTAAGGTAATTTAGCCAATTTTAGATGAATCCCAGAAATATAACCATTTTGTTTTGCAAAAGTTAAACGTAAGTCACAGAAAGAACACTCATATTCCACTGAGTCGTGTCCTTTAGTCCAACAGAAGCTGAACCACATCAGCAGCACAATAGAGAGCTGTTTTTTTGAGCTCAGTTTATGCAAATGAACCATGTGGTTTTAAGTTTCATTTCTGTAAAACGTAAACAAATGTGCTCAAAGCTGTGTGGATAGGGAAGTATTGTGGACACAGAAACGACGTGTCTGGACGCAGATCGTTTCTAAAATGGTGATACACAGATTCGTTTCAGTATAAACATAGTCTTTGTTATTGATCTGTGTGTGTGATCTGTGGTGTGTGTTGTTAGTGTTGGTGCTAACAGTGTGTCTTGGTTGTTGGGCGACAGGAGCGACTCTTTAGGCTGCACCTGTCACATTTTGGCAGCGCTGTTGAAGTCTGTGGAGGCCAATTCGAGGGCTGCGGACTTCGCTGCATCGGAGGACCCTGGTGATGGCGGGATCGTGACGTCATTGTTTTCCAAAATCTGCGGTTTGTTTGTCCCCTCGAAAACGCGCCGCCGCCGTTCTCAGATTCCTCCACTCTGGAACACGTTCTCAAAAAACACTGTTTACAGCCACACGAAATACCAACTCCATGTGGACGAAAGGACAAAACAAATAAAAACTTCACCGTTTTGACCAAAAAATGTTGTCGTGTGGATAGGCCCTGAAACCCTCTGCAAAACCAGTAAGAAAAAGTAACTCCAGCTAGAAACTTGAAAAAAACAGGTTTTAAAATCCTACCCACTTTCTTCACTTTCTTCACAGTTTTGTGTAAAGCGCCAGGGGAAGTTCTCTTACAGAAGAGGTTCTCAAACTGTGGGTGAGGGTCCAAAAAAGGGGCGCAGAGTGTTTCGGTGCAGTACAGTTTGTTTGGTTTTGTAGTAGGTCAGTTGAAAAGTGCGGGCTCCTCTGCTGCCTGAGCCTGACCACGTTTCACCGAAAACACGTCACCAGAATCATCACAACATAAACAGATAAACCGAGGCTTTAATGCGGCGAATTGAACCACTGAAAGTCGTAAAAATAAAAACAAAAACAAACTATTCTGGTTCACCACAGATATTTAATTAATCTCAAAATGAAAACAAAACAAAAGAGAGAGTGTGGATCAGTCTGGACAGAGGAGGATAAGGAGAGTTAGTGTCCTAATCTCTCCTCCTTTTTCAGCTCTCTCTCTCTCTCTCTCCTTCCTCCTCTCTATGACTCTAGGACTTTCTCTTCTCTCTCTTCTTCTCCCTCCAGCTTTTCCTGTCCCTCCTTCTCTCTCACTCTCTTCTCCCTCTTCTTTCTCTCTCTTTCTCCATCTCTCCCTGCTCCCTCCATATCCCTTTCTCTCCTCTCTCTCGTTCCTTTGCTCTCTCCTCCTCTCCCTCCCTTCCCCTATCTCTCGTCCATCCTCTCATCTTTTATCCTCTTATCTCTTTCCTCCTTCTCTCTCTTTCTCTCTCTCCTCCTCTTCTCCCTCCATCTTTTTCTTCCCCCCTTCCCTCCATGTCTTTCTCTTTCTCCTCATTCTCATCCTCTACTCTCTCCTACCTCCCTCACTTTCTTCTCTCTTTCCTTGTCTTTTCCTGCCCCTCCTTCTTTCTCCATCTATTCTCCCTCTCTCTCCACCTCTCTCTTCTCCCTCCATCTCTCTCTCATCCCCCACTCTCTCTCTTTCTCTTTCTCCCTCCTCTCTGTGACTCTCTCTCTCCTCCTCACCTCTTCTCCCTCCGTCTATTCCTGACCCTCCTTCTCTCTCACTGTCTTCTCCCTCTCCTCCCTCTCTCATTCTCTATCTCTCCCTCTCGCTCCTTCCATCAATTTCTCTCTCTCCTTATCTTCTCATCCTCTTCTCCCTCCCTCACTCACTCTTCTCTCTCTCTCTCTTCTTCTCATTTCCTCATCCTCTCCCTTCCTTCCTCTCACTTTTCCATCCTCTCATCGTACTCTATCTCCTTCCTTCCTCTTCTCCCTCTCTCTATCTTCATCTCTCCTTGCCGCTCCCTCCATCTCTCTCTCTCTCCTCATCCTCTACTCTCTCTCCTCCCTCCCTCACTCACTCTTCTCTCACTCCTTCTCTCTCTCCTCCTCTTTTCCTCATCCTCTCCCTCCCTTCCCCTCTCTCTGCCTCTTCTCTTCCCTCTCCCCCTTTCTCTCTCTCTCTCTCTCTCTCTTTATCCTCTTCTCCTCATCCTCTACTCTCTCTCTCCTTGTCTTCTCCCCATCTCTCTCTCTCCCCCTCTCTGTCTCTTCTTCCTCCTTCTGCCCCTCCCTCTGTCTCTCTCTCTCTCCCATCCTCCTTTAATCCTTGTCTCCTCATCCTCTACTCTCTCCCTCCCTCCCTCCCTCACTCACTCTTCTCTCCCTCCTCCTCTTTTCCTCATCCTCTCCCTCCCTTCCCCCTCTCTCTCTCTCCCTCCCTCCCACTCTCTCCTCTTCTCTCTCCTCATTTCTCTCTCTCTCTTGCTCTCTTCTCTTTCCTCCTCTCCACCCTCTCTTCTCTTTTCTCTCTTCCTCTCCTTCCTCTCTCTCTTCATGCTCGTCTCCTCATCCTCCTCTCTCCTTGCCGTCTCTCACTTCTCTTTCTCCCTCTCTCTGTCTCTTCTACCTCCATCTCTCTCTCTCTCTCTCTCTCTCTCTCTCTCTCTCCCCTCATCCTCTTCTCCTCCCTCACTCTTCTCTCTCTCCTTGTTTTCTCCTCCTCTTCTTCCTCCTTCGGCCCCTCCCTCTGTCTCTCTCTCCCTCCCATCCTCCTTTCATCCTTGTCTCCTCATCCTCTGCTCTCTCCCCTCCCTCCCTCACTCACTCACTCCCTCCCACTCTCTCCTCTTCTCTCTCCTCATTTCCCTATCTCTCTTTCTCTCTTCTCTTTCCTCCTCTCCTCCCTCTCTCTCTCTCTTCATCCTCTTCTTCTACTCTCTCCTCCCTTTGCTCCCTTACTCATTCTTCTCTCTCTTCTTGTCTCGTCCTCCATCTCTCCATCTTTTCCTGCCCCTCCTTCTCTCTCACTCTCTTCTCTCTTTCTCCCTCTCTCTGTCTCTTCTACCTTTCTCTCTCCCTCTCTCTCCTCATCCTCTCATCCTCTTCTCCTTCTTCACTCTTCTCCCTCTCCTTGTTTTCTCCTCGTGTTCTTCCTCCTTCTGCCCCTCCCTCTGTCTCTCTCTCCCTCCCATCCTCCTCATCCTCTGTTCTCTGTCTCCCTCCCTCCTCCCTCTCTTCTTCCTCCTTCTCTCCCTACTTCTCTCTCTCTCCGTCTTTCTCTTTCGTGTTCAGAGTCCGACCAGCGCCGATAAAACGTGACTGAGTCCATTAAACATTAACCCCCCTCCTCCCTCCTTCCCTCCCTCCTTTTATCCTCCTCGTTTACCTCCCTCTCTCCTCTTCCTTTGCGTTATCCTTTCTCACTCCTCCCTGTCTCCTTTCCTCTCTCTCTCTCCTCGTCTCCCTCTCCTCCCTCCTTTCCTCGCTTCCTCGTTTCCTTCGACTCAAAACCTTCCATCCCAAACGCTTCACATGGAACGAGGGAGGGAGCGGAGAAAGAGCTATGCAAAAAACCAGGACTGAACCAGGACTAAACCAGGACTAAACCAGGAAAGAACCAGGACTGAACCAGGACTAAACCAGAACTGAACCAGGACTGAACCAGGACCAGGACTAAACCCGAACTGAGGACTAAACCGGCACCGGAGACGAGGACGAGCGGAGCCAAAACAAATCACTGGACACAAAGGAAGGAGACGAGGAAAGGAGACGAGGAGACAAGGAAACGAGGAAACAAGGAGAGAGGAGACGAGGAGAGAGGATGCTGAGGAGGAAGAGGAGTGTGTCTTTCGGAGGATTTGGATGGTGAGTTTAACATTCTGGGAGTTTCTGACAGGAATAACGATGGAGTCTGGGTTTAGTCCTGGTTTAGACCTGGTTTAGTCCTGGTTTAGTCCCGGCTCAGACCTGGTTCGATCGTAACAGTAGTAGTGGTAGTAGTAGTAGTACTTGTAGTATTTTTGTAGTAAATAATTATTGAATGTTGTGAAACTTTCCGTGTGTCTAAAATCATTGACCTGTGTTTTTGTTTCCACTGAAGAATCCTCAGGACCAACTCAAGACCTGGTTTAAGTCCTGGTTTAATTCTGGTTCAGTCCTGGTTAAGTCTGTTGTGGTTTAGTTCCGATTAAGACCTGGTTTAGTTTTGGTTCAGTCCTAGTTTAGACCTGGTTTAGTCCTAGTTTACCCCTGGTTCAGTTCTGATTCAGTCCTGGTATAGTCCCAGTTTAGTATTGGTTTAGTTCTGATTTAAACCTGATTTAGACCTGGTTCGGTCCTGGTTTGGCCCAGGTTTAGTCCTGGTTCAGTCCTGGTTTAGTCCTGATTCAGTCCTGGTTTAGTTCTGGTTTAGACCTGGTTTAGTCCTGGTTCAGTCCTGGTTTAGTCCTGATTCAGTCCTGGTTCAGTCCTGGTTTAGTTCTGGTTTAGACCTGGTTTAGTCCTGGTTCAGTCCTGATTCAGTCCTGGTTCAGTCCTGGTTTAGTTTTGGTTTAGACCTGGTTTAGTCCTGGGTCAGTCCTGGTTCAGTGTTGAATTTAAAACATAATTTACAAATCTTTTCTCACTGAAGCTGCTTTAAAATCTACAAAATTCCTCTTTGTTTTGTTTTATTTTATTTATTTTTTTATTTATTTAATCCTGTAAAACCTCAAAACACCAAAAGTCATGTTTGTGTTTTTGTTTTTGTTTCTGAAAACTCAGGACTAATCCTCGTTTTTCTCTCTGTAGGATCGACAAGTCCACAGTGAGCGCCCTGAGAGCCCGGTGAGTCCCACACATCACCACGGGAGGGAGGGCATCTGACACACACGGGGAGGGAGGGCATCTGACACACACGGGGAGGGAGGGCATCTGACACACACGGGGAGGGAGGGCATCTGACACACACGGGGGGGGAGGGCATCTGACACACACGGGGAGGGAGGGCATCTGACACACACGGGGAGGGCATCTGACTATTTTCTTCATTATTTGTCTCCAAAACCAAAATGAAAAAACAGATAACGATTTGTTTTTGCAGTTTTTGATTTTGTGTTTAAATGAAAAATGGAAAAAATAACGACGACTAAAACCAGGTCTAAACCAGTACTAAACCGGTCACGGTCCCGGTCTCAGTCCCGGTCTGGTCCCGGTCTGGTCCCGGTCTCAGTCCCGGTCTGGTCCCGGTCTCAGTCCCGGTCTCAGTCCCGGTCTGGTCCCGGTCTGGTCCCGGTCTCAGTCCCGGTCTCAGTCCCGGTCTCAGTCCCGGTCTGGTCCCGGTCTGGTCCCGGTCTCAGTCCCGGTCTCAGTCCTGGTCTGGTCCCGGTCTCAGTCCTGATTTCAGTCCCGGTCTGGTCCCGGTCTCAGTCCTGGTCTCAGTCCCGGTCTCAGTCCCGGTCTCAGTCCCGGTCTGGTCCCGGTCTCAGTCCTGGTCTCAGTCCTGGTCTCAGTCCCGGTCTCAGTCCCGGTCTGGTCCCGGTCTCAGTCCCGGTCTCAGTCCTGGTCTCAGTCCTGGTCTCAGTCCCGGTCTCAGTCCCGGTCTGGTCTCGGTCTCAGTCCCGGTCTCAGTCCTGGTCTCAGTCCTGGTCTCAGTTCCGGTCTGGTCCCGGTCTCAGTCCTGGTCTGGTCCTGGTCTTAGTCCCAATCTCAGTCCAGCTCTGGTCCCAGTCTCAGTCCTGGTCTCAGTCCTGGTCTGGTCCCAGTCTCAGTCCTGATTTCAGTCCCGGTCTGGTCCCGGTCTCAGCCCTGCTCTAGTCTCAATCTCAGTCCCACTCTGGTCCCGGTCTCAGTCCGGGTCTCGGTCTCGGTCTGGTCAGCTTGCTTGATGTAGTCCAAGTCCGAACACAGTGAATAGGGAGGATTTACTCGTGTGACCAAAATCCCAAACTCAAGTGACCTGGACACACGAATGAAGTGAATGACTCAAAAAAGCATTTGACACGATTTATTCTCGCCATTCACCTTTGGTCTGAACAGAGCTTAAGGAAAGTTGAATTAACACTGGGGAAAGTTGAATTAACACTAAGAGAAGTTGAATTAACACTAGAGGAAGTTGAATTAACACTAGAGGAAGCTGAATTAACACTAGAGGAAGTTGAATTAACACTAGAGGAAGTTGAATTAACACTAGAGGAAGCTGAATTAACACTAGAGGAAGTTGAATTAACACTAGAGGAAGTTGAATTAACACTAGAGGAAGTTGAATTAACACTAGAGGAAGTTGAATTAACACTAGGGACTAGGGGAAGTTAAATTAACACTAGAGGAAGTTGAATTAACCTCAACTATATCAACTCTGGCAAATAACTCATACCCCCATTTAATTTTCAAATAGTTAAAATAACACTTATTTGTGTTAAAAAACAATTCAAAACCAACCATTTTAACCCACTAGTTTTTGCTGTGTGGGAGGACGGGAGGGCATCTGGCACAGGGATACAGGAGGACAGGAGGACGTCTGGTGCGTCGCCTTGGGGGAGGTCACTTGTCCCTGTCAAACTCATCTATGCACCTGTCATTCAAACCATCCCCCAGAGCTCCACCAGGGGGCGATGTCCAGTAATAACTGTAACTCCAACGAACACGTGTGATCTCTAGACCTCTCTGTCTCTCTGGGGCACCGTGGAACTTTTCTGGTTCTGCTCGTCTCCATGGAGATGTTCCGCAGCGTGGCATTCAGACGGTCTCTGTGCGATAAAGCGCAGGTGGCGGAAAAGTTACACAGTGTGTCTTTAAAGGTCCTGCTGAACAAAATGAACTCTTGTGAGATTTACGCCGTGTTAAAATGTTACACTCTCCCTCTCCTTTTCATCCCTCCATCTCCACTTCTCTATCTCTATCTTCTCTTCATCCCTCTCTCGTCTTCATCCCTCTCTCTTCTTCTTCCCTCTCTCGTCTTCATCCCTCTCTCCTTTTCATCCCTCTCTCCTCTTCATCCCTCTTTCCTCTTCATCCCTCTTTCCTCTTCATCCCTCTTTCCTCTTCATCCCTTTCTCCTCTTCATCCCTCTCTTCTCTTCATCCCTCTTTCCTCTTCATCCCTCTTTCCTCTTCATCCCTCTCTCCTGTTCATCCCTCTCTCCTCTTCATACCTCTCTCCTCTTCATCCCTTTCTCCTCTTCATCCCTCTCTTCTCTTCATCCCTCTTTCCTCTTTATCCTTCTCTCCTGTTCATCCCTCTCTCCTCTTCATCCTTTTCTCCTCTTCATCCCTTTCTTCTCTTCATCCCTCTTTCCTCCTTATCCTTCTCTTCTGTTCATCTCTCTTTCCTCTTCATCCCTTCTCCTCTCCTCTCTTCTACCCATCCCTATACCTCTTATATACCTCTATACCTCTTTCCTCTTCATCTCTCTCTCCTCTTCTTTCCTCTTTCCTCTTCATCCCTCTCTCCTGTTCATCCCTCTCTCCCGTTTGTCCCTCTCTCCTCTTCATCCCTTTCTCCTCTTCTTCTCTCTTTCCTCTTCAGCTCTTGCTCCTCTCTTCTCCCCATCCCTATAACTCTTCATCCCTCTCTCCCCTCCGCCTCCTCCTCCTCTTCATCCCTCTCTCCCCTCCGCCTCCTCCTCCTCTTCATCCCTCTCTCCCCTCCTCTTCCTCCTCCTCTTCTTCCCTCTCTCCCCTCCTCCTCCTCCTCTTCATCTCATTCTCTAATGCTTCTTTTACTTCACCCTCTCTGTCCAAAAGCACAGATTTATTTCTCCTCCTCTTCCTTCTCATCCCTTCATCCCTCTCTCCTCTTCATCCCTCTCTCTCCTCCATCTGTCTCCTGTGTGTGCACGTGTGTGTGTGTGTGCACGTGTGTGTGTGTGCACGTGTGTGTGGTGTGTGTGTGTGTGTGCACGTGTGTGTGGTGTGTGTGTGTGTGTGCACGTGTGTGTGTGCGTGTGTGTGTGCGCACGTGTATGTCTGTGTGTGTGTGTGTGTGTGTGTACGTGTGTGTGTGTGCGTGCACGTGTCTGTGTGTGTGTGTGTGTGTACATGTGTGTGTGTGTGTGTGACAGGAGTGGGGTGAGTCCAAGCACAGAATGTAAACAAGAGGCAACTGAGACCAGGTTTAGTCTTGGTTTAGACCAGGGTTAGTCTTGGTTGAGTCCTGACTGAGTCCTGGTTCAGTCCTGGTTTAGTCCTGGTTGAGTCCTGGTTGAGTCCTGGTTTAGACCTGGTTTAGTCCTGGTTTAGTCCTGGTTTAGACCTGGTTTAGTCCTGGTTTAGTCCTGGTTGAGTCCTGGTTTAGTCCTGGTCTCTCTCACATTAACTTGTGTTTTGTGTCCACAGGAAACAGGAGTCCAATGTGTCTTTATCCAACTGTCCCCCGTCTCCCCCCAGAACTGCCCCACCCACCATCAAGGTAAAAATACTACTACTACTACTAATACTACTTCTACTGCTATTACTACTACTACCTGTTGCTACACAGAATACATTAAGTGTTTTCTTTCTCTTTCTCTTTTGACAGACGGCTAATTTCTTTGGCTCAATGGAAAAACTGCAGGTAAGAAAAAACTGGACTAAACCAGAACCAAACTAGAACTACACCAGGACTAAACCAGGACTAAACCCAGACTTTACCAGGTCTAAACCAAGACTAAACCAGGTCTAAACCAGGTCTTCTGCAGCAGGTTCCTGAGGTGGTCGAAATGAAGTCAATTCCTCAAAGACAAAAGGCACGTTTAATTGACCAATCACAGCCCTGCCTCTTCCCCCATCCTCATATCGACCAGTCACAGTCCTCTGTCTGCCCCCGTCCTCATATCATATCGACCAATCACAGCCCTCCATCTGCCCATGTCCTCATATCGACCAATCACAGCCCTGTGCCTGCCCCCATCCTCACATCGACCAATCACAGCCCTCTGTCTGCCCTTGTCCTCATATCGACCAATCACAGCCCTCCGTTTGCCCCTGTCCTCATATCATATCGACCAATCACAGCCCTCTGTCTGCCCCCGTCTTCATATCGACCAATCACAATTTAACCTTTTTATTTTTTTTTACTTTATTTGTGTTCACTCACCTTTTCATGACGTCCTGAAGTGCTGTACTATAGATTTGCATGACTTCTGGTTAATGGTTTTCTATTACAAAATATCAGTGTAAATGTCTGGCGTAGCTTCATAAATTTGCACCATCACCAAAACTTCAACAAGGTCGGCAAAGGATAAACCTTCTTCCATCCCTGCAAGTTTTTCTGGTCTACTGAAGATATGTCTAAATACATGCATCCCGAATTTCACACTTCTGGTCATTGCGCAATTCACACTGGGAAGGATTTTCCGAAAAAGTGAGCATTAAACCTCCATGTTTGTTTTCCCAGTGGGATGTGTCTATTGTCAAAGTCGATCTTTTCAAGTCTTTTGAACCATATCACTTTTGTTTCTGGTTCTGATATTGTCATATTTTAGTTCTGGGATTCAGACGTAATAATTGTGTGGTTGTTGGATCCTAACAGCGGAAAACGGCTTGAGAAATGTGTTTGCGAACTCCATAAATGCAAAAGTGAATCAGATGTGTGTGACTCAAACCTCCGTTCAAACTGTTTCTCTTCCCAACGGAATTGAAAAATAGTGAAAGGTGAAGGTGATGGACAGGATTGATCCACAGGAGTGAGGTTTGCAGTCACACACATCTGATTCACTTTTGCAGTTATGAAGTTTACAAACTTCCGAAGCCTGTTTTCCGCTGTTAGGATCCAACAACCACACAACTACAATGTACGAATCCCAAAACTAAAATATGACAATATTAGAACCAGAAACAAAAGTGATATGGTTCAAAAGACTTGAAAAGATTGACTTTGACAACAGACGCATCCCACTGGGAAAACAAACATGGAGGTTTGATGCTCACTTTTTTGGAGGATCCTTCCCAGTATGAATTGCGAGATGACAGGAAGTCCGAAATTCAGGATGCGTGTTTAGGAGCTGGACCCCTGAGCAAAACTAACAACGTCACGAAATCAATTTTTTATTTTAATTGAAGTGTCTGAGTGAACAAGTTACTTAATTTTATTTATGACCGTCACGTTAGTTTTGCTCAGTAGTTCACTAATGCGTAGTCGTTGTTCGCCTTTAAGTTTTCGTCTTTCTTACCTTGATAGTCTTGGATAAATTCTTTGTGTTTATCCTTTGTGGATGGTGTTGGTTGAAAATTTGGTGAACAGATTTTTGAAGCTGGTAAAAAATACGCTAGACATTTATACAGAAAAACATAAACCGGAAGTTCCACAAATCTACAGCGAGGCACTTCCGGACATTGTGAAAAAAGTCTGTTTAGATCTTTTATAAATGTGATCTTTGTTTTCTGATCCAGGACGACTATATCCCCTACCCGAGCATCCAGGAGGTACGTCAGAGTCTTATCCCCGTGTGTCAGATGCCCTCCCTCCTCCCTCTTTCCTCGCTCCTCACCTGTGCCCGCTCTTCCCAGGTGCTGCAGAGGGGGGCGCCGTTCCCCCAGGTGGTGCGTCCTCAGTTCGGGGGGTACTGGATCGAGGAGAGCGCAGAGGAAGCGGCCCAAGGGGATTGTGGGATTGAAGAAGCAGGACAGGAGGTGGCGCGGGCCTACAGGAAGTACTTCGTAGGACGGGTACAGACCTCGTCGTATGGGATCTTTAATCTTCTGTAACCCAGACTATTTTATTGGAGAAAGTCATCGAAAATTAAACTAATCGATTGTTTAGGAAGCAGCCTTTTCCTCTCATGTTCGTTAGATTCTGCTGAACACTTGAAACAGAAATAAAGTCCAGATAATTTATTAGAACGCAGTACTTGTACAAGGAGTCTGGGCCGACATTTCCATGCAGAGACTGTACAATGACTTTTATACACAAACTATAGAGGGACGCGTCCTTGGTTTAGACCAGAGTCCTGCACTGGACGGGTATGGACAAATAGTTGCTGAAACAGGCAGGTTTTAACGTTCTGAAATTTTACAGGCGGGTATGCGGGCGGGTAGTGGCTACACACGGGCGGGTCAGGACTAAATCAGGACTAAACCAGGACTACACCAAGACTACCGTATTTTCTGGACTATAGGGAGCACTCTTAAGCCTCCAACCCCATCAAAAAACAACTATGCGCCCCACAATCCAGAGCGCCCTATACAAGAATCCACTCAGGTGTTCCAACACGACTTCAGTAAACTACAAAGCCGCACCACCCGCAGAACACTCAAACACACACGGAGCAGACAGAGACCGCACAGCGAAAAACACCCACAGACACACTCATCACTCCACGCCGACGAGGAACGGAACGGAGGAACGAACCGAAAAAGCGAGTGCAATGTGCCACTTCTAGACACAACTGAACAACTGAGTCACTGCGAACACGCCGACAATCCGTTGGTCCCAGACACACCCTCCCTACACGCCACAACTGAACAAAGCCCAGAGTCACCGTGAACTCCACAAACAAACAAAACCACCCACCCATCCAACTGTTGGGTTTCCTTTAAAGTCCCACGTGGTTTATTTGTGAAAAAAGTTCGAAAATAGACCATTTAATGACAGTGCACCTTATAATCTAGAGCAACTAATAGCCCGGAAAATACGGTAATAAGGCCATATTTTGCACTAATTCATTAGCTATTGTCTTCCAATTAAAGTAGTGGAGATTACAATAGATGTTTTTATGCATACACTGAAATCTTAATAAGCATTATTAAAAGTTTGATTAATACCGACTAATAGCTAATAAACTGTTTTTTAGTATAGCAATTACCACTTAGTTAGCAATTAATATGTGGTCCCTAAACTAAAGTGTTACCAAATTTGTACATGTCATTTTGATGCCTAACTTTGAACACTAATAAGTGAATAAAGGTTTATGTTTTATAGGCATTAATTTTACCTCATCTAATGCTCGCCCTGACTCTTATATATACTACATTTTTTGTGACCGATAAAATTAGTAGCTCTCTGGCATTTTCATTTTGTAAAAGTAGCTCACTGGATGAAAAAGTTTGGAGCCTTATAATCCAGAGCACCTAATAGCCCGGAAAATATGGTAACTTGTTCACTCAAACGGATTTATGAAGACATTTACACACACATTTTGCCACAGAAAACCATTAACTGGAAGTTCCGCAAACCTACACTTCGATCGTTGTGAAAAAGGTCTAAAGAAAGTATGATTGTTGAAAATCACATTCTGTGCAGAGGATGAGATGCAGGTCTTAAGGCTGTTGTTCTTCCTCCGTGCTTTTTAGACACAAGAGCTGAGCTGTTCGGTCTCAACTAAATCTCAAATTGAAAGTTAATTTGAAAAAGTGACTAGTTTTAGGTTTTAAACTGATGCATCTCTCCAGCTCTGAGTTTCCTTTAGTCCTGTGCACAGTTTGATGTTGGGCTTTTATTTTGTAGGAGCACCTGAACTTCTGCAGTCCCTTTGGCGCCGCGGGGCCCCTCCTGCTGTCTGTGAGACACGAGGCCGGTGACCAGGAGTTTTTACACGTCATCATCAGGTAAGACCGAGACCAGGACTAGACCAAAGACCAGACCAAGGACCAGACCAGGACAGGACTAAACATGTCATCTTTTCTGTTTCTTTCAGGTCTAAAGAGAAAAGCATTTACCATCGCCTGTCTCTGAGCGAAGTCCCAGAAATCCCTAGTGTCCCTGAACTGGCCCAGGTCTCACACACACACACACACACACGTCACACACACTCATATCCTCTTTTTTAATTCTCTAAATCTGTTCTTATTCCATGTTTTTGTGTTGCAGCTGCTGAACCCAGAAGCCGGGACTCAGCGCTTCTACCCCGTCCTCTTCCCAAAGGTCAGAGTCCTCATTTTGGTCTAAAAATTGTTTCAACTCACTCTACATGATCCTGGGTTTTGATTTAGCGATTTTATTTCCGTAAGATATAAATATTAATTATTTATATCTCCTGCAAGCACTAGAAACAGGTTTGATTGTCAGAGATGCTAAGCGTCCTCTACTTGATAAACCAGCAGGAAGAGGCCTTCAGCAGCCTTGCTCCGGATTGGCTCTTTGGTTGCTATGATATTAAGGATGGGAAGTCCAAATATGGAAATTGGCCCCAAATTCACCGTGTAATTGCAAGCCTTGATGAGCTTCATTTGACTGAAGCCGCTCTGGGTGATGTCACAATCCGTGTATCGTTCGTTCATTCGTTTTTCAATATATAATCAAAAATAAGAAAATGAAAAAACATCTATTTTCTTCATTATTTGTCTCCAAAACCAAAATGAAAAAACAGATAATGATTCATTTTTTTCAGTTTTCGATTTTGTGTTTAAATGAAAAATGGAAAAAAAATGGATAACGACCGTTTACGAGACTTAAACTATGATGCTGGACTGAAACAGGACTAAACCATTTTCAGTCCTGGTCTGGTCCTGATTCCGGTCTCAGTCCCAGTTTGGTTCTGGTTTGGTCCCGGTCTCAGTCCTGGTCGCAAGTATTGGTCCTGTTCCCGGTCTCAGTCCTGGCCCAGTCCTGATCCCAGTCCTGGTCTGGTCCCTGTCTCAGTCCTGGTCTCAGTCCCGGTCTCAGTCCCAGTCTGATTCTGGTCTGGTCCCGGTCTCAGTCCTGTCCCAGTTCTGGTCCTTTTCCCGGTCTCAGTTCTGGTCCCAGTTCTGGTCTGGTCCCGGTCCCGGTCTCAGTCCCAGGCTCAGTCCTGATCCTGGTCCCGGATTCAGTCCTGGTCTCAGCTTCGGTTTGGTTCCGGTCTGGTCCTGGACCTGGGTTAGTCCTGGTTTAGTCTTGGTTTAGTCCTGGTTCAGTCCAGCATCTCATTTTAAGTCACGTAAACGGGAAATGGCTGTTATCCGTTTTTTCCATTTTTCATTTCAACATAAAATCAAAAACTGAAAAAATGAATCATTATCTGTTTTTTCATTTTGGTTCTGGAAACAAATAATGAAGAAAATAGCAGTTTTTTCGTGTTCTTATTTTTGGTTTTATATTGAAAAACGAATGAATGAACGACACACGGATTCATCACACTCATTTGGTTCACCTCCTCACACAGTCTATGATGTTTTATTGCAGCTGCACGATAATAAACATGTGTTATCAGATAAACGTGTATTTGTCCCACATGTGGAGCTGGATTTTAAGACCCCCAGAGTGTTTTACAGAACCATTACATCATTCTTCATTCACACGTTAAGATCCCTGATTGTTTTGTTTTTGTTCCAGGCGTCTGAACTCATCGTGAACTTCGACGAACATGAAGTCAACAGCACCTTTAAGTTTGGAGTGATTCTGCAGAGGTTCGGACAGGTCAGAGTTAAATGTAATATAATTGTTTAATATCAGATATAAGCTGTGATTGTGGGTCTTTAAAGAATAGGTATTATGCAATTTTTTTTATTTTTTTTATATGTCATCCATGCATGTTTGAGTAATCTAGCCCACAAGGTTACGTCATCCATGCTCCCAAAAACATGATATAAAACTAGGGTGACCAGACGTCCCTAATTACTGTGTCTCCTGTCCCAGCAGATTTATCCAAAACTACTGATTTGTCCCTGTTTTATACAAGAAATGTCCCAGGTGTCCTTATTTTTGACAAATTTGATCCCACCCGACAGTAAAAAGAGGCATACGTTGTCATTTGTTTAGGTGAAATACTAAAAAGCTGCTTAAAAATAACCAAAACACGAAGAAAATGGCTCACATGTTAGTCACGAATGGGCCAAGTGCAACAATTTTTTTTTAATTACATGCTCGTTTCACAATTTTATTATTACAAATCACTAGGGCTGTAACGATATCTAAGTCTCATGATACGATGTCGTCACGTTATGAACCTCACGGTTCGATATTTATTGCGATATCGTGGGAAAGCTCACAATATGGTGGGAGGCTCATGATTAGGGATGTAACAATATCCAAATCTCTCTGTACGTTATTTTCACAATAAACATCTCACAGTACGATATTTATTGTGATATTTTGTGGAGGCTATGCGACTTTTTCCTCTTAAAATGCCTTGACAAAACTTAATCCAAAGAACTAAGACTTAAAAGTGCTAGAACTGTTATTTCTTCTTGTAGTCTGCACTGAAACGGAGCAAAGGATCATGGTCTATGTCAGGGGTCGGCAACCTGCGGCTCCTATAGCACTCCCCTAGTGGCTCCCTGGAGCTTTTTCAAAAATGAGTGAAAATGGAAAAGGAATGATTTTTTTGTTGTTGTTGTTTTAATCTGGTTTCTTTAGGGGTAAAACCCTCGTTCATCTCTGGTCATGGATCTGATCCATCAGCTGTGTGCAAATGCAAACACCTGAAAAGTGTTTCAGCAGAACAAATAGATGAGCTGAAGCGGGGGTGGTGTCCGGTTCCTCCACCTGAGAAGCGCTTTCCCCGCAGCCCCGTCTTGAGGGGCTAAGCACTGAGTGCTCCCATGTGTTTAGTGCTGCTGCCCGAGTTCAGAGCTTCTGCTCCGGGTTTATTTTCTGAGTGCTCCTATGCACGATCAGAAGAAATGCGACTGCTGCTCTGAATACTTCCATCATCATCGTCAAAGCAACAGGTAAACGTCGGTCACACTTTCAGCGCGTCAGCTCCTAAAACTCAGTTTATCTCAGTTTACACGCAAATGTGAAACCAGTTTTCCAAAATCTCCACTCTAGCCGGAGTTTTTAGAAAGATTTGTTTTCAGAGGCGATTTAACGTGTAAACGATGTGAACAAACTCAGGGAAATGTCTCAGTTTTTAAAAATACCCGTGTACATGTAAACGGGGCCTAAATGACAAAGGAATAAACACTAACCACCTGATTTCAGTGGCTACAGACGGCGCACCGAGTATGAGAGGGTCACAAAAGGGGTTTGTGTAATCATGAATGCTCATTTTGTATTTGTAGCCTACTTAGTCATTTTAATAGTCAGTTTATACAGCTAATATACTGACAGCCTGTGTTCCCTTCATATTAGGTTTATATAAGGCTTTTCATTTTTTGCGGCTCCAGGCAGGTATGGTTTTTGTTTTTTTGGGCCAATATGGCTCTTTGAGCATTTTGGGTTGCCGACCCCTGGTCTATGTAGTTCCCTCTGTGTTTTTTGCACCATAACTCTTCATTTAAGCAAAGACACTTGTAATTCGATAAATTGTGACGCTCCACGATATTATTGTGAGAACTTTGACGATACGATCTCACGATATTTCGATTATTGTTACATCCCTACAAAACGGGCATCCCAGTTTTTTATTTTGAACATTTGGTCACCCTGTATAAAATTATAAGCAACAACTTCACAAACCTGATGCAATGTGTTGTAGTTTCATTAATACATTATTTTGTGGTGAATATAACATTTCAAAACAATAAAAGATAACACGGTGATCTGTTGTGTGTTTGCAGAAAAAAAAAACTCATAGAATTAAAAAACCTGCTCTTTAAACCATTAAGTTTGTGGTGTTTGTTTCAGGTGACCGAGGAGGAGCTGTTCAGTAACACAGAGGAGACCGAGGCCTTCAAAGAGTTTCTGTCTCTGATCGGACACACAGTGGAGCTGCAGGACTTCAGCGGGTCAGTCCTGGTCTAGTCCTGGTTTAGGCTTGGTTCAGAGGCTCTCTCTCTCTCTGGTCTCTGGTCCTGGTTTAATCCCAGATCAGGCCTCTCTCTGGTCCTGGTTTAGGCCTGGTTCAGATCAGGTCTCTCTCTGGTCTCTAGTCCTGGTTTAGTCTTGGTTCAGATGCTCTATCTGGTCCTGGTTTAATCCCGGATCAGGCCTCTGTTTGGTCCTAGTTTAGGCCTGGTTTAGATCTGGTCTCTCTCTGGTCTCTGGTCCTGGTTTAGTCTTGGTTCAGACACTCTCTGGTCTCTGGTCCTGGTTTAATCCCAGATCAGGCCTCTCTCTGGTCCTGGTTTAATCTTGGTTGAGACGCTCTCTCTCTGGTCTCTAGTCCTGGTTTAGTCTCAGGTCTCTCTCTGGTCTCTGGTCCTGGTTTAGTCTCAGGTCTCTCTCTGGTCTCTGGTCCTGGTTTAGTCTCAGGTCTCTCTCTGGTCTCTGGTCCTGGTTTAGTCTCAGGTCTCTCTCTGGTCTCTGGTCCTGGTTTAGTCTCAGGTCTCTCTCTGGTCTCTAGTCCTGGTTTAGTCTCAGGTCTCTCTCTGGTCTCTGGTCCTGGTTTAGTCTCAGGTCTCTCTCTCTGGTCTCTGGTCCTGGTTTAGTCTCAGGTCTCTCTCTGGTCTCTGTCCTGGTTTAGTCTCAGGTCTCTCTCTGGTCTCTGGTCCTGGTTTAGTCTCAGGTCTCTCTCTGGTCTCTGGTCCTGGTTAGTCTCAGGTCTCTCTCTGGTCTCTGGTCCTGGTTTAGTCTCAGGTCTCTCTCTGGTCTCTGGTCCTGGTTTAGTCTCAGGTCTCTCTCTGGTCTCTGGTCCTGGTTTAGTCTCAGGTCTCTCTCTGGTCTCTAGTCCTGGTTTAGTCTCAGGTCTCTCTCAGGTCTCTAGTCCTGGTTTAGTCTCAGGTCTCTCTCGGGTGTCTGGTTCTTGGTTTAGTCTCAGGTCTCTCTCTGGTCTCTGGTCCTGGTTTAGTCTCAGGTCTCTCTCTGGTCTCTGGTCCTGGTTTAGTCTCAGGTCTCTCTCGGGTCTCTGGTCCTGGTTTAGTCTCAGGTCTCTCTCTGGTCTCTAGTCCTGGTTTAGTCTCAGGTCTCTCTCGGGTGTCTGGTCTTGGACAGGTTCCGGGGCGGTCTGGATGTGGTCCACGGTCAGACCGGGTCTGAGTCGGTCTACACGGTGCACAGGGATCAGGAGGTGATGTTCCACGTCTGCACTAAACTGCCCTACAGCCCCGGAGATCCCCAACAGGTATGACCTCTGACCCCCACGTGACCCCTGTATGACCCTTGAGTGACCCCTGTGTGACCCCATGTCCTCTGCGGGTCAGAACACTTTTGAACCTTAATCGTTTTGTCAGATTTTCTAACTGAGCTCAGATACTTCAGGTGAGTGCTGTAGTTGCCATAGTAACTGGACTTTGGACAAACCTGAAAATAGACTCGAAAATAAATTGTTGTACTGATAAATATTCGCTCGGCATCTGTGAAAGTTTTGTATTTAAACTGTTAATGAAAGTTATAAAACAGAGAAGGGCTTCATGCTCAAATACTTTAGTTTTTAGGATTAAACTGTGAAAAAGTCAGACGTGACCCAATGCGTCTCAGTTCAAGAAAACAGCTTCAAGTACAGAAACGATGCAAATTCAAAAAGTTTAAAGGGCCCATCTCATGCAAAATCAACTTTTCAGAGCTTTCTACCTTCTAAGAGTGACGTGTGGGCCTTGTATTTGTCGCTGAAGTGTTTTTTAGATTGATTATGCATTTTTTTTTAACAAATTGCAGTGTATTTCTGCCACCCTCCCACGTGACTACAAACTAAAGCTGCTACAACGATGATCTGACGTAGCAGAAAGCGCTTCACACCTGTGTTTACCTGTTGTACACTTGAGTGCACCTAATTCGTTTTTTCCATTTAACTTATTTAACTCATTTAGCTTATTCAACTTATTTAACTTATTCAGTTCATTTAGTTCAACCAATTTAGCTTATTATAATATAATAATAAAACTCTTCCTCATCAGTGGGTGTTCAGTATTTGTCACCTTGGTTACTTTCTTGGTTATTCAGTCTCTGGTCCTTTCACATTTAGACACTGCTCTGTAATCTGGTCAAGTGCCTCAAAAAAGGATCTTGTCAAACTTCAACTAATCCAGAACAGGGCGGCTCGTCTGGCTCTGCGCGGCCGGTTTAGGACCAGCGTGAGCGTCGTGCATGAGAGGTTCCTGGTTTACTGTTGAGGACAGATTTACCTGTAGCCTTATTTTGTTTTTTTAAAATGTCTGTATTTTACAAAGACCGTTGAGCCTGTTTGTACAACTACTGCCTTCTAGTGGTCGGCAGGTTTTATCACAAGACAAGCTTCACGTGGACATTTTATATTTCCACTGCCCAGGACTAATGCTCTGAAAAGAAGTGTTCTGTACAGAGCGATACTGCTTTGGAACACGCTCCCCCAATCCTTAACTGTTCACAAGAATGAACCAAGTTTTAAGAAAATGTTAAAGAAATATATTGGAAATTGTACAGAATTATATATAGTCACTATTGTGGACTGTATGAACTTATGTGTGAACGTTTTGTTATTATAATGGAAAATTTTATTGTAAATTATGCCAACTTGGACCCCAGGAAGAATAGTCTTTACCCCAGTAAAGGCTAATGGGGATCCAATAAATAAATAAATAAATATATTGCATCTTGGAAAAGAAGACTGAAATATTTCAAAGGACTTGCCTGAGCAACATTCAGATTTCGGGGCAATTTTGGTTCATAATCGAGTATAAAGTCCCCGATAGTTTGTTCAGATATCACAGGACTTCATACAGACGCATCACTGGCATTCTCACCTTAGTAAGTTTCACTCTCTGAAAGTCCGTCGCTATCGCAGTTTTCCACTTTATAATCAACTTCATCATCACTTTGAAATCAATAGAAGTCACTTTCTCTAAACTTATCCATAAAATACACCCGCTCCTCATTATTTCTAAAACTGCTCGTGTCCATTGCTCGTGTTTTGTGTTGTGTTTTTTCCGGAAGCTACAATCGTCACTACTTCGATTAATTTCGGGGAAAAAACTGCGAAAACATATCCTTGGTCAGTCTAGTGTGCGCTGTAGTGGCCCCACCTATCACAGTCTCTGTTTACATGTGAAAAACCGAGCCGTTTCTAATGGTCGTCAAATCACGTCTTTAGTGAAACAGCGAAGGTGTCAAAACATGTCATTAAGGAAACAACGGGGTCACCAAATGTCGTCTTCATGGGGGAAAGAGACTAAAACACTATGAAAGGGACTTGTTATAAATCTTTTTATGGGGGGGCAGATCACATTAAAATAAAGATCAGATTAAAGCCTAACAAAGTTTCAGACAACGCAGTGCCCCCAGTTAGCACTACACGTCCAGGGAATGTCAATTACGTGAGCTGCAATTCCCGTTTAAAACCTGAATCCTGTTTGTCCGGTCTCAGCTGCAGAGGAAGAGACACATCGGGAACGACATCGTGGCCGTGGTTTTCCAAGAGGAGCCGACGCCGTTTTCCCCGGACGTCATCGCCTCCAACTTCCTCCACGCGTATGTGCTGGTGCAGCCACAAGAGGGCGACGTCTACAAGGTCAGAGGAGGGTGAGGGAGAGGGGAGAGGGAGGAAGGGTGAGGGAGGAAGGGTGAGGAGAGGGCAGGAGAAGAGAGGAAGGAAAACGAAAAGTGAGGGAGAGAGGAGGAGCTGATGATTTGTGCTGACGTGCAGTTCTCCTGTCGTCCACCAGGTGTCAGTCACGGCTCGAGAGGACGTCCCTCCCTTTGGCCCCTCGCTGCCCCGCCCCCCGTTCTTCCACAAGGTATTTACATAACAGTCCAAGCGCCCTCTGCTGGTCTACACGTGACACTAACCCTTCGTCTTCTTGTCTCAGGGGTCAGAGTTCAGGGAGTTTCTTTTGACCAAACTGATAAACGCAGAGAGAGCCTGCTACAAGAGCCAACGCTTCGCCCGCCTAGAGGTGAGTGACAAACAGCCACACGCTCTAACCCCGCTCCTGCTGCGTTCAGGTGTCCTCGGGAACTCAGGAAAATGTTTTCTCGAGTTGAAAAATGCACCTGAACCATGGACTGTGTAAAGAAGTGGACTGAGTGAGTGTGATTGTTAAATTGTCGATATAAAAGAGTCATAATTTTCAAGTTATCAACCTGAATCTTGAACAGGACTGAAAACAAGACTAAACCAGGACTAAACCATTTTCAGTCCTGGTCTGGTCCCAGTCTCAGTCCTGGTCCCGGTGTCAGTCCCAGTCTTAGTCCTGGTGTGATCCGGGTCTGGTACTGGTCTGGTACTGGTCTGGCACTGGTCTGGTACTGGTCTGGTCCCGGTCTCAGTCCCAGTCTGGACCTGGTCTGGTCCTGACCGCAGTCCCAGTCTCAATCCCGGTCTCATTTCTGGTCTGGTCCCAGTCTCAGTCCCGGTCTGGTCCTGGTCTGTTCCTGGTATTGTCCTGTTTTCAGTCCCAGTCTCAGTCATGATCTCAGTCCCGGTCTCAGTCCCGGTCTCAGTCCCGGTCTCAGTCCCGGTCTGGACCTGGTCTGGTCCTGGCCGCAGTCCTCGTCTCAGTCCCGGTCTCAGTCCTGGTCTCAGTCCCGGTCTCAGTCCTGGTCCTGTTCCCAGTCTCAGTCCCAGTTTCAGTCCTGGTCTGGTCCTGGCCGCAGTCCTGGTCTCAGTCCTGGTCCTGTTCCTGGTCTGGTCCTGGTCTGGTCCTGGTCTCAGTCCCGGTCTGGTCCTGGTCTCAGTCCTGGTCCTGGTCTCAGTCTCATTCAGACTCAATCATAATTTTCAAGTCATCCACCTTTAAGAGTAAAATGTGAATATTATTGAACAAATCTCCAAATGACAACAGTATTTTTAATCATCATCACAGTAAACGGGGAGACTCAGAACGTCAAAAACAAAAGTGAAACGTGTTAATTATGTTAACACATTATTTTCACGAGAATAAACTGTTGCATTTTCAAAACAATAAAATGTAACATGATTTAAATATGTCATGTGTTTGCTGTTAATTCCCCCACTGAATTAAAAAAATCGCTGTGTTGTTTTTGTTTTGAGGAGCGGACTCGTGCGGCGCTGCTGGACTCTCTCCTGGACGAGCTGCAGACCCGCTCCCAGTGCATGCTGGGAGTGGGGCCCCAGTGCCTGATGGGAGTGTCGGAGGAGGAGGAGGGGCGGAGTGAGAACGGACACACCCACGGACACGCCCACGGGGGCCTGCTGGAGTCACTGAAGGTGAGCTCCTCCTGCTGGACGTGAGGAGGAGGTTCACCCGCCTCCTCACCTGTCAATCACACTGCTGAGGCGAGAGAGAGCCAATCAGCAGCATGCCTGTCTGTGGTGGGCGGGGTTAAACAGACAGGGGCACAATCGGAGGGTTTCAGTCACGTGATCACGATGATGTGCGAATTTCAGGTGGAGGGCAGGAAGTGAAGACAAACACGACAAACACGGCTCTGGAGAACACAGATATGGAGAAGAGTTCTTATTGTAAGGATTTTAGAGCCAGTAGCGAGGCAAAAGTACGAGCAGTTAGTCGACAAATATATTGGGCGTGACCCTGATCTTATTGAAAATGAGAGAATTTTCAACCGAAGTTAAAGATTTGCCGACAATTGAGGCAGAGGAGATCACCAACTATTTAGCTCTTCAGACATCGTTCTACACCAGACAACAGATGAAGGCAAAGTACAAAAGTTTGGAGACATAGAACTTTTTTTGTCAGTGGATGGGTCCTCAACCTTGGTGCAAAACGCCTAAATGATGATTATGGTTTGGTCTTTGCCAGGGTGAGTGTTTCTCTTAGTTTATGTGTATAGACTGTTATGGAAAAACTGCAGTGTATTGGCAGTAACCTCTATCTGAACTATTTAATGTCAACAAACGTCGTTAGCCGTTAGTCATTAATGATTCGTTTATGTTTAGGTAAACCACAAAAAACTATTTATCTTTGTAACAAACCTTTGACGAAGTGGTTCACTGCAGACACGAGCATTAGCGAATTCTGCTCCTCCCGACCGCAAACAGGTTTGTAATCCACTTTACGGCGTTGTTCTGTCAGCTTTTCCCATTTCTGACCTTTGTGGACGACTATTTTCGGTACTCTAAAAAAATCGCTTTTCCTTCTCTCGATTAGAACGATTGGCACAGCCTGTAAACTACACAACACATGGGCATTTTCCTCCAGTCAGTTCACTTCCTGCCCTCCATCTGATTTTGCGTGCTGACAAACGTAGCCCTGTGACGTCACATGAAACCCAGATATTCAAGAGCTGTCAGAAGTTTTATTTAAAGTCTCTGTACTTGATCTTTACTGTCCCTAAAAGCAGAATTAGTCCATTTTAAACGGTTTGCAGTAGGGTTGTCTCATTCTGATCACGTAAGTGCGGACTCGATTCGAACTCAACTGTTATGGTCCGATCAGGTATCGGATAAATAATATACATATATATCACACAGGACACACAGCACACAACATTTTTTTTGTTTTGTTTGTTTTTTTTAACTGACTTGCTCAGGGACGTCCACTTTTGGGCCGGTGTCGTGCTCGGGCGCTGTTACCTGTTACACCTGTGCGGTCGATGGCCTCGTCACATGGCGCTGTTTGTTTGCATGTTGCACAGTGGAGCTGGCGCTTTTAGCAGAGAGGGTCCGTCCAGCGGCATGGAGTGTCTATTGAGCGATGGGACTGATGTTGCGGTGTGCGCGCCGCGGTGGGTTTGTGGATGTTGGGGCGGCTGGGGGAGTGAGGCTGTGGGGCTCTGTCATCTTGTTTTTATTTGGTAAGATTTTGTATTATTTGGATTTCATAGATGAGCCTAAATGTTTAATATGTAAAGCACAGGCTTCCATATAATATCAAATATACAAACTGTAGATTGTGCAGAGTTGAGTCTCAGGTCTGATCTGGTTGTGGTCTGGTTCCTGTTTTGTCCAGTTCATTAAGTTTACTATGTTACACATTCCAAGACCAGATTGTGAAAAGTCAAGATTTTCAATCATGGTTCATGGTTTGAAAAGTTAATATAATTAAAGTTTTGGACATTTGATTTTTCACAAGTACTACACATGAAATCAACACAATCTGATCCCCCAAACATCCTGGATCTTATGCTTTGCTCTTAGTTCATTGTATAGTGTATTATAGAAGTATCGGATTGGGACTCGGTATCGGCAGATACTCAAAATCAAATGACTCGGACTCGGATTCGAGGGTAAAAAATGTGATCAGGACATCCCTATTTAGAAGTGCTCAGAACTGTTATTTCTTCTTGTAGTCTGCACTGAAATGGAGCAAAGGATCATGGTCTATGGAGTTCCGACTGTTTTTAAAGCTACTGCTGAACCAAAACTTAATTTAAGGATTTAAGAGTCTTGTAATTCGATACATTGTGATGATCTACAATGTTATTGTGAGAACTTTGATGATACGATATCATGATATTTCGGCTATTGTTACATCCCTATACTTCAGGGGTGGGCAATTATTTTTTCCATGGGGCAGAAATAGAAATATTGTGGAGGGCCAAGGCCAAAATCCTGCATAATATTAACTGTGTGTGTGTATGTATATATATATATATATATATATATGTACAAATAAAAAGCAGTAAATGTTTTGACGAGCTGATCAGACTGCTAAGAGTTTATGCTACGACTAAGCAATGAAAAAGTGAGACTGATGATAAACTGAGGCTATAATATAATAAAAAAACACATCTAAAATAAAAGCAATGCAGCTTTAGTCTATGCATGAGGTAAAATTATAAAGTAAGTTTATTTTGTAATTCCAAATGGTCTTAAAGAGTCAACCCAAGGGCTGTACGTGGGCTGGGAGCTGCACAATGCTCAGGTCTGATACACACATCTGTCTCATTTTGACCTCAACAGCTGCTTATACATAAATAATTCATCTGTACTGCGGCAAGACACATTTTGCTCAAACACGCGGTAAAAATCTGGATTTTGGTGAAGATATTTCTGCATGAGCCTCGTGTCTGTTTTGTTTCTCTCAGAGGGCGATGAGGGGTCGCAGCGTCTCCATGGAAACGATGTCGAGAGGCCGATCGGAGATGCCGTCCAGTCTGAGCGTCTCCAACGAGGTGTGTGTCAGATGCCCTCCCTCTCTCCTGTACACCTGTGTGTGTCAGATGCCCTCCCTCTCTCCTGTGTCCCTGTGTGTGTCAGATGCCCTCCCTCTCTTTCTCCTGGCATGTGTAAAATCCCTCAGTCGTTCAGGTAGAATCCAAGACAAAGAGAAACTCAATTTGCCAACTGGATAAAAAATTTTTGGGGGCAAATACGTTTCTCGGCTCATCCAAGCTGCTTCTTCAGTTCTGGTCAGTCAGGCCAATAATGGAAGCTTTTAAATTTGGTTTGATTTGAAAGTTAAATTCAACAGGCCAAGCTACAAACAGAAAGAGTAAACAAGTAGGTGTGTTAGGCTACGTTCAGACTGCAGCTAGGCCTGTAACAATAATCAATAATTTGATTAATCGTACGATAACTTTTAACAAGCTCGATAACTTTTCCAGCCACGATAAATTCTATTTGCATGCTTGTTTGTTTTCCTCGCTCTCTCTCGCTCTTTCTCACTCTCAAAGAGACTGAATGTTAGACGCATATATCGCTCTCGTCTCGTCTTGTTTAAAAAGTGTAATGACGCTTGAACCAACGTGCGCTCTGTTTATCAACAGAGCGGATGCGAGCGTAGTCTGCACACCGCTGTCTGCGCGGTGCACTAGCAGCACAAGCTAGCAGAGTGACAAAACTGTTCATCGCCGTTCATTGCCAAAACAAGTCACGATGCCGAATCAACACTGGTGAGCGGGACACGTCTCAACAGCCACATGAGTCAAATGCAGCGAGCGCAAATGACGAGAAGAAATGTCCCAAACCCTAACAGCCGATTATAAACCCAAACCCAAGCGACAGAACTTGCCTAGCGCCCGGGAGAACCTGAAATCCCAAAACCGAACCAACACGATACAGACAGAACAGAGGTTCCCTCATAGCGAAATAACATCCTGTGTCGTGGGTTAATACGAACACTTCAAGACCAAAATGCCAAGGCCACAGCAGCAGCCACAGAGAGACGAGACACAATATTCCAATGTAAGTCAGTGACTAAAATCACTTTTAAGGACAATTTTGTTACAGAGCTTTAATAATCCATTTTATTTATTGCTTTGGTTGTATTTGGTTCAGCAATGGTTTATTCAAGTGCATTTTGGTTAACAAGCCCTTGCTGACAACCAGACTACATTAGGCTTGTCCTGTGTTAAGTCTGTTTTATTTAGGCCTGTTGTTTTTGGTTATCTGTGTTAAATGTTCTTTAGAAAGTAAGGTTTATTGATCATTGAGAGGATGTATTTGCATTTTTTTTCCATGGTCATTATATTAGTTGAAATTGGTTTCACAGTGTCAATGTTATCGTTTATCGCAATAAATTCTTGGTCAATTAATCGTCCAACAAAATGTGTTATCGTTGCAGGCCTAACAGCAGCCTGAAGTGACCCAAGTCCGATTTTTTGGCCCCTATGCTCCTGTATCTGATCTTTTAATGTCAGTCTGAACAACACAGATCAGATTTTTTCAAATGTGACCCAGGACACTTGGATATGTGCTCCTGAAACTGATACATATCTGATCTTTTGACATGGGACTTCAGTCTGAACGGCCAAAGTGCATTCATCCACCTACACGTTATCAACAAGACACAAACGTCACTATTCTGTGTTGAAGTAGGCGAAAATTGTTAATGAACTCCGAGTCACTGAAGCAAAGCACATCACCACTCACCACTCTTGGCTCCGTCTCCACATCCACATGTTCCTTTCAACGGACGTCGCTGCCGCTGTCCCACAAAACACCACGACCAAAAACCTCGTCCTTCTCCTTCTCAATCTCCTCCTTAAAACAAATTAGTTGTTCATGTTCTGGCTCCGGTACGAGAGGAACTTTAAAATCTCCAGGTGCTCGATGCTGCGTCCATGTTTGGACAACTTCCGTAAACACAGAGCACGCTCACTGCGGTTGACGTCATCGTGTCTCCAGTGCACATGCGGGACACTTTCAGGCCGTTTACTGTTCACACTGGAGATCACATACAAGTCGCATTTAATTGGAAACGTGAACAACCTCGTAAAAACATTGGATTTCACAAAAAAATCTGAATTGAGCATTAAGCCCTGCAGACTGAACGTAGACTTAGTTTTGAGCGCTACACTGGAGAAACGAAACAGCCATTTCACAAGAGGATGAACCAACACAGACGAGAGAGCGACACAGGACCTCAGTCTGCTGTACATCTTTATTTATTTATTTATTTATTATTTTGTTTGAGCCAGGTACAACAAAATTCAAAAACAATAACAAAAATAGTGGAACTTATTTGGGACCTGGTGCTCAAAAAACTTATTAGAGCCTACCCCGATTGTTTTACATAATCACATGGTTCATAGTTGTTTTTTTTCTCCATCTAAAAGCCTCGGGCCGCTCCTTCGAGGACAGTGAGGTACAGATCTGAGTGAGAAAAAAGAATTGGTTTGCGAGGGGAGTTAAAGAAGCTGTAAACAGGTAGTGTGTTAGTTTCAGAGTAGTTTCAGTGTAGTTAGCTCCTCCTGCAGACAGATAAAAGGAAGTGTCCACCAGCATTTGACCAGAACTGAAGAAGCAGTTTGGACGAGCTGAGAAACCTATTTGACCAAAAAACTTTTGTCCAGTTGACAAATTGAGTTTCTCCTTTGCCTCCCTTCCTCCTGTGTGTCAGATGCCCTCCCAGATGCTGTGGTGTGGTTGGAGAAATATAGAAATGATCTGGGAAAAAAACATTTGTGGATTTTGTCTCTCCTCATCTCCCCTTTCCTTTTCTCCTGTCTCCTCCTCTCCTCGTTTCTTCTCTCTTTGTCTCCTCTTTCCTCTCTCCTCAACTTCTCGTTTCCTCTCTTCTCATCTCCTCTTCTCCTCATTTCCTCTCTCCTCTCCTCTCTCCTCATCTTCTCTTCTCCTCTCTCTTTGTCTCCTCTCTCTCATCTCCTCTTCTCCTCTCTCCTCTTTCCTGTCTCATCTCCTCGTTTCCTCTCTCTTTGTCTTCTTTCTTCTCATCTCTCTCCTCTTCTCCTCTCTCCTCAATTCCTCCTTTCCTCTCTCTGTCTCCTCTCTCTGTCTCCTCTCTCCTCGTTTCCTCTCTCCTCGTCTCCTCTCTCCTCATCTCCTCTTCTCCTTTCTCCTCATCACCTCGTTTCCTCTCTCTTTGTCTCCTCTCTCCTCATCTCCTCGTTTCCTCTCTCCTCATCTCTTCCCTCCTCATCTCCTCTTCTCCTCTTTCCTCAACTCCTCATTTCCTCTCTCCTCATGTCCTCATCACCTCATCTCTCTCATCTCCTGTTCTTCTCTCTCCTCTTTCCTGTCTCATCTCCTTGTTTCCTCTCTCTTTGTCTCCTTTCTCCTCATCTCCTCTCTCCTCAACTCCTCGTTTCCTCTCTCCTCCTCTCCTCATCTCTTTGTCTCCTCTCTCCTCATCTCCTCATCTCTTTCCTTATCTCCTCTCTCCTCTTTCCTCTCTCATCTCCTTGTTTCCTCTCTCATCTCCTTGTTTCCTCTCTCCTCATCTCCTCTCTCCTTGGTTCCTCAGCTGAGTTCTAGTTCTCCTATGAAGCGACGTTCTGGATTATTCCCTCGTCTTCTCAGTGTGGACAGTCAAACAGACAGACATCGGAGGTAAGACCACCAACCTGGACTGAACCAGGACTGAACCAGGACTAAGCCAGGTCTAAACCAGGACTAAACCAGGACTAAAACAGGTCTAAACCAGGTCTGAACTAAGACTAAAGTATAGTTAAACCAGGGCTAAACAGGACTGAACTGGGTCTAAACCAGGTCTAAACCAGGTCTAAACCAGGTCTAAACCAGGCTCTTCAGTGGAGTGTTTTTGCTGCGTCTTATTTGAACAAACAGACGTCATTCTCCTCTTGAGTCTGTTATCTGCAGCTGTCACTTTTATCCAGAAATACCTGTGTCACTAACGATAAACTGAGGCTAATCTGGGACTAAGCCTGGACTAAACCTGGACTAAACAACAACGTATACTGTGGTCCAAAGCAAGAAAAATGATCTGACGAAGGCTTTTTTGCCAAAACATTATTTAAAAAATAAAAAAAGCTTTTAAACATCGGTCATTTGAGTATGTTATGCATTTTACTTTTTCACTTTTATTTTACCATTGCTTGTATTTGCACCTCTACAAGAACTCTGGTGTGTGTTTTCTGTTTCATTTGACTAAACGTGGACTAAACCCGGACTAAACCCGGTCTAAATGTTGTGATTGACAGTCTTCTGAGTGAACAGAGGAGCCTGGACCACCACACGCTGGAGGAGACGACAGAGCAGGCAGCCAATCAGAGGTCTCCAGAGGCGGGGTTTAGGAACAGGTGAGCACGTGCACCTGGACCGGACTCTACTTCCTGTTTATCTATCGCCAATTTTTATGCTTAAAAAATCCTGTATCAGAAGTTTTGCACCACATTTCACAAATAATAATAACACAGTTTTGACTCGTGTCTAAACTAGAAGTGCAGAGTCTGATCTTTGATCACTTAAGAGTCTCAGAGCGACTGGTTTTACTGTAGACAGGAAACAACTTTATATCCTGTGGTCCTCTGACAGATCCCGCTGCAGTCTCTGTGATCGGAGATTTAAAATCTCTTAAGATCTTCTCCTTGTGTCTCGGTGTGCGCTTTCTGTTGCATTTTAAAAAATCATTTAAGACTGAAAAATCCTGTAGTGTGTTTTGGCCTTAAGCCGGTCTTTAATTTTAAATTTCCAATATCTTATCGCAGTGATGTGTCCGAGTCCTGACCAAAGCCCAAACATAAGTTCTAAATATTTGTCAGAGTCCATCAGGTTACGACGGGTCCCGTCGGTCTTCCGTCGGGTTTTCATTCTCTAATTTAACTCACAAACGCCGCATATTTAGGCTGAGTTCTTCTCTCAAACACAAAACCACCTTGTGATGTCATACACAGGATGTGCTCCACTGTGTTTTTTATTTGGACTATTTCAGAGCTGGAATTGCTCGTCTCTGCTGAACAAAATGTAAGAGGCACTATTAATTTTGTCTCTTCATGACATCACAAGGTAGAACAGAGCATTTTGAGCTCCAGAGATGAAGACAGGCTAATAATAAAGAGTTACTCAAACGTGTGAATGAAACAAAACACAACTCCAGGTCTAATGAAGAAAAAAAGGTAGAGCTCTTCACTGGGTCTTAACAGAGTAAAAAATAACAGTACAGGCCTACGAGAGTTAATATTAGAATAGAAAATTACCCTCACAGGAAAATGTAAAAATGGGAAAAGTACAAACCCGAGGCTCTGACTGAATATATTAAAAGTGTTTTATTACATGAAGGGACGCTAACGTGTTTCGACCAGCAAGATGGTCTTCGTCAGGGCAAAGTAGTGAGTAGTAGGGTAGTACTTTGCCCTGATGAATATTATGATGTCATGTCTTAAAGTTCACACGAGTCACATTTTTGTATTACAGGATCTTTAAAGAAATCTCAAAACTTTAATCCACAAATGTTGAACTTTGAACATTGAATATTGATTCATTATTTGTTTTTCATGATCTGATCAGCTCCACAATCTCGTCTTATTAATGTCAGACACGTCACACGTTTTGTGTTTTGACGCCATTTTGTGCAGGAAGAAGGAAAGAATCTCCTCCTCCAGCTCCTGCAGCTTCAACAGCCACTCTGAAGACCAGGTCTGAACCAGGACTAAACCAGGACTGAACCAAGATTAAACCAGGACTGAACCAAGACTGAACCAGGACTAAACCAGGACTAAACCAAGATTAAACCAGGACTGAACCAAGACTGAACCAGGACTAAACCAGGACTAAACCAGGACTGAACCAGAACTAAACCAGGACTGAACCAAGACTGAACCAGGACTAAACCAGGACTGAACCAAGACTGAAAGAGGACTGAACCAGAACTAAACCAGGACTGAACCAGGACTCAGCCAGGACTAAAAACAGGACTGAACCAGGACTAAACCAAGATTAAACCAGGACTAAACCAGGACTAAAACCAGGACTAAACAGGAAACCAGGACTACTGAAAGGACAAGGACTGAGGACTAAACCAGGACTTAAACCAGGACTGAACCAGGACTAAAAGGACCAGGACTGAACCAAGCAAGAACCAGGACTAAACCAGGACTAAAACAGGACTGAACCAGGACTAAACCAGGACTGAATCAGGACTAAACCAGGTCTTTCTCTCTCAGAGTTCTCTCGTGGTGGACGGCGGGAGTCCAGTCATCTGCCGAAGTCCCACAGGTTTGGTTTATTTGTGTTTTATTTTGAAGGAGTCCTGTTTCCTGTCCACTGATGTGTCATTTTCCTTCCTGTTTCAGAGAATAAAAACTCTCCCAGATCCAATCTAAAGTTCCGGTTTGAGCGCCTGTCCCACTCGGCAGCGGTCAGTCTCCAAATGATGCAAGAACATACAAAAATAGATTTTTTTAGAGTTTTGTTGTAACGTTCTCTCTTCAAGAACTTGCCTGAAGAGGTTTTTGACATCATCCATGCATGTTTGAGTAATCTAGTGATCTCTCCCGGGCCCTACACAAGCCTATGTCACCTACGCTCCCACACAGCAATTCTCTTTAACTATTTTCTTCATTATTTTTCTCCAAAACCAAAATGAAAAAACAGAAAACAAAAGAATGTATGAAATCAGATAATGATTCGGTGTGTTTAAATGAAAAATGGAAAAAACTGATAACTGTTTCCCGTTTCCGAAAAAATAACAGTGAAAGTGCAGTAAAGCTCTCATTAAATACATTTGAATATCAGAATGTCCATGTTAAAATAAAAACACGTTTGTTTCTGCAGGGACACTGAGGACTCGGCTCTAGGACCACAGGCCAGAGGAGGACCGAGACGTCGTGCCTTTGAGCAAAACACATCTGCCATTTACTCATAGACTGTCTATAGAAATGGATTGTGGGAGTGTGACGTCGCCCACAGCGTTCAGCTCCAGCCAAATGAAGCTCATCGAGGCCTGCAGAATTCCGAGCACGAGTATCATAGCAACCAAAGAGCCAATCCGGAGCAATGCTGTGTCTGCACTGATGGTGTGGCAGAGGTCGACGCGAGCGGGAGCGACCTCTGTTTTGTCCAGGGTGACCAAACGTTCCTATTTACCCGGTACAGTCCCAGTTTTGAGCCTGTGTCCCCTGTCCCAGCAGATTTATCCAAAAGGATTGATTTGTCCCTATTTTTGACCAATCTGATCCGTGCCAACAGTAAAGAGAGACATACATTATCATTTGTGCCTCTCTTTACTGCCTGCCATTTATGCCTCTATCATCAATTTAATTACATATTAAATTAATCATCAAGTAAAATACAGAAAAGCTGATCAAAAATGACAAAAACACAATGAAAATGTGACTATAATGACTCACATTAGTCATGAACGGGCCGAGTGCAGAACAGTTTTCCTAACACTCGTTTCACTATTTTATTATCACCAACCACCCCAATCGAGTGATGTCCCAGTTTTTTATTTAGAAAATTTGTTCGCTCTAGATTTGTCTATTATTATTAATTACTAAATTAGGACTGAACCAGGACTGAACCACTAAAGGCTTTTTCAGGCCGACAGAGAACTGTGCCGGTTCCGGTTCTCGCATCTAATCGTGAACTGGCTCACGTGTTCACGTCGGAAATGAAAGTGTTCTGGAACCGAAAAGTTGGTTCCCTTTGGAAACTAAGTAAAAGTGTTTTTTTTCTAACCAAACCGTGACGACACAGAAGACGTCAGCACGTTCATCCAGGTCACACACGGTAAAATAAACAAAGAGCAATTGAAACTATCACGTATGAAATGAAAAGTTTTAAGTCTACAGAAAGGATTTCGTACCGTTTGTCTTGCATGTATCAGTGTTCTCCTGATAAGATTACATCTTTGTATTGGTCGTCGCTGTCGTCTTCTCCACAGCAGATCGATGTTGTGTCAGAGCTCGGCACATAAATAATGACTTGTATAAGTACAAATTCTCGCTGGTGTTGATGATGTGACCCATGATTATTATTTTCCTCTCTGTGACGTCTGTTTTCATAAGGCCTTATTTTTATTTGGTGGTAAATCCACACTCTCTGTCGATGATGTGTCATGGGTTCACGTAAATACTTTGACTCACTGGTGAGAACTTTAGTTCCCAGTGGAACTGGTGTGGGAACCGACACCGGCACCTGTTCTGACCGACCTGAAAACAGCTTCAGTGAATTGGAGCCAGATTCGTTCACTTCCTGTTTGGAGCGTATGTCCATTTAAATATTCAGTCTATGCATTTCCCCAGACTCACATCTGGTCCACTTCTCTGACAGGTTTGACCCAAAGGCACTGAAGGACGAGTCAAATGCAGAATAAACTATTTTCCTAAGGGCGATTATGAAAATAAATATATGCAATTGTTTTCTGTTTTTTTTCTGTTAACAGCTTTATACGTGAGACTTAAACTAAGACCAGGACCAAAACACGACTAAACTAGGGTGACCAGACGTCCTGACAGAGTGTTCTAGTTTTTGATTTTGAAAATTCTGGTCACCCTAGACTAAACCCAGTACTAAATCAGGTCTAAACTGGGGCTAAAACAAGACTAAACCAGGTCTAAACCAGGTCTGAACCCAGTATAAACCAGGTTCTGTCCTGTCCAACGGTCGGTGATCAGCTCGGGTGTTTAGATGTACAGCCGACCCTCTCTCAGTAAAAGACCGTGGTTTGGAGCCGACTTCATTCTGTGTTTGCACTGATTAAAAGCCTTAAAAGAATAATTTAAATAAAATCAATAATTGTAATTAATCAGTGGCTCAGCTGATGTACCCGAGTAATGAACAGTTCCTCTGACGGTTTTACACTGGACCTTTTATGCACTTTTCTGTCCAATGTGTCGATGTGAATAATGTAAACACGATATCCTGTCCCCTGATGATGATGATGATGATGATGTCAAATGTTATTGTTTGTATCCGTCTGATGATGTCACAGTTCTTAATAAATTATTGTAAATGTCTAAAGTGTCTGACAAGGACTGAACAAAGACAAAGCCAGGGCCAAATCAGGAATCGGGACTATCCATCCATTCATTTTCTTCTGCTTATCCAGGGCTTGGTCATGAGGGCAGCAGTCAAAGCAGGGACTTCCACACTTCCCTCAACCTAGACACTTCCTCCAGCTTCTCTGGGGTGGGGTGACCAGACGTCCATTTTTCCTCGGACATGCCCATTTTCCACATCCTGGTTTTTTTCATAAAGTGATGTAAATGTATGGGTTTTCATTTCATTTCATTGGGCCATTAAATTGAGCATCTCTCGTAGTTCTCTGTAACTCAGAAGGAGTGAGTAGACACTAAACAGTCGGTCAGTCTGCAACATGCCAAAGTGCAAATGTGCATTTAACGATGCTTTGTACAAGAAATTCCTCATTTTCCGTCCCGGTCGAGACAAGTGGGAGGCCATGCAGAGAGTGTCCAAAGCAGCACATCTGTTCCTGTGTCCAGTGGTGGTGTCAGGGACTTCAAAGCACCAGGACACGACAAACATTAAAAAGCTTTGCCAAGTGAGAGTCGCTCAATATCGATGATGAGACCCCACATCCCACCCCCAGTACGATGTCCTGGTTTTGACAAACGTAAATATGGTCACCCTACTCTGGGGGGACCCTGAGGTGTTCCCAGGCCAGCCAAGAGACATAGTTCCTCCAAAGTGTCCTGGGTCTTCCCCAGGTTCTCCTTCCAATGGAACATGCTCAGAACACTTCCCCAGGGAGGCGCCCAGGAGGAATCAGGAACAGATTTCCAAACCTCAGCTGCTCCTCTCGATAGGCAGGTGCAGTGACTCTAATCCAAGCTCCTCACCCTGTCTCTAAGGGAGCGCCCAGTCACCCTGTGGAGGAAACTCATTTCGACAACTTGTATCAGTGATCTTGTCCTTTTGGTCATTACCCAGAGCCCATGAACAGAGGTGAGGGGAGGAACGTAGATTGACAGTAAATCAAGAGTTTTGCCTTTCAGCTCAGCACCTCTACACCACAAAGGTCCGATACATCGACCACATCACTGCAGACGCTGCACCGATCCACCTGTCAATCTCACGCTCCATCCTCCCCTCACTCATGAACAAGACCCTGAGATACTTGGAACTCCTCCACTTGAGGAGACCTGAAAGACAAATCAAGACTAAACAAGGTCTAGAGCAGACATGGGCATTGTACAGCTTTAGGACCACATACAGTCCTTTGATTGACTCTGACCGGGCCGTTTAAGATAATTTGGAATTACAAATAAAGTACTGGTACAGAGCAAGACTAAAGCAAGATGATAAACCACTAAACCAGACCAAAACCCAGGTCTAAATCTGTTCTAAACCTGGTCTAGGAGGTACTAAAGAAACACTTGGGTGGAAAAGATTATCCAGAACCATTTAAAATTATATTTATTACATCTGTCATGAACTCACATTTACAACAGCACAAACAGTTTCAGCTCAAACTCTGAATGAAATCAGAAAATTACAGTTTGGAATGACACGACACTTGAACAATAAATAATCACTTTCAACACACCAACCAATCAGGAGCTTGCACAGAACACACCAACCAATCAGGACCCAGCTCTGAACACACCGACCAATCAGGACCCAGCTCTGAACACACCGACCAATCAGGAGCCTTCACAGATCATTTAAAATATGAAGCATTATTCCAGCAGTATGAACTTTAAAATATGAACTCTTGTATCAGGACTGAGAATGTGATGAGACACAAATCAACGTGGCGTCGCGTGTTGGGTCGTTGGCGTTCAGGGGTCAGTGCTGGGGTCGTGGAGAGGTCGAAGGTCAAGGTTGTTTATGTCACCATGTACTCCTGACGTTTGTTCAGTCGCACCTGAAACAAAAACAACAACGTCAGCTCCAACTGGGAACTGCAGTTTTCTTTTCTTTTTATTTAATTATTTTTTGTTTGTTGTTTTAGGTGAATATTGCCATTTAAAATGTCCAAATCATAACATAATGTTTCACCGGCATCCCAGATTACTATATACTGTACTTTTCGGACTATATGTCGCACTTTTTTTCATGGTTTGGGTGGTCCTGCGACTCCAGAGCAACTTACAGTCCAAAAAACATGGCACTACAAACTGCATAACAGACACAAGCACAACAGGTCTGCTTTAAGAAAATAAAGTCGGAAAACTCAGTAAGTGTTGAGCGGTGGGCGTCTCTTGGGGGTAGGGGAAAAAGAGATTTTCAGAGCAATGGCCTCTTGAATGCATGGGAATCTGGTTTTGATACTAGTTTTAGTTTACACCAAGTAAAATATGAACATTTTAAGATCAAATTGACAAGGCTCACAGCAGCAGTTACAGAGAGAGGGATGTACGTTCAGGACTCTCTAGAATTCACTCATAGCGTTTTCAGTCCGACAGAGAACTGTGCCGGTGCACACATCTAATCTCAAACCAACTGACGTGTTCAGGCTGAAAATCAGAACGTTCAAGAACCGAAAAGATGGTTCCCAACTTCTTTTTCCTAAGTGAACCGTAACGACACAGTAGACATCAGCAAGTTCATCCAGGTCACACAGTAAAATAAACAAACAAAGAAAATGTGTGGAATATGGTGGAGAAGTCAAGTGTTGGTCAGCGGAGGAGACCAAATGTGTGCTGTATTCGTGTTCACCTGGTAAGGTCACATCAGCAAGGTCAACACAGCAGATGTTGTAGCAGAGCACAGCGCAGATAAATAATTATTTGTATAAGTACAATACTCGTTGGTGTTAATGATGCGATCTATGGTTGTTATTTTTCTCGCTGTGATGTCCGCTTTCGTGTGGCCTTGTTTTTTTTTTGGTGGCAAATCCACACCACATCGACTCCTGTCGATGACGCGTCATGGGTTCACTTAAATGGTTTGAGCGCGGGTCGTTCACCAGTGAGCACTTTGATTCTCAGTGTAACTGCTGTGGGCACCGGCACCGTTCTGGCCAACCTGAAAACAGCTTTAGTGTGCTGCAGAGGCTGCACTAGCACTGGTTCCTGATAGTGGTGGTGACTGGTGGTGACTGTTGACTGGTGGTGAGGTCATTTGAACAGTTACGATGACGTTATCGTTACCTGACACAGAGACACGGCTCCGACCGCCACATAGATCCCCGCGGCGATGAAGCAGTTTATGGCCACCTGCGAGTACAGCCGGTAGATGTTCTGAGGAGGCTCCTTACTGCAAAGAACAAGAGAGAACATCAGATGCCCTCCCATACTCATATATAATCAGTGGAGGTTGTGGGTTAAACTCCCTGTGTGATATTGCTTCATATAAACTCACTCATCGCGGATGTCTTCCTCGGTGAAGGGCACGTCTTCGATCAGAATGGCAGATTTGGCGCTGAAAAAGATCCCCAGCATTGCCTTCACGAAAAACAGAGAAACACCCTCAGTACCAGAGCTCTCATTAACGTGGTCCTGGTCCTGGTCTAGTCTTGATTTAAACCTGGCGTAGACTTCCTGATTATGATCAAACTAATTAAGACTTGATTTAGTTCAAAATTGTTCATGAATAAGTTTTGTTTATGTTTACTTATTAGTTTAAAGGACCCACTTAACACAATTTTCTAATCTTATAATAATCTTGTTTTCTCATCAAAAACATACTTGGAGTTTTGTTTTGTTTCATTCACATGTTTAACACACAAATCCTGCTTCATTTTTTAAACTTCATTCACCTTCACTAGAATCATTTGAATAGTTTCAGCCTTGGAATTACCCAACTTTAATGAACAAAAGCTGAAGTTTACCTGTAACTTGAAAACTCTTACTACTTCATGACAACAAAAGTAGAAACAGAGCATATTGCGTTTTGAGATGTAGACATACTAATTATAATAGGGTCAGTCCGACATGTGTGAATCAAACAAAACAACATGTTTTATAAAGCTCACAAGAGTAAAATTTGCACAATATACAGGGTGACCAGAATTTCAAAATAAAAAACTGGGGGTTCCCTGTTTTTTTGGTGATTGGTAATAATAAAATCGTGAGATAACAGCGTAGTTAAGGAAAATAGTTATGCAGAAACCATTCGTAACTAACAAGTGAGTCACATTTTCTTTGTGTTTTGGTCGTTTTTAAGCAGCTTTTCTGTATTTTACCTAAACAAATGACATTTTATGCCTCTGTTTACTGTTGGAAAAATCAAATTGGTCAAGAATAGGAGCACCTGGGACATTTCTTTTATAAAACTGGGACAAATCACAGGTTTTGTATAAATCTGGTCACCCTAGTAATAAGACATTTAGTTAGGTTCAGTCATATTTACTATCAATTTAAGTGGAAACTGTAGGAAAAGTGAGACATTTGCAAAAGCAGAATTGTTCCTTGCATAAAACCTTGAATAAAATCAAAATGTTCCGACTTCCCGTTGAGCCATTGTCACGTGACACCACCAGTCACATGATCTCACGGTAAATATGGCATTTATCAAACCACTTTAAACCTAAATTATCCCGAGAATCTGCTCATATCCCACTCTTATCATTTGACACTTTCAAACATTAGTCTAGCTATGTCGATCCCTCCACATCAGCTATGACATTTGTTTATCACAAAAGTCAATGAACGAGGCCTATTTAGGATCCGTCTATTTCCAATTACTGTCTGTGTTCGGTTAGTCTGGTGCCAATAAATAACAAAACACTAATGTTTAAATGTCCTAAAACAACATTAGACCACAACTATGTTCAAAGCGGTGAGATCTGTCCGTAAGAAACCAAGAAACCGAAGCTCCGGGCCTCACCAGCATTATAACCCCCCAGATGCTGATCACGATGCCGCAGGCCGCCATTTTCGGCCCGCAGAACAGTAGCGACGGCATGGCTCGGTCCGGTCCGGTTCAAGCTCGGTCCGGGTCAATCCAGGCTCGGTCCAGGTCGATCTCCTCTGGCTCTAGGTCCTCTCGGAGCTCCGCGGAAAACAGCCAAAGATGTCCCTGAGCTGCGGAAACACGGGACAGGACGCCCCGCAGTCAGCTGACCGCCTTCGGAAGCACTCGGAAACACTCGGAAACACTCGGAAGCACTCGGAAACACTCGGAAGCACTCGGAAACACATGGAAAGCTAAATTAGTTTCTGGGGCGTTCGCTTTTACAAGACTTTCGTAGAATAAGCAATAAATCTATGAACTATTTTTAAACAAAATAAAATAAAGGAAACATTCGGAAGCACTCGGAAACACTTGGAAGCACTCGGAAACACTTGGAAAGCTAAATTAGTTTCTGGGGCGTTCGCTGTTACAGGACTTTGGTAGAATAAGCAATAAATGTATGAACTATTTTAAAATAAAATAAAATACAATAAAATTAAAATACAATAAAGTACACTAAACTAAACACTCGGAAACACTCGGAAACACTCGGCTCAACCCGAATCACACGTCCCGCCTCCTCCCCGATATCAGCCAATCAGAGTGCGAGCTCCAGTGCCTGTGCTCTTTTGTAGCTTTATGGCTTAATATTAACAATAATCACAAATTAATAAGATATTTAAAAGCTTCACGCGTAATACAATACTGATTATTTTAAAAAAGTATTCTGCCTTATCTCCTTTTTCTGTCCAAATGGAGGCGAGTTAAAGCGCCGAGAGGGAGTTAGCATCAGAAGCTAACGCGGCTAACGACTGATTCATTGTTTTATGCTAAAGTTTTACTCTTTTACTGCGTTTAAACTGTGATTCCTGGATACTATGACGTCTGCATCTGCAAAGGTACGTTTCACACAGATATTAAACTTTCATTTCAGCGCTTTTGTTCAGAAATAAAGTAAATATTGAGTGATCTGTGAGAGAGTTGAGCTGCACGATTTGAACCGGAAACACAACAAAGGCAAAGTGCACAAAACTCACAGATTACAGATTGTTTTTGAATGAATAACTGTAATGAACACGTGTTGAATGGACTAATGGAGGAGTCCTGTGTAATTAACTATGAATAAAGTGATGTGCATGGAGATTAATTAGCGCTTATTTCTCTATTTTGTGTAAAAGCTGCTCACCCTGTAGTTTAGAGCTCTACAAACATGTTCTGAAATCTCCCTGCCTGTCAGATGCCCTCCCTGTATTGTATGGGTTCGATTCTGTGTAAAAGCTGCACATTTAGGGTGACCAGACGTCCCTATTTACCCGGGACAGTCCCAGTTTTGAGTCCTGTGTCCCCTTGTCCCAGCAGATTTATCCAAAACCAGTGATTTGTCCCAGTTTTATACAAGATATGACTCAGTTGTCCTTATTTTTTGACCAATTTGATCCCCACCAACAGGAGAGGATATATTGTCATTTGTTTAGGTAAAATACAGAAAACTTCATCTTGATAACGACCATATAGCGAAAAAAGAAATGTTATACTGACCCACAAGTGAAGAGAATGGACAATGTTACTCGCTTTTTAAAAAATTTTTAGTTATACCAAACATGTGTTCCAGTTTTTAATTCTGAAAATCTAGACCACTACAAACATGTTCTAAAACGCATGGCATTAAAGTTCAGATTTCAGTCTCTCTTAGATGTGAATGCTCCTGTACTTGTTTAAATATTCAGATATAGTTTTTACCTGAAGTAGTGTGACCAGATGTCCCTATTTACCCGGGACAGTCCCAGTTTTGAGTCCTGTGTCCAATGTCCCAGCAGATTTATTTATTTGTCCCAGTTTTATACAAGACATGTCCCAGGTGTCCCTATTTTTTGACCAATTTTACAATATGTAATTTCTCTGATGCAGGTGGGGGAGATCTTCTCTGCAGCCGGAGCAGCCTTTTCTAAACTCGGAGAGCTGACCATGCAACTGCACCCAGTGTCTGACTCCAGCCCCGCAGGGTGAGTCCAAGTGCACCAGTGTTGTCACGATGATTAAGGCCGATGGGATGAATACTAAGGCTCGGACTCAATGCTCAGTACTGATTCTTTCTTTCTTTAGACAATAGAATTAGATTTTCAGCATTAAATCAGTACTTTCTTTCACATTACCACGTGGTCTTATATTCAAAGTTCAAATTTAGCTTTATTGTCTAGTTCTTCACATGTACTAGACATATAAAGGAATCAAAGTTATGTTTTTCTCTATCCCATGTAGGGGTGTGCAAAAATATTGAAATATCGATATATTGTGTTGTTTAATGTGATGATACAGTATCGATATCGTGGGCTGCTGTATCGATATATCGCCAAGAGTATTTTTTTTGGTTTATTTTACTAAATAATTTTGTTACAGCTACAGTTTTGTTGTTTGTTTAGAGGAAGGAAACTCGTTTATGCGACACATTTGACATTTTCACTGTTTTGATGATTAAAATTTGCATCATTCATACTGACTTTGCACAAGAAGTTGGTTTAACAAAGACTTTTAATATCACAAGCATGATTTAGACTTTATTTTTTTATTGAACCGTATTGAATCTTTTTGAAATAGGGATGTAACAATAACCGAAATATCATGATATCATGTCATCCAAGTTCTCACAATAATATCATGGAGCGTCACAGTATATCAAATTACAAGTCTCTTTGCTTAAATGAAGAGTAATGATGCAGCAACAGAGAACTACATAGACCATGATCCTTTGCTCCATTTCAGTGCGGACTACAAGAAGAAATAACAGTTCTAACACTTTTAAATATTAGTTCTTTGGATTAAGTTTTGTCAAGGCATTTTAAGAGGAAAAAGTTGCATATTAACAGTTTTAGCTGTTTATCCTCCACAAAATATCACAATAAATATCGTACCTTGAGATGTATATCGTGAAAATATTGTACAGAGAGATTTGGATATTGTTACATCCCTAATCATGAGCCTCCCCACCATATCGTGAGCTTTCCCACGATATCCCAATAAATATTGTATCATGAGGTTCATACTCTGACGATATTGTGTCGTGAGACTTGGATATCATTACACCCCTAATTTGAAATATATCGTATTGAATCGTATCGAATCGTAACCTCAATGTATCGAGGTATGTATCATATTGGCGACTTATGAACGATACCCAGCCCTAATCCCATGTGTAGACAACGATTGGAAGAGCGAGAGGCCACTACGTCTGCCGTCTACGCCGCCGTTCATATCATAAAACTGCTCAAGTTCTGCTGCAGTAAACTGTTGCAGTTGCGTCGCCTTTGTGTCTCAGTCAAAGGTCAGAGTGCAGTTTAACAGGAGGACTGGTCAGGGAGGGTCAGCAGATCTGTGTCAGGGCAGTTTGAGGAGAGGAGAAACCCTCAGGACAAAAGTGTTCCTCCTGTGTCCTGCAGCGTCACAGCAGCTTCCAGGGGGATCCAAATGAACACAACAGGACAGGTCTCGTTCTTACTCTGCTCTGGGGTATCGGTTAGTATCTTATATCTGTGTAATCCCTCAGTCATCCAGTCTCTGTCAAACTCAAAATATACAAAATGGATTTAAGCAATGCAATTTCAGGAGCCTGTTATTGTAATTTAAGTGCCAGAGACTTGTTTTGTTCCAACAGAGTCAGTTCTTCCTGGTCAGATTGTGTTAAAATAAAGCCTGGATTAAAGTCTAATAGAGCTTCAGACTGAGCAGTGCCTCCAGTTAGCATCACACCCCGAGGGGTGTTTAATAATATCAGTTGCAGAGTATCAGTAGTTTTCTGTCGTTTGTCTCAGGGCCAAATGGACGGAAACGGAGATCGAGATGCTGCGTTTGGCCGTGAGACGATTTGGAGACGATCTGAACAACATCAGCAGCGTCATCAAAGAGAGGACCGTGTGAGTCTCTACAGCCCAAACTCTAAAATACAAACAGAAACAAAATACAACACTGTCATCAAAGAGAGGACCGTGTGAGTCTCTACAGCCCAAACTCTAAAATACAAACAGAAACAAAATACAACACTGTCATCAAAGAGAGGACCGTGTGAGTCTCTACAGCCCAAACTCTAAAATACAAACAGAAACAGAAACAAAATACAACACTGTCATCAAAGAGAGGACCTAAAAAAGGCAGATTAAATTTGTGTCCTGATTAAATCCTGTTTTAGTCTTGGTTTAGTTCTGGTTTAGTTCTGTTTTAGTCCTGGTTTTAGTTCTGGTTTTGTCCTGGTCTTAGTCCTGGCTTTAGTCCTAATTTAGACCTGGTTTAGACCTGGTTTAATCTTGGTTTTAGTCCTGATTTTAGTTCTGTTTTAGTCCTGGTTTAGACCTGGTTTAGTCCTGGTTAAATCCTGTTTTAGTTCTGGTTTTGTCCTGGTCTTAGTTCTGGTTTTAGTCCTGGTTTAATCCTGGTTTAATCCTGGTTTAGTCCTGGTCTACTTCTGTTTTAGATGGTTTAGACAGCGTTTTTAGCTTTGGAGATGTAGACACACTAATAATAAATGATGATTTAAACATGTGTAGCAAATTTATAACATGACTTAAAGTTCACAAGAGGCAGTTTGCATAATATAAAACCTTTTAAGGAGAGTTCCACCTCAATAAACTGAACTAAAAACCAAACATGTCAAACACACGTACACACTGACACACCGCAAATGTCTCTGATCTGGCCAAGATTTTAAAACTTATATCAAATTATCCATCTTCTTTTCAGATTTATCATTTACTTACTTGTTCTAAGATTTAAAATAATTGGGCAAGTAAAATGATCTTGCTGCATGGACAGATAATTTCACTACTTTTAATTCATTTTCTGTTAAATTTAAATGTTTATAACTTAAATTTTGGCCAAGCTTTTCTGCAGTGCGTCATCGAAGAGTGCTCAGAGCGCCCCCTGTGGCTGCTGCGTGTAACTGTCTCTCCTCTCAGCGCTCAGATCAAGTCGACGGTGAAGAGGAAACTGTACGAGGACAGCCGCGTGCCGCTCTCCGACGCTCATAAGAAACCTGTGAAGAAAGCACCCGCCTTGCCGCCCGCCGCGCCCGCCGGAGCCATGGCTGCGCCTGTCGCCCCGACTCCTCCAGCCCCCCCGCAGGTCACACAGCCCGCCCCCTCCCTCGCCCCGCCGCCCATCAAGAAGCAGAAGACGGCGGGTGAGAAACACTGGGAGTTGTCTTTAACGCTGGTGTAATTGTCATGTGGTGGTACAATCTGGAGCAGTTTGGTTTAATTTTTCTTTAGTTTCAAAAAACACCAAAAACACCAAAATAATGTGGCAAACGTACAAAGCAGACAAATCCGTGTATCATTCATTCATTCGTTTTTCAGTATAAAACCAAAAATAAGAAAACGGAATAACAACTGTTTTCTTCATTATTTGTCTCCAAAACCAAAGTGAAAAAACAGATAACGATTCCTTTTTTCAGTTTTCGATTTTGTGTTTAAATGAAGAATGGAAAAAACGGATAACGGCCGTTTCTCGTTTACATGACTTTCATAACTGCGATGCCGGACTTTTGCACCTCATACGGACTGAACCAGGACTGATCCAGGTCCAAGACCAGACCGGGACTGAGACCGGGACCAGAACAGGACCAGAGCGCTACTTAGACTGGGACCAGACCGGGACCAGACCGCAGGCTCAGAGCCCACAGCAGGGCCGGAGCTCGAAGCTGAGGCTCAGACCCCGCAGAGGCTCAGAGTCAAAGCTTGGAGTCCACCCTGGTCCCACTCTGGTCTCGGACCTGGATCAGTCCTGGTTCAGTCCGTACGCGGTGCAAAAGTCCGGCATCTCAGTCTCGTAACCGGGGAACAGTTGTTATCTGTTTTTTCCATTCTTCGTTTAAACACAAAATTGAAAACTGAAAAAACGAATAGTTATCGTTTTTTTCATTTTGGTTTTAGAGACAAATAACGAAGAAAACAGTTGTTTTTTCATTTTCTTAAAACAAATGAACGAATGAAACACAGATTCAGACAGTCATTGTGGAGTCCAGAGTCTGAGATGTTTTTTTAAAGAACCAAATCCTTTTTTTTTTTTTTTTTTTGTCTATGGCTACGTTCAGACTGCAGGGCTTAATGCTCAATCCGGACTTTTTTTTTGTGTGCAAAAACATTGAAATATCGATATATCGTATTGTTTAATGTTCTGATACAGTATCGATATCGTGGGCTGCTGCATCGATATATCACCAAGAGGATTTTTAGGTATATTTTACTTAAGTATTTTGTTACAGCTACAGTTTTGTTGTTTGTTTAGAGGAAGGAAACTCGTTTATGCGACACATTTGACATTTTCACAGTTTTGTTGATTAAAATGTTTGTGTTTCATATGAACTTTGCACAAGAAGTTGATTAACAAAGACTTTTAGTATCACAGACATGATTTAGCCTTTGTTTTTAATTGAACTGTATCAAATCAATTTGAAATATATCGTATCAAATCGAAAGTGCACTGTATCGAGATATGTATCGTATCGGCAACTTCTTAATGATACCCTGCCCTAGTCATTCACATTTCCAATTAAATGCGACTTGTTTGTGATCTCCAGTGTGAACTTTAAACTCCCCAAAAGTGTCCCACATGTGCATTGGACGACACGACGACGTCATCTTAACAGAAAGCACGTTTAGTTTAGTTTACAGAAGTCGCCTAAACTCTGGGCTCGTCTCCCAAAATCTGGTCCAGTTCTTGGTAAAACGGACAGGCCGCTTCGTTTGTTTGAGTCTTTATCCTTGTATTTTTCTCACAGGATCTTTATTTTTCGTTGACATTGGAGCCAGGACTGTCTGTAGCTGCGCTCGGACATTTCTATGACAATCATTTCAAAGATAAGACTCCTCCAATTTTGCCTGAATACAACGAATATTAATAAACTCACTAACCTTGTTTTCCCTCCATTGACGAGACTCCAAATCTGACGTGTAGGTGAGATGAATGTGACCTGACCGTTCAGACTGAAGTCGCATGTCCAAAGATCAGATATGAATCGGTTTTAGGAGCACATATCCAAGTGTCCTGGGTCACATTTGAAAAAAATCTCATATGTGTCGTTCAGAAAAAATCAGATTTGGGTCACTTCAGGCTGCAGTCTAAACGTAGCGTAATTGTATTGTATCAGTTTTTTCAATTTGACTAACTCTGAATCAGCGCAAAAATCAGCAGAAAAAACATATATGCAAACTGCTGAACATTCCACAATAGACACACATGTACAACCCCAACGTGATGTCCCTGCAAAGCATCAATAATTATCAAACGTTCATTTTTTCCCCGGACATGTCCGTTTTTTACGTCCTGTCCTGGGCGTCCGGGGTTTTTTCATAAAGTGATGTAAATGGTTTTCATGATCTTTCATTGGGTCATTAAACTGAGCGTCTCTCGTAGCGTCTGTGACTCAGAAGGAGCGAGACACAAACAGTCAGTCAGTCTGCAACATGCAGAAGAGCAAATGTGTATTTAACAAGGACTTGGACAAGAAATTCCCCGTTTTCTGTCCCAGTCGGGTGGGGGGTCATGTGCACAGTTGGCGAGGTGAGAGTAGCTCAATGTCAAGGCCTCCACCCCCCGTAAAGTGTCCGGGTTTTCACAAACTGAAATATGGTCACTCTAGATAAAGATGTTAAAGTGAGTGTTAAACGTCAGTGTGAGTTAAAGGTGTTTGTGTTTCAGACGTGACCCTGAGCGCGCTCAACGACGCCGACGTCAACTCTGACCTCGTCGACATCGAAGGGCTCGACGCCAAAAAACTCGACTTTGACCAAGGTACGGCTCCACCAACAGGACATACTGTGAACTCCACCTCAAACATACAGTGTGCAGGTGCAGCGCCACCGTCAGGTGTACTACACTAGACTTTGTAAAGAAATAGACTCAAGGCCACCATAAACTACAGGAGAATTTCCCAGATTTTGGCTGTGATTTGCTTCTTCTCTTCAACTCAGACTTGAGACTTACTTGAGATTTGCAAAACAACGACCTGGCTCTAACCTGTGATATGCACTTTACATTTTTCAACTCTGTGGTGATGCACGCAACTATCGTATATGATAGCACGCAACCATAAAAGATAAAAATTTACTTTTTTTCCCTTGAAAAGTTGAGCAGTTCGTATCAATTGAAAAAGCTCTAAGTGCAGTTATTTCTCAAATAAATGGCAAATTACGCATCTTGGTCTACATAAATGTGCATCTCTTACTGTTTTTATTTCAAAGGTTTATTTCAGTCCGAATGTCCAAATCCAAATGTAATAAACTCCATGGAAATGCAAGGAAGTTATGTGGCTCTGTATCCTGGACCTTTTTTAAGTATATTTTTAATTTACTTACACACTTGATATTTTACACTTTTGTAGCTAAGGCCCTTAATTATTATTATTATTTTTTATGTCCATATAGTTATTTATACATGTTTGCTGTGTGTTTTGTATAAAAAAGTGTGAATTTTATTTTCCATTTGTTTTGTTTTGTTTTTTTCCTTTGTATTTCTGGTCCTGTCGCTTTTTATTACATCCAGTGACACAACTACAGCTTTCAGATTGTGAAATAACAGGTTGTACTGAAAAAAAGGAGGTATAACACTTCATTAGGGGGTAAAAGAGGGAGTTTTAATAACAAAATTAAGAAAAAAAAAATCCAGGCAAGGAAAAATTTACTAAAATTGCCTTTAGGTCTGGAAGGGTTAATAATAATTTTTTTTAAAAAACGTCTCCCTTCGTCATCACAGTGTCTAGGGAAACTCCTGCAGTTTTTAATTTTCAAACTGTTGCTTCTGTTTCGTTCCAGAATCTCTGAACTTGGACTCCAGTCTCATCATGAACTCCAGTGACCTCCCGCTGCTCTCTCGCTGACCTCTGACCTTTGACCTCTGCTCTCCAGGGCCAAATCCAAAACGATTCCTTTTACATCAGCTCTAGCTCCTCAGCTCGTCCAGGATCGGCTGCAGTCTCACACCCTCCCGCCCTGGACTCAAGACTAGTTTTATTTTTTAGTATTTTATTTATCTTTTAGTTTGTGTTTTATGTGTCTTATTTTCTTCTACCCCGATGCCCGTATCGTATCGCCCAATATCGATCGATTTTCGGCGATATTCTAATAGTGTTGTCACGATACAGCTTCCGATACCACGATGATAATAAAAAACAACAAAAAGAACATTATTTTCAACATTAAAGGTGCACTGTGTAACTTTCTGGTCGGGGGTTTGTCGGTTTTAAAAGCAAAAAAAGTGTCTTGTCTACAATTATTTTATAGCACAATAAATATGATCTGGGCATCGTTACGTCCTTAGTATAAATTTGTGCGTCTGTATTTATTCAGTTTGAGGTGTTTTTGTTGCTCAAATACACAGGAAAACCAATTTTGACTGTGAGCCGCTCGTCTCCATGGAGATGAGTTTAATGCCCTAATACAGAACATTCCAAAGCAATAACGTCGGCTTAGGACTGAACCAGGTCTAAAGCAGGTCTGAACTGAAACTAAGTCTGGACTGAAATCGGTCTAAAGCAGGACTAACACATGGTTGTAGCAGGTCTAAAGCAGGACTAAGTGAGACTGGGTTCAGTGGTATCTACAGCGTTTATTGAGACTTTATTTTTATGAGGAACGAGACACAAACGCTTCAGAAAAATACAATGTGTGTTTTTTGTTTTTTTTTTAATATCAGAAAATAGAAATATTTACAGAAAAATACTGTTTATGATGTGCTTTTTCCCTTTAATTCTGAGCCACACCTCACCCACAGATCACCAGAACTCAACCAGGACTAAACTGGGACTAAAGAAGGACTAAACCAGAACTCAACCAGGACTAAACTGGTCTAAACTGGGACTAAAGAAGGACTAAACTGGTCTAAACTGGGACTAAAGGACTAAACCAGGACTAAACTGGTCTAAACTGGGACTAAAGAAGGACTGAACCATGTCTAAACCATGTCTAAACCAGGACTAAAGAAGGACTAAACCAAGTCTAAGCGAGGACTAAACCAGGACTAAACCAGGTCTAAACCAGGAGTAACCCAGGTCTAAAGCAGGTCTAAAACAGCACTAAACTGATTCTTAACTGGGACTAAACCAGGACTAAACTGGGTCTAAGAGGATCAGACCAGAATCTCCAGATTCCAGGGCTATTTGAGTGAAATGTGGCATCCGTCTGAGAAGGAAATACTTTGAATAATTAGAATTTTTACACAAATAAAAATAGAATTTGGCGAAGATAAAGCTGAAGCGAAGCCGTTTACGACCGACTCAAAATGTGCAAAAGACGCCAGAAATACAAGTCCATTTGGAAGTCTGTTTGGATTCAACTGAAGAAAAGGGACACAGGGACTAAACCAGGTCTGAACCAGGTCTAAACCAGTTCAAAACCAGGTCTAAACCAAGACTAAACCAGGTCTAAACCAAGACTAAACCAGGACTACACCAGGTCTAAACCAGGACTAAACCATTTTTAAACCATTTTTAAACCAGTTCTAAACCAGGTCTAAACAAAAACAAAACATTTCCTTTTTCCGTTTTTCAAAGACAGAATTCGTTTTCCTGCCCGCGCTCTTGTCCCTGTGTCCGTTTTCCAAAACACAATCTCACATTTTAAAATGAGAAGCCTAAATCTGTACAAACTATTTACAATTTTCACAATGTTACAAACAGTATTTACACATTTGAGTAAAATTTTAAATCTGCAGTTCTGTGCAAGAATCTGAGGGAAAAAAAAAAAAAAAAAAAAAGAACCGATTTCAAAATCTGATAAGGCACTGCCAAAAAGTTTAAAAAGTTAAAGTCAAAAAAACGAATTTTTTTTTTTTTTTTTTTTGCAGAGGTGGGGATAGAGAAGCCAAAATATTTCTTAAAGATGCAGCTTTTCTGGTGGAGTCTCCATCACCTGCTTGTTTCTATGGAGATAAAATTGCTCTGTCTGGAATGTTCCACAGTGTTACTTTACATTTATTCAATTACAAGTGGTTTTATCGCTCAAAATTAACTAGAAAAATAACATTCTGACTCCTTCTGGTTTGGTCTCCATGAAGATAGAAAGGTTTAAAGCCACACTGTGAAACATTCCAGACAAAGGAATAACATCACCATGGACGAAAAGCCTTTGACGGAGCCTCCACTAGAAAAGTTACACAATACAGCTTTAAGTAGAAGTACAAAGTAGTCGTCCGAGATATTACTCAAGTAGACCGTGAATAAACTTGAATAACGCACACACAAAAAAGAAGACACAAAAACGAGACAAACTTAAATCGTGTGAAAAAAGAGGTGCAAGAAACGCAAATGTTCAAAATAATTTCAAATTGTTCACATAATAAAGCTCGGGAGGGTAGGAAGAGTGACCACAATTTGACTTAAGTAAGAATAACGTCAATAAAAACAAGGAGGAGTCAAAAATACACGGATAGAAAACTGCAATTTCTTTAAAAAGCTGCTTGAGTACCGTGTTTTTCGGACTATAAAACGCACTTTTTTTCCTGGTTTGGGTGTTTCCCTCGATTTATATGTTAAAATTTTCACACTGAAGCCTGAAGAGGGCGCTCTAGTCTTGTGTGTGAGTATCTGCTGCTCCTGTTCCTCCTTCACTCCTTCGTCACTTCACTCTACTGCACATGTCTCCTGCAGAAAGAGCCTCTGTCCTGTCTGTATCATGTCAGTCGATCGCACCATTACTAAAGATCTAAAATTTAAACAAACTCATAAAGACGACTGAGAAGACTGAACACAAACGCCCCAAAAACGAAATCAGATTTTGCAGATTACAAATTGCAATTCGTGAAATCTACAGCTGAAAATGGAAATCGAGAAGCAGAAAGAAAGTTTGGAGTGAGAGAGAAACTTGTGACATCGGGAGGATGCACCATGAAACTTTCCTGAAGTCACTGGATGGATGGACAAAGTCTGGACTTCAGTGACACAGAAACCATCCTGTCGGGATTCAGAAAGACACGAATAATTCTAACTGATGCCGAGTCTGACGACAGCGACACAGAAGAGGAAGTGGCGCTCTGTTTACCTCCGGAGGTCGTGGAGTTGTTCAGAAGTGACACCGAGGATGAAGAATTGAATGGATTTAGTGATTTGGAGTGAGATGGAGAGTTTGGTTAAACTTGTTCTGTTCTGTTGTTTATGTTATAGTTTATCTGAAGAACTGTTCATGTGTGACGTTAACAGTCTGTTGTTCTCTCTTCTATTGTTTTTACTACAACTTGACTTTACACAGGGAATGTCGGTTCCTGGTCTTTGATTTTATAAAATACATTTCCCCCAAAAAGTGCGACTTATATGTTTTTTTCTAATTTATTACTCATTTTTTGGCTGGTGAGACTTATACTCTGAAAACTACGGTACTGTCCACCTCTGACATTTGAGACATAAGTGCCATAGATTGTTACATCGTATTTTGTCCATGTTTACAGTGTGTTTTTAATCACTTTTATATGAACCCTGCAGTCTGAAGGGGGCGATAGTGAGTACGAGCTGGAGCGTCTCTACACTGATGTCATGTCTCTGCGGGAGAATCGGCTCTATTCACGCTTACATCAAAAACCAGGAAGACGTTTGAAACATGCGATGACAACTTCCGGTGTAGTTCCCGACACTGGACCGTGATCAAACCCACTGAAGTAAATGTGATCAGCGGTAAACTGAAGACTGCATATGTATGTGCTGTTTGGAATCATCTGGAATTTGGTGCCCCGTTTGTTTCACCGCTTGTGCCTTCCATATTTGCAAGTGCCGCACGGTCCCGTCGCTCCTGGGCTGGCTCCGATGTCCGTCGTGCCGTGGTTAGAGGATCGACGTCCCGCTAAACCCCTTCCTGCACATGCATCGTCTCATCCCATAAAAGTGTTCGCCTGTTCCTCCGCGCGGCTGGATTTCAGTTCCAGTTCGCCAGTCTTTGATAGACATGTCTTTTGCGCCTCCTATTGCAAACTGACTAGAGGTCTTTATTGACCTATTGGTTTTTATCAGAGTCAGAGTTGCTCAGAGTCGTGTGTCGGTGGGGAAATGATGAAAACTGAAGTATGGTTGGAATTGCTGATTATCCGAACATAACAAAACGCTACAATGACGTGGAGATGAAGAAAACTGGGACATTTTTTTCATTTTCCTGAACAGAGCTCGCCGGAAGTTGTCATCTCATCTTTCCAAACGTCTTCCTGGTTTGTGACGTAAGCGTGAACAGAGCCTGTAGAGCTGCTGCCCTGCTACTGCGCCTCGTCCAATCAGGTTAGAGAACAAGGTCAAATGGTCCACCACAGCGTTTCTGTCACTTGTGGTCACTCTTCCCACTGTGAGTATGTCTACAACCTTTACTCGGGTAAGAAGAACACTGTCACTTCAATAAAAACATGACTCAAGTCATGTACACTGCTAGAAAAGTCCTATGAAAAAACAATTTTATACAAAGTTACTTAAGTAAATGTAACCGAGTACTACCCACTTTTGGTTCTTATTTTATGAAAATTGCACTTGAAATTCAAAATAGTTTTTGAAATGGTCATCGCTGTCATTAGCCCAATTCATACAGGATAAGAACAACCTGCGGATGTCTGATATTTACAAGGTTCTCACTTTTCCATGACTTTTTCATGACCTAAAGTGAATTTTCCATCATTTTACAGCACCTACATGTGTAGAACTGATCAGACTTTTAGGGCTAAATATGAAATGTTAACTCTTTCCACTCACTTTATGAATTGGTATTATAGTTTTTTAACATTCAAAAAAGTCAGTGCATTTATTATACCGTATTTTTCAGACTGTAAGGTGCAATTAAAATCCTTTAATTTTCTCAAAAATTGACACTGTGCTTTATGTATTAATTCTGGTTGTGGTTACTGATTTTCAAATTTTATGTGGTACACGGCGCTCAGAAATCTGTCAAAATGTTTAAGTACAACTTTGGTTGATGGATTGTCGGAGCATTACAGCGACTGTAGTCAGAAGCCTCACGGAATAAGTGAGTCGTGTCTTTTAGTCCGACAGAATCTGACCACATCAGCGCACAAGGAGAGAGCTGTGTTTTCAGCGCTTATAGTTTATGCAAATTAGCTATGCGGTTTAAAGTTTTGTTTCTGTAAAACGTAAATAAGTGCGCACAAAACTGAATTAAACACATTATTACTCCATGTATATTTGAGTTGAGGAAATAAAAAACTAACTTAAATTATCTCCCCACATTCACTTTCAAAAAACATTCACCTAGACAGGGAGGCAAGGCCGGGCGAATTACACCACGATCTGCCGATGGATCAGTCTCAAGTCGTCCATTTGTTTCTTTTAATGCGCCTTATAATCCAGTGCATTTTATGTATGAAAATAGACGAGAGAATTCAACATTATTGATATTGCGCCTTATAGTCTGAAAAATACAGTAATCTGTTTTAAACAAAAGGTGCATACGTATGGAAATCATCATAATAGCCTAACGATAACTTAACAGAACGCTGTAGTTGCGTGAAAGAGATGCTAAAATTGACTTTTCCAGGTCTTCAATTTCATAACTTTTCCAGGATTTCCATGACCGTGGGAACCCTGTATTTCGCAAATTACCGCTCCACCTCAGTGTCACTTGCAGCACATTCGCAAGGCATAAGCGAAATCCGTAAATTACTCTAATGTTACCGTTCAGACTGCGGGACTCGTATTATCGCCAGACGTCTGCGTTTTTGGCAAAATATAGTAGGTCATTTACCGCGGACTTTTTACTTTACAAATTAGACGTGGCGAATTCGCACGGGATTAAGATCTCAGGCATCCTCCGCAATTGTCACCAAAAAAAAAAAAAAAAAAAAAAAAAAAAAATCGCAAAAGGTCCACAGGTAAAACTAATCCCGTGCGAATAAGGCGAATGTTGCTCAGAACTGCAGATGTCAACAAAAAATAAAAGCTGATAAAAATATAGTCCCATCGTGCTCAAACCAGAAAAAGATGATCAGGAAAGGCTAACCACTCTGCCACCCGTTTCTAGTTTGAGTTCTGATTTTGGATAAAAAAAAAAAAAAACAAAAAAAAAACGACACAATTGTATTTTACAAACAGTTGGTTTAAAAGTCCTGGAGACGATTTCTTTCGACACAAAACCTTCATATTTTTGGTGAGTGTTTTTAAGTGCTTCATTTGGGACCGCGTTTCCCACAATCCCCTGCTCTCTTGTCGTCTCACCGTCCAATGAGGAGCCAGGTTGGGCGGGTAAGGACGGGGCTAGTGCTGGTGCGGAGAGAAGGAAGAGAACGACGGCGGCGCGCTGAGAGGAGGCGAGTCCGACCCCTCCGACACACTGTAAACACAACGAGAGTTAGGCATGGACCTGGACCTGGACATGGACCTGGTTTAGTCCTGGCTTAGTCCCTGGTTTAGTCTTGGCTTAGTCTTGATTTAGTCTTGATTTAGTCCTGATTTAGTCCTGATTCAGTCCTGGTTCAGTCCTGGTTCAGTCCTGGTTCAGTCCTGGTTCAGTCCTGGTTCAGTCCTGGTGTAGTCCTGGTGTAGTCCTGGTGTAGTCCTGGTGTAGTCTTGATTCAGTTCTGGTTTGGTCCTGATTTAGTCCTGATTTGGTCCTGGTTTTGTCCTGGTTCAGTTTTGGTTTCATCCTGGTTTAGTCCTGCTTTAATCTCTGGTTCAGTATTTTGTTTATTAGTCCTGGTTTAGTCCTGGTTTAATCCTGGTTGAGTTCTGGTTTAATGTTGGTTCAGAGTTCGTTTAGTCCTGATTTAGTCCTGATTTGGTCCTGGTTTTGTTCTGGTTCAGTCTTGGTTTCGTCCTGGTTTCGTCCTGGTTGAGTTCTGGTTTAGTGTTGGTTCAGAGTTGGGTTAGTTCTTGGTTTAGTCCTGGCTCAGTCCCCGGTTTAGTCCCTGGTTTAGTTCTGGTTTAGTTCTGGTTTAGTCCTGGTTTAGTCCTGGTTCAGACCTGACAGAGAAGGTTCTGTGCGGCTCTGAGACTCCAGCAACAAACAGTTTTTTGGGTGGACCGTCCGACTCCACTCCCCCTGAAGAAACAAACAAGAAATATTTAAACCAGGTCTGAACCAGGTCTGAACCAGGACCAAACCAGCAAAGTATCATGGTCTTTGTAGACTTTCTGCAGTTACCTTTTCGTTTGAGAGGAGCTACAGGCGGCCACCTTACTGCCGGTCTGAAACGAGAAGAAAGAAGTTTAAACTAGGGTTAAATATATATATATACATGTCTCGATAGCGTTCACTTTCCATTCAATACAATCTGATACGATATATTTCAAATCGATACCATACAGGGTATCCCCGGGTTTGACTACCCCAGATATAAGACTTTTTTAAGACCACTTAAATGAAAATTAAGACCAACATCGCACCCATTATGCGAACGAAAAACACCAGATCCAATTCTAATAATGACCAACCAACTACTGTACTATATCTATAAGAATCTAAGGCTACGTTTATATGATGACGGTCCAAACAAAAGACACACAAGTGGCGTCGCGTCTTCACTTTTTATTATGTGTTTAGACAAGCATTTTGGGAGGAAATCTGTGTCCATACAGTGATGCAAAAGTGTGTGGAATTGGATTGTGTATGCATGTCAGGCGGCTCGGCGATGACGCTCGGTGGTGATGTACGTGACGTAAACACATACGTGACGGGAGCAGATCTGACTAGAGTTTTGTGTCTTGGGCAGTGTAGATGAAACTGACTGTTTACTCTTTGCCGCCGGCCCCAAAAACTAAATTATTGTTTGCGCATACTCCAAATTAGATATTCATTCATGTTACGTTATTTCATGTTGTTGTTTTTTACCCTCAATCCATTTAGTAAGTAAACAAAAAAATAGGCTAATGAAATTTAAGACCTTTGTGGAAAAAAAATAAGACTTTGGCAACATAATTTAAAACTTTTTAAGGCCTTAATTTAGGTACATGAAATTTAAGACCTTTTTAAAACTTTTAAGGCCTCGCAGCTACTCTGCAATAAAAACAGTTAAAGGTAAAATCATGTCTGTGATTCTAAAAGTCTTTGTTAAACCACTTCTTGTGAAAAGTTCATATAAATACAAATATTTTAATCATCAAAACAGTGAAAATGTCAAATGTGTCGCATAAACGAATGTCCTTCCTCTAAACAAACATCAAAACTGTAGCTGTAACAAAATAATTTTGTAAAATATACAAAAAAATACGATATACACTGATACAGCAGCCCACGATATCGATACTGTATCCTCACATTAAACAATACAATACATTGATATTTTGATATTTCTGCACACTCCTAACCAGGACTAGGACATTAGAATTAAACTGAGCTCAAAACAGAACCAGTAAAACTGAACTGGATTTAAGACAGGATTAATCCAGAACTAAACCAGGACTAGACCAGGACTAAACCAGGTCTAGACCAGGACTAGACCAGGACTAAATCAGGACTAAACCAGGACTAGACCAGTACCTGAATCTGCGTGTGGGGGAGGGGGAGGAGTTGGGAGTGACACCAGAATCCTGAGGAGGGCTCCACTGAAACAAAACATGATTTTTTTACTTTAAATTTCTTTGTGTTTTGTGCATTTTAAATTCTTATTTTGAAACTGACCGTGTTTGAGTGGCTCCAGTGACTCGCTGCTGGAGCCGGGACCAGACTCGATGCACTGAAAAAAAAGAGAAATATATGTGGACATTTACAAAACATGTATCTTTAAAATGTGAATGTGATTTTTATATTTTATTCTGACCTGAGCCGCTGCAGACTCCCCCTCAGAGCCAAACCGAGGTCCTCCTGTAAAACAAACAAATGAACCAGAACTGAACCAGGACTAAACCTGAACTAAAACAGTACTAAACCAGGTCTTGAACTCACGTGTCTCTTGGTTTCAGTCCGGTCTGTGTTCAGGGGAAATGAAGACAGAGGAAGCTGCTGCAGAAACAAAAACCACACAAGAATTTCAATTAAATTTAATTTAGACTTGAGCAAGAAATGCCAAAATTAGTCCAGAATATGGCTTGTCATGTTTTTTCTGGGTTCCATGAAATAAAAACCACATTTTGCAGATATTTTAGGCTAACTTTGATAATTTTCCACAAATTTATCTCATGTGAATTCAGTCCAAACTCTTCTACCGCCTACTGGATAAGAGAGCAGAGTAATCACAGTTTTGCAGCACCTCTCTCGGCCTAAGTGTTCAAAAATAAACCGTATGCAGATTTAAGACGCTGGTTGGGCCAAATAAACAAATTAAAAAATAAAATACAACTAATATAAAAAATAAACACAATAAACACAGAATATCGATCTCAGCTGGAGAGTTAAGGCCGATATCTGACATGTTAAAAAGTGCAAAAATCGGCCCAATATATCAATCCATCTGTAACCGAAAAGTCTTGAATTAGAACTGACCAGAGACGGGCCGCTGGGGTTCACTGAGACACTGCTGCGTCTGAATCGCGCCGAAGACGAGGGGCCGAAGACAGTGGAGCCGTCGCTAAGGGAAAAAAGCAGAAAACTAACTTAACATGGTGACGCTCTGCTGATGTTTGACTGTCAGACTGCAGATGTGACGTTCCATATCAAGGCTTTGAAGCGTGTGCTGAGTAGGGAGGGGGTGTTTCCGCGATGAGAGTATCGAGGCTTGCTTCATTTAGGTTAGGAGCTAAAAATTATAACGTCCGAAGCCTCGCTGCCCGGCTGTACCACGTGACTGATTCAGGAAGTGGTTTGGATTTTACTGCGATTTCCATTTTCATCATTTCCAAATAATCATTTTCCATACTGCCAGTACATAGATACACAGTACACTGCCATCACTACAATAAACATGATTTGCAAACTTCTTTATTTTGCTGACAGTTTTATTCACAGGCTTTCTCCAAAATGCCACACACTTTGTAGCTGATGATAATGTCAGTATATTTGTTTTCGTGGTAATAAGTGAGAAAATTATTGTTTTATTTGTTCAGATATTTAAGATGTGTCAGAATACTACAGTTAATAATTTTATACTTTATTTGTGAATATATTTACCTTTTGAGTTACGTGACCTTTTGCCTTGCCCCCAGAAGTAAACAAAGAGAGAAAACTACCGCTGGTGATATATAGGCAAACACCGTAAATATAGTTTCAATTGTGTATTTATTTAAAGGTATTTATGTAAAGCTAAGACATTTTCTGTCTGTCTTTATTTTAGTTTTCACGGTGTTTCAATGTGTTGATGGAATTGAAGATTACTGAGAACAAAATACTGACACACATGATCATCAGTACGAAGCGTTAAGTCCTTTCTTGCGAAGAAAACCGGGGTAGCTACACACTTCAAATTCATGTCAACTGATATTTTTGTATCCAGTAGATGTCCTGCCAGAGCAAATGAAGCTTCAAGAAGCTTTGCGCTGGGTGGAACCAATTGGATGAAAGGCTTCAATGCTTCACGAAGCTTCTTCTGCCCATCACTATCTCAGACTGCAGATGTGTTGACCTGGATTATGGTTAATATCTCTGTAATTACTGAGCCTGACCACATGAAAAGTCTAATCGCATGTACCCAGTGCGCTCAGAGTTGTGCGTCAGTGGGGAAATGATGAAAACTGAAGTATGGTTGGAACCGAACATAACGGAACACTACAATGACATGTAGATGAAGAAAACTGGGACATTTAAAACATTTTCCTAGATTTTGTCAGACTTTCTACCATGAATACAATCCGCCGGAAGTTGTCATCGCGTGTTTCCAAACGTCTTTATGGTTTGTGACGTAAGTGTGAACAGAGCCTATACTTCTGCTGTTACTGAACTTTATGTTGCAACGCTGAAATGTCTCTGGTGTGGGACAGGGGTTTTATCTGGTCTAATTTAATTATAATCAGACTTTAACATGTATAGATCATATTGTCACATCTGCTCATCTCACAGCGCACAGCCTGTATAAACGTTATACGTACACCTGTAGTTTCCGGTCTCACCTGACGCTCGTGATCATGGGGGCGCTGTTGGACCTCCGCAGAGCCCCGCCCCCCGCTGCGCCTGCGCACGGCTCCACCTCCATCCGCTCCATGAGGCCGCGCTCCGAGCTCCGCACCACGGCCGCGGGTCTCACGCGAGGCCGCTGAAAGCCCGACCCGCAGGCCTCACCCACGGGAGCCGCAGTTTACCGCATGTCCCCCGAAATGTCCCCCTGAAACGCACCGAGAGACACCAGAGAACACACCGTTTAACCTCCGGGAGAGAGCGCGGAGCCCGGAGCTTCTCCCGCGGGCACAGACCCCGGGCCTTGACTCACCCGGGCCTGCGCCGCTGACGTGACGTTCGGATTAGCTCCGGAGCTAATGGTGCTAAAGCTAAAGCTCCAGTCACAGATCGGTAACCCGCTCCGCAGAAGCACCGAGAGCGTCGCTCCGAGGCGGCCACAGAGCCCAGCGAGTGCGGGTCCTGCTCCGGGCCGCACTCACAGCGCGATCCGCTCCAAAAGAGCTCCAAAAACCGTGAAACCGCGGAGTTTAGGAGCTTTTTCCAACATAGTCTCACGCAAAGAGTATGAGAACTGCAGCCGAGGAAACAGCGCCACGCTGCGGCCTCAGGGAGAACTGCGTAAACTGTGCATCAAAGTAAATAGAGTTTTAGACGCAGGTCTGACCTGGAGTAAAAGAGAACAGACTTTTATTTGTCCCTTTGGAAACAAGACTTTGCATATTTAGGTCTGGTCTGGTCTAGAGTTTAAATTATTACTCCAAGTAAATAAAATATAATAAAAAGTGCTGTGGAGATTCAGATGGAACAGAGAGTAATGTTAATTCATGGATCTAAAAGTTAAACTTAAACTTAGACACATTTTATTGATCCACAAGGGAAATTATTTGGACACAGTAGCTCACACATCACAATATAATATAATAACAAAGAGAAAACAATATATAAATGGTAATCATAAATTAAGTTTAAAAAATTAACAAGTAGCAAAAAAGAGCAAGAGATAGGTGTCAAATAAGACAGAATTATATAAATATAAATGTAAATGTACACGTCAAAATAAAACAGATAAGTAGTAAAATATAAAATCTCAGCTTTATACAAGAGGTCACAGGAAGACAGTGCAACAATGATATGATGATTGACAAGACACAGGGTTATCTGTTTCATCAGGGTGTTGTACAGTTGTAGGGAGTATTATCTATTACATAGCCAAAGGTCCTACGTTATGCAAAATTGACTCTTTCAGCCATGTTAAAATGCTGTTTCCTCGTTAAAAAACAGACCTGGAGTTGTGTTTTGTTTCATTCATGTTTGAGTAACTCTCTATTATTAGTCTGTCTTCATCCCCAAAGCTCAAAATACTGTGTTCCACCTTGCCGTAGGTTTCATGTTAACCACTGAAATGATCCAAATGATTCTAGTGAAGGTGTGTGGAGTTTAAAAACAACAAAAACTGTTTAAAGAGGATGTACCTGATTTTTTTCCCCCTCATGCATTTGCCTCAGCAGATATTAGAAGCTCTTGAAGTCCAAATAAGTCTGCTTTTAATTATAAAGCATTCTGTATATACTACTATACTATCACAGCAAAACTTAAAAACTCATCTTGCTGAATAATTAGGAAGAAGAATAACTCGCTGCAATGCCATAATATTGTTTCATCATCACAAACATACCTGGAGTTGTGTTTTTGTTGTTTGCATATTTACGTCGAGTTCTTTTCTCAAAAAAAAAAAACCACAACTCCGGGTATGTTTTTTATAAGAGGTAACAGCATTCTTTTAAACGTATTTTATTAAATTTTCAACATTTTATCACCACCCAAAACAAGGGCAGTCTGAGCACGTGTTTGAGTTTTCTTCATTACATAAATTTTACACAATTAAGCAGGACACACCGACCTGGTCAAACGATCTGTCCCTCTCTGTGTAGTGACACTGTAAAGAAATTCAGGTATGTTTTTTAGGAAATCGCCCTAACCTTCGCTGTCCAACAGGAGGCCCCCAAGGTAGTATTTTAGGACCTATTTTATTCAGTTTATATATCAATGACCTTGCTAAAATGTGTCCAGATGCAATGTCCAGCTGTATTCCGATGATGCTGTGATTTTTACAGAGGCCAAAACTGTATAAGAAGCTTCAGAAAAGTTAACCTCAGCCATGACTCATGTCCAAAAATGAGTCAAGACCTCGTGCTTGCAACTCAATATAAAGAAAACTGTCTGCATGATGTTCAGTAAAAACAACTGAGCTTAATAGTGTCGATGTTATTGTTACTGTTCGGCATTGGTGGTAGTGATGATAACAATAATACTTAATTTTTATTTATTTTCATTATTGTTGTTACGGTTGTTGTTATTATTATTTATTTATTTTTATTTATTTACCTATTTTACTTTACTTTTTAATTAATACATTTATGTTTTATTTTTATTTATCTATTTATTTATTTACTTATTTTTCTCTACCCATTTTCCCTTTTTAAAATTCAAATGGTCACGGAATATGAATATTTGACTTACCTGTGACTTTTAAATTGTATTATGCAAGTATTGTTTAGTGAATATGTGAATGTGTATGTGTGTGTGTGTATATGTGTGTGTGTGTGAGTGTGTGTGTGTGTGAGTGTGTGAATTGGCCTGTTATTCTTTTTCGGTTATATGTTGCCCTGTGTTAACGTGGTCAATTGTTTATGTGAACATTTTTTGTCTGAAAATTTATAAAAAAAATATTGGAGAAAAAAACAAAACAACTGAGCTACAGCGTCCAGTGTCTTTGTGGACGGGGTGGGACTCAGCCTCGTTAAAGGGTTTAAATACCTGGGACTGACGTTGGACCCGACATTGACATTTAAGAAACACATTAAGCTCTTCACAAAAACTGTTCATTTTAACTTACTGAATTAAAGGCAAGTAAGATCTTTTATGACTCTATACGCGGCACAAATGTTTTTAGATTCCATGATTCTGTCTCATATAAAGGATTGCAGAACCACATGGTCACTTGCTGCTGGACACAAAACTCAAACCAGTCGAATCACTTTTTAAAAAATATAATGTTTTACTCGGTACAAATGTGAGTAACGTGGGTCACAAAGCTTTTTAACCTGGATTGAAGTGGTGGGCTTTTCGTTTTGTCTTCATACAAATTTGCTAAAATCACGGCGGTATCAGCAGCGGTGAAACGCCAGAGACGCGCCCGTGTAGACCGTTGGGTGACCACGGGTGAAAGGACCGATGCAGAACTCCGAACTCCACAGGGCGAAGAACAACCGACGCCTGATCGCGCCTGGGTGCAGACACTCAGGGTTCTCTAGATTCTAGAGACTAGATTCTAAAACTAGATTCCAAGTTTTAGTCCAAGATTAGTTCTAATTTAGTCCTGGTGTAGACTTGGTTTAGTCCTGGTTTAGACCTGGTTTAGTCCTGGTTTATTCCTGTTTTAGTTCTGTTTTAGTTCTGTGTTATTCCTGGTTTAATCCTGGTTTATACGTAGTTTAGTCCTGGTTTAGTCTTTAGTTCAGTCCTGGTTTATTCCTGTTTTAATCCTGGTTTAATCCTGGTTTAGTCGTGTTTTAGTCCTGGTTTAATCCTGGTTTAGTTCTGGTTTATTCCTGTTTTAGTTCTGGTTTAGTCCTGTTTTAATCCTGTTTTAATCCTGGTTTAGGCCTGGTTTAGTCCTGGTTTAGTTCTGTTTTATTTCAGGTTTTGTCCTTGTTTTGTCTTAGTTCAGCTCTGGTTTAGTCCTGGTTGAATCCTGGTTGAATCCTGTTTTAGTCCGGGTTCAGCTCTGGTAATAATAATAATAATACTAATAATACTAATAATACTACTAATACTACTACTACTACTACTACTAATATTAATAATAATAATAATAATAGTAATAATAATAATAATAATATAGAGTAATAAATATGTAGTAATAATAATAATAATAGTGTATAAATCTGGTCCCTTTAAGACGCGGTGGAGCGGCGGTGGCGGCGGTGGAGCGGCGGTGGAGCGGCGGAAGCGGGCGGAGGGAGAACGGGCCGCTCCGACACAAACTTCAGCCCAAACTTTGCCTCCGCTCCTCCGCTTTGTTCCGCGGTGACGCTCGGGACTGAGGCCGGGAAAAGGGGCGCCCCTGTCGGGTAAACATGTCGGAGAGAGCCCGGGGCCAGCGGAGGAGGTGAGCGGGAGGTGAGTGACCGTGTGGCCGGGGAACGCGCACTCGAGCCCCGCGACACTGCGAGCGCAGCCCCGGGGGAGACTCTGGAGCCCCGGGGAACTGTCAGGAAGTCTGGGTCTAAACCTGGTTAAGAAACAGACTTAAAGACGCTGTTTAGACCTGGTTTAGTCCGGGTTTAGACCACATGACGTCGTTGGCACGTTTGGAACTTGGAAATTTGTTTTGCTTTGGTGCAGATTTTTTCTTTTTTTGTGCAGAAAATTTGTCTGTGCAGAAGATAAACAAGGCGAAATAACAGTCCGGGCCTGGTTTAGTTTTGTTTTAGTCCTGGTTTAGTTCTTGTTTAGTCCTGGATTAGTTCTGGTTTAGTCTTGGTTTAGTCCTGGTTGAGTCCTGGTTTAGTTCTGGTTTAGTTTTGTTTTAGGCCTGGTTTAGTCTTAGTTTAGTCCTGATTTAGTCCTTGTTTGGACCTGGTTTAGTCCTGGTTTAGTTCTGGTTTAGTTTTGTTTTAGTCCTGGTTTAGTCCTTGTTTGGACCTGGTTTAGTCTTGTTTTAGTCCTGATTTAGTCCTTGTTTGGACCTGGTTTAGTCTTGTTTTAGTCCTGGTTATTTCTGGTTTAGTCCTGGTTTAGTCCTGGTTTTGTCATTGTCCAGACCCGGTCCCTGGTCCTGGTCCTGGTTCTGATGGGTCTTGCCGTGGTACTTCATTTCTGTAGAGGATGGAGGTGTCTGGGGAGAGGGAGGACATGTCGAAATAACAGAAGTGAAGAGTAAGAACTGATCAAGAGTGGTGAACATGAGTGGACTTTAAAAACCCAGAGGAGCTTTTCTGGATCATGACCCGAGGACTCCAGATGTCATCCAAACAAAACACGCAGGATTCCAGAAACATGTGTGAAGGAAACAAAACGCAACTCCAGGGCTGTTTCTCAGGAAGCACCACAGGAGAACAGGGTTAAAGCCGCTCTCTGGGACATTTAATCACAGTAGAACAGGGTTTAAAGCCTCACTGCGGAACATTTCATCACATTAGAACAGGGTTACAGAGAGATAAGGCATTTGCCGATAAAACAGTTGAGTAATTTGTTTTAGATTTATGGACTTTTGGCAGTCCAGATTTGGTCTGGTTTATACCTGGTTTAGTGTTTAAGTTTTTTTTCCTGGTTTACACCTATTTTAGTCCTAGTTTAGTTTTGGTTTAGTCCTTGTTTGGACCTGGTTTAGTCTTGTTTTAATCCTTTTTTAGTTCTGGTTTAGTCCTGTTTTAGTCATTGTTTGGACCTGGTTTAGTCTTGTTTTAGTCCTGGTTTAGTCCATGTTTGGACTTGGTTTAGTCTTGTTGTAGTCCTGGTTTAGTTCTTGTTTGGACCTTGTATAGTCCTGGTTTATTCCTAGTTTAGTCTTGGTTTAGTCCTTGTTTGGACCTGGTTTAGTCTTGTTTTAGTCCTGGTTTACTGTAGTCCTAGTTTAGTTTTGGTTTAGTCCTTGTTTGGACCTGGTTTAGTCTTAGTTTAGTCCTGGTTTAGTGGTTGTCCAGACCCGGTCCCTGGTCCTGGTTCTGATGGGTCTTGTTGTTGTGCTTCATTTCTGTAGAGGATGGAGGTGTCTGGGGAGAGGGAGGACGAAGATGGTGCCGCGGAGGAGAGTTTGCCCATAATGCACTGGGAGGAACTGAACGCTCGCATCGAAGAGCTGGAGAGACAGGAGCAGACCACACAGGTGAGGCCAGGTTTGATTCAGATTTAGTCCTGGTTTAGTCCTGGTTTAATCTTGGTTCAGTCCTGGTTTAATCCTGGTTTAGTCCAGACTCTGTGGACTCAGTGGACTTGGTTGACTTGGTTGATTGGTTGACTCAGTTTACTCGGTGGTCTCGGTGGACTCGGTGGACTCGGTGGTCTCGGTGGTCTCGGTGGTCTCGGTGGACTCGGTGGACTCGGTGGACTCGGTGGACTCGGTGGACTCGGTGGACTCGGTGGACTCGGTGTCGTGTGGAGCTTCTCTTTTCCTGTCGAGCCTCTCGGGTAAACTCTCTGACTTGTCCCTGTGTCCTCCCACAGGGGGCGGCACTGAGGCGAGTTTGGTACGAAGACCAAGAGGAAGACCGCAAGAAGAAAAGGCTCAGCTCCCGGTAAAAAAAAACAAAACTGGTTTAGTCCTGATTTAGTCCAGTGCTTTATTCACTTAGAAAAACTAATATTGTGGCCACAGCTGCCCTGGGGCACACACAGGCTGTAGCAGTAGGGTGGTCCATAAAAGTTAGTTTAGAATCCTGCATTTGGTTCCATATCTGGCCAAAATATTTGGGTCCAAATTCTATGCAAATTGATTAATATTTAGAGGAGATCAAGATACTTGAAAATTGCCCTGTAGCCAAAACTATAACATAGAACCAAATAAATACATATTTGAATAATTTGTTGTTTTTTTTTCTCTCCAAACACAAACTGAAACTTGCATAAAAGTTTCTTACAAAGTCCAACTCCACTGAGTCTTTGTTGGCGCCACTAAAGATGAGCCTGTGTCTGTGTGGTTTAGTCCTGTTTTAGTCCTGTTTTAGTCCTGTTTTAGTCCTGTTTTAGTCCTGGTTTAGTCCTGGTTTATTCCTGTTGTAGTCCTGTTGTAGTCCTGTTGTAGTCCTGTTGTAGTCCTGGTTTAGTCCTGGTTCAGACTGTGTTTCTATGTCCGTGTTTTCAGGTTACAGAAGAATCTTCAGTTGTGTTTCTATAATGATGAAGACAGTGAGGACGAGGGCGGGGCCAAAGGAAAGGTGAGCCAATCACAGAGCAGTGTCTAAACCAGATCTGAACCAGGTCTAAACCGAGACTAACCCTGGTCCTTGTGTTTCAGGTCCCGGTTGGCTGTGGTCTCAAACAGGAGGTGGTTGTGACGCTGAGGGCGCTTCGGGACAAACGACTGGACGAGCTCCGGCGGGAAACTGACCACAAGGTGTTTAATCCGTGTGTTGTTCATTCATTCATTTTTCAATATAAAATCAAAAATAAGAAAACAAAAAAAACAACTATTTTCTTCATTATTTGTCTCCAAAACCAAAATGAAAAAACTGATAATGATTAGTTTTTTCAGTTTTCGATTTTGTGTTTAAATGAAAAATGGAAAAAACTGATAACGACCGTTTACGTGACTTTTGTGACTGCGATGCTGGACTGAACCAGGACTGATACAGGTCCGGGACCAGAGCGGGACCAGAGCTTTGACTCTGAGCCTCCGTGGGGTCTGAGCCTCAGCTTCGTGCTCCGGCCCTGCTGTGGGCTCTGAGCCTCCAGTCTGGTCCTGGTCTGGTCCCGGTCTCAGTCTCGGTTTGGTCCCGGTCTCAGTCTCGGTTTGGTCCCGGTCTGGTCCCGGCCTGGTCTCGGTCTCAGTCTCGGTCTGGTCCTGGTCTGGTCTTGGTCTCAGTCCCGCTTTGGTCCCGCTCCGGTCCTGGACCTGGTTCAGTCTGACATCGCAGTCACGGAAGTCACGTCAACGGGAAACGGCCGTTATCCGAGTTTCATTTTTCATTTAAACACAATGTTTTTTTCATTTTGGTTTTGGAGAAAAATAATGAAGAAAATAGTTTTTTTTTTCATTTTCTTATTTTTGGTTTTATTTTGAAAAACTAATGAACGAATGATACACCGACTGTGTTTAGTCATTTTTGATTTATTTAAATGTTTTTGATAATTGTCGTGCCCTGTGTGGACGCGGTCGCTGGTTCTAGTCCCAGGCGTGTTGGGCTCCTCTGGTTCGGTCTGAACTGGAGCAGAGGACACTTCAAGAACTACAGGAACTGAGGACGTCTCTGCAGAAAGACACTCACGGTCAGTTTAAAGTCCTAGTTTAGTCCTGGTTTAGTCCTAGTTTAGTCCTGGTTTCAGTCCTGGTTTAGTCCTGGTTTAGTCCTGGTTTAGTCCTGGTTTCAGTCCTGGTTTCAGTCCTGGTTTCAGTCCTGGTTTTAGTCCTGGTTTAGTTCTTCATGAAAATACTTTTGATGCACCTTTAATTTTTTTCCTGGATAAATGTTCTGACATCCAGACGGTTTTGATGATTTTCTGATTTCATTCTTTCAGTTTAAATAAAATAGTGCTTTTGTTGTTTTTGTTTTTGTTCCTGTGCAGATCTGAGCGCTGGACTCGTTTCCGTCCTCCTGATTCGGGACCAACTCAGAACCGAACAAGAGGCTCTGCTACTGGACCTGCTGGACCTCACATGAACCAGGACTGGACCAGGACTGGACCAGGACTGGACCAGGACTGAACCAGGACTGGACCAGGACTGAACCAGGACTGAACCAGGACTAAAGCAGGACTGAAGCAAGACTAAAGCAGGACTGACTGAAGCAGGACTGAAGCAGGACTGAAGCAGGTCTTAAACCAGGTCTAAACCAGGTCTAAACCAGGACTAAACCAGGTCTAAACCAGGTCTAAACCAGGACTGAACCAGGACTGAACCAGGACTGAACCAGGTCTAAACCAGGACTGAACCAGGACTAAACCAGGACTGAACCAGTTCTGAATCCGGACTAAACCAAGACTAAACCAGGTCTAAACTAGGACAGAACCAGGACTGAACCAGGACCAAACCAGGACTGAACCAGGACTAAACCAGGACTGAACCAGGACCAAACCAGGACTGAAGTGAATCTAAACAAGGACTGAACCAGGACTAAACGGTGAATGTTTCCTCATTTCCAGGATCGTCTGAAACACTCTGGAGAGATTTACGTGTTCACTGATGTTTGTGTTTCTCCCAGATCCCTCACGTCCTCCTCAGCGCTCGACTCTGTTTGGCTCATTTACCCAGGATGCACCTGTGGATCTTTAAACGCCTCACAGTGCTGCAAATTGCCCACAATCCACCGCAACTTCATTTTTTACTAACTTTTTTTAAAGCAGTTGCTATTTTAGATCTTTTAAAAACTTTATTATCAGATCAAATGAGCTGAAATTAGGACAAAATATTGAGCAAAATGTTTTTAAGAAGAGGACTTGGAAACGATCATCTGAAAATATTTACAGCTGCACATTTAAATCACTAACAGACAGTGTTGGGGAGTAACAGATTACATGTATTGGAGTTACATAATCAGAGTACAAATTATGAGTAACTGTATTCAGTTACAGTTACTGTTTCAGTGAGTGGTAATTGGATTACAGTTACTTTGTTGAAATAAATGGATTACATGGCGGGCTTTTCCTGTTTTCACATTTTGGACTAAACCAGGACTAAACCAGGACTAAACCAGGACTAAACCAGGTCTAAACCAGGTCTAAACCAAGTCTAAACCAAGTCTAAACCAAGTCTAAACCAGGACTAAAACGGGGTCTAAACCTAGTCTAAACCTAGTCTAAACCTAGTCTAAACCTAGTCTAAACCAGGTCTAAACCAGGTCTAAACCAGGTCTAAACCAGGTCTAAACCAAGTCTAAACCAAGTCTAAACCAAGTCTAAACCAGGGCCAATTTGAAGAGAACAAACGAGAATTTTCAGGATGTGGTTGTTACATTCATGTAGTTTTAAAAAACATGACAATATCAAGTAATCCAAAGTAATCTGATTACGTTACTCACTTTAAGTAATTTAATGGATAATGTTACAAACTACATTTTAGGATATGTAATCTGTAATCTGTACGGGAATACATTTTAAAAGTAAACTTCCCAACACTGCTAACAGATGATTCACTTAGTCGTTAAAACATGTGAATAATTAAGACACTTCCGAATACTTTTCATTTGTAGAAGCTTTGATGTTCAGTAAAACTTCCTCCGGATCCTGTTCCAAATTTTCTCCCGGGATCTGTGAGCCGGACACGTGGCTCTGCTTCAGACGAGCCGAGTCCAGACGAGTGTTACAGAGTCGTGTTTGGAGGAAGGATCCTGGGAATTGAGAAACTCCCCATGACTAAAACAGACCGAGCCACTTGTGTGTGAATGACTAATGTCAAGTCTAAAACGAGGACTGACTCAGGACTAAACCAGGAACGGACCCGAGACAAACCAGCACAAAACCAGGACTGTTTAATGAATACAGTTTTAACTTTTTACAATGAGCTTTTACTCCTTTTGTAAAGTCACATGGGTCTTAAACAGTGTTGGAAAGTTTACTTTTAAAATGTATTCCCCTACAGATTACAGATTACATATCCCAAAATGTAGTTTGTAACTTAATCCATTTAATTACTTAAAGTGAGTAATCTGAATACTTTGGATTATTTTGATTTGCTGTAGAGAAGCAAAGACCAGGATATCGTAACATAAAATGTTTTGTCTGATAAAAGAAAATAAAAAGCCCAGACTTTACTGAACCAAATTAAAAATATTATTGATAGAAGATGAAGAGACACGTCCACACAGCAGGATTTAATCCTGGTTTAGACCTGGTTTAGATCTAGTTTAGTTTCCAACAATGAGTGGAATTACCGAGAAAAAAGAAAAGGGGGATATAGTCCAAAATGTGAAAACAGGAAAATCCCGCCGTGTAATCCATTTATTTCAACAAAGTAACTGTAATCCAATTACCACTCACTGAAACAGTAACTGTATCTGAATACAGTTACTCATAATTTGTACTCTGATTACGTAACTCTTGTACATGTAATCTGTTACTCCCCAACACTGGCCTTAAATGTGACCAACAGAAATGACTCAGACAACGGTTGAGTCCTGGTTTAGTCCTGGTTGAGTCCGAGGACTTGACACTGCTGCATGTTCCGTGTTTGTACTCGACACTAACGTCCATGTTTACGTCTGACAAAGGGAGCCTCCACTTTTATATGACAGATTTGTTCAAATCATAATATATTCATGTTATAATAATATAATAATGCCCTGTACTGTAACCTTTGTATTCAGTGATTAAAGTCATATTTATAAAACTCGTGTTTGATTGAAGCAGAAATAACAACAAACGATAATTTCATAAATCACTTTTATTTAAAGCAACACGAGCAAACAGGTAAAAATGAAGACACAATGTTTGAATGAACTCATTTTGAATTTTATTGAAGCTGTGAAACAAACGCCAAAAGATTTTATTTGAACTCAAATTAAAACTCAAAGGTTCCGCCTCCAATACGGCGCCGCCCACTCGGCTCAAAATGCTTACCTTCAGGAAACGCCGCGGCCAATGGGCTCAGAGCAAATATTCACAACAGAAAGACCAGGAAGTACCAAAAATACTTTAATCTCATGTATAAATTAACCGCTGTACATAGTCAGACCTGGTGCAAATACAAAAGTGTTCACTGCGAGGCCCCGCCACGCGCCGTAACCATGGTGACCGCCACCCGTTATTATGGCACACTTCAATCATTAGCTGCCGTTAGCTGCTAGCAGACTCCTCTTCTTTCACAGTCACTTCCTGTTTTGGTTCAGAGTCCACTTCCTGTTTGACAGAACATGAGGCTTCGTCCGCGTCTTCAGTTTTGATTTTGACATCATCCAAACTGAGCGCGCTCGGTTTGTCCTCCGCAACGACGGCACTCAGCGGGTGCTCCGTCAGGAGTTTGTTTGGAGAAGGAGTGGCGTCAACGTACGAAGACTAGAAGAGAGAAAAGAAACATCAGGGCCAGGACTAAACCAGGACTAAACCAGGACTAAACCAGGACTAAACCAGGACTAAACCAGGACTAAACCAGGACTAAACCAGGACTAAACGACTTCAGAATTTCTGTGAGTGTTTCATGTTTTGTCTGGATCGGGGTCTGGGGCAGGACTGTGTACTTACGTTCTGATAGTCCTCGAAACACGCCGGGTGGAAGTTCTGTGGAAACAGAAGTTAAAGTGAGAATCTGCAATGGTAGAACTTTTACAATCACAGTTTCAGCTGGAGTATTTTCGATGTACCTTATCATCTACACGGATGGCGTTCTTCAGGAACCAATCCTCCTCCTCCTCGACCCAGTACGTCTCAAAAGGCTCCTGACAGATCTCACACAACTGTAATACAAGAACCAGCTTAGACCAGACCTCCTGAAGACCCAGACCTCCATGAGACCTACACCCCAGCCAAAGGTACTTGCCTCTGCAACCTGGTCCTTGGTGGCCCTGACGCTCTGGAACTCCTTCTCTTTGGCTGCAGCTTGGGTTTTCTGAACCTCCTCCTCGTTCTCCTTCTCAAAGAACTGACTTTTAGCCCTTTCCTCCAGGTCAGCGATCTCCTCAAACTCAATCCAGTCCTGAAAGAAATCACAGTGTCAGAAGCAGAGCAGAGGAGGAGCAGAGGAGGAGCAGAGGAGGAAGATGTACTCACCGTGAGGCTGTAGTACCAGCGTCTGTGCGTGACCTTCTTGGCGGCCATCTTGCCTGCGTGGTTCTGCCTGAAGTGCCAGTCCAGGTGGTCGGCGTAGAGGTCGGTCTGAGCCGCGGTGAAGCGCATACTGCACAGACAGCACTGGTTCCCCGTGTACAGACGAGTTACCACGCTCTCATAACGGCTAGAGGACAGAGGGACAGGGTCAGAGACGTGTCCACTCAAGTTTAACCGAGTCCTGGTTTGGCTCATGTCTTGATTTACAGTCAGGGACCTACTGTTTCATGCTGTCCAGGCTGAAGCTGGTGAGGTCAGGCAAGTCATCCTCTGTTGGCTCCTCTTCATCGTCCTCATCCTCCACCACAGGGGCAGAGGGAGGCGCCTGAGGGGGGGCTCCTGGGAGAAAACAAACAAAATACTATTCACACAGGATTCATAAATCTACTGTCAGTCCTAAAAAAGTAACAGTGGGTCAGAGGAGTTACCTGGGGCTGAGGTGGTGGCTCCCTCGGGTTGAGATGGTTTGATGATTCCAGTGGAGATGAGTTTGGACAGAAGGTCGTTCACATCAACCTGCCCAAAGTGGTTCTCTGGAGCTGGAGGAGCTGCAAAAGTCAGACCAAGGTCAGACACAAAACCAGAACCAACATGTTCCTGTCACACGAGACAGAGGACCAGGCCTGAGTGGAGGTAGTGGATACAGTTGGGTGGAGGTCAGTGGATGTGAAGGGTGGGTGTAGTGGGTGTTGTGTAGCGCTCTCACCTTGGGGGAAAGGCACGTTGTTCTGAGGCATAAACGGCTGGTTCACATTGCCCATCATGTTTATCTGAAACAGAGACGAGCGTCACATAAACATCACAAATACATAAACTGTGTGTCTGATATGTCCGTGTCTGTGTGTGTGTGTGTGTGTCTGATATGTCCTTGTCTGTGTGTGTGTGTGTGTCTGATATGTCCGTGTCTGTGTCTGTGTGTGTCTGATATGTCCGTGTCTGTGTGTGTGTGTCTGATATGTCCATGTCTGTGTGTGTGAGGGGGTCTTACCGGCTGCTGCAGGCCCATCCCGGGGCCCATGCCTGGTCCGGGGCCCATCCCGGGGCCAGGGGCCTGGGGGTAGAAGCCTCCCTGAGGCTGGGAGAAGGGCCCGGGCTGGATGAAGTTGTGCCCCTGGAACATGGGCCCTGAGGGGGGGAAGGGGGCGTTCATGGGCTCGGTGAAGTGCTGGGGGCCCATATTAAAGCCCTGCTGGGGGGCAATGGGGCCGTCGAACATGGGGGGGCCCATGGGCCTCATGGGGGGCTGCTGCTGAGGAGGGAAACGAGGCTCAAAGCGAGGACCGTCAAAACCAGGTCTGGGTCTGAGGAGAGAAAGATTCAGTCTGTATAAAGTCGAGCTCAGATCTTTAGTCCTGTTCTGTTTAACCGTGTCTCACCTGGGCCCCGGGCCGTCGAAAGGCCCGTCGAAACGTGCCGACCTCGGAGGGAACCCCATGGGCCCCATGTTGTTATTGAAGCGCTGTGGCCCATCAAACCTCTGCATCGGAGGCTCAAACCGACCTGGCCCCTGAGGCCGGGGGCCATCGAAGCCTCTCATTGGTCCACCGTGCGGCATGTGATCAAAGTGGTCAGGGGCGTTGAAGCGAGAGGGAGGGCCATCGAAGTGCGGCTCTGGGTACGAGTCAAACCTGGGACCGCTCTCAACCCAGCCCTAAAGAACAAACACAACCATTATAGACAGGAGCCAGAAGAGGAGGAGCCAGAAGAGGAGGAGGAGCAGAGACAGAGGAGCAGAGACAGAGGAGCAGACTGACCTGTTGCCTGTTGACGGGAGGCTGGTCATTGTAGCCTCGCTCTGGTCCGTCGTGTCTGGGTTTGAGGATGGATTTGGGCTGGGTGTTCTGGAGGTTCTGGGGAGGCATCGGCTCCAGTGGTCCCTCCTCTGAGTGCTCTGAGTTGGGGCTCTCAAACCGCGGCACTGGGCTGGAGTCTGGCTGATCCCTGGGGGGGTCTCGGGCCACAGGGTGAGGCGGCGGCAGAGGGGACAGGCGCTCCCGCTCGAATCTGGAAGAGCCAGGGAGAGATTACAACAAAAATAATAACAACAACTCTAGGACAGTTCCAAATGATTTAGTCATTTATTGATGTGCTGTGTGGCAGTGCTCTGACCTGGGGGGCTCCTGGGGGGGCACTGAGGGCGGCTCCAGTCGGCGCTCTGGGAAGCGACGGTCGTAGCCGCTCTTCACCTCATCATCCAGACGCTGGCGCTCCGACAGAGGAGAAATCCACTCTGTCCGGTCTGCTGCAGAGAGAGCAAAGGGTTTGGACTGAGACTCAAACCAGGACTAAAGCGGGACTAAAATTAGGACTAAAGCAGGACTAAAAGCTGAACTAAAGCAGGACTGAAGCAGGACTGAAGCAGGACTAAAAGCTGAACTAAAGCAGGACTGAAGCAGGACTGAAGCAGGACTAAAAGCTGAACTAAAGCAGACAAAAAGCAGGACTAAAAAGCAGGACTAAAGAAAGACTAAAATAAGGATTTAAAGCAGAACTAAAGCAGGACTAAAAGCAGGACTAATGTTGGTTTAGTTTGTCTTAAATAATCTTTTAAAGAAAGATTTCACGTAGAACTAGCTCAGAAACTGAAGGACACACAAATGACTAAACCCCAGACCAAACCCAGACCTGTGTGTACCTGTTTCCCGGGGGTCCCTGGAGTCTGCGCGTCTCTTAAACCTGAGCCCGGGTAGAGACTTAAGCGGGGGGAACTCTTTGCCGTGGTTGTAGTCCTCGATCATGGGTCTCGCCGGCTCCTCTCGCTCTTTACTGCGGCGCTCGCCTAGACAACAGAGGGACACGGGGTCAGAGAGAAGAACAGAATAGCTCCTCCTCCTCTCCTCTTACCCTGGCATCAACCCAAAACTTTCAAAACAGGTCAAATCCTCCAGTTAATTTAGTCCTGACCAAGACTAGAGACCAAGATCTGACCTGTCCTTCAATGTCCAACCTCACCTGTCCTCTGTGCCCTGTAGCCCTCCTCCTCGGGCCACTCTTCTCCGGGCTCTCTGTTGGGCATTTGGGTCTTCCTGAGTTTGGACTTGTGTTCGTAGTAGGAGACCTGCGCTGCCTCCAGGCTCTCGGGGGGACCCCTCTGCGTCGGCAGCACAGAGGAGGGGCTCGTTTTGGGGGACTGGTCCCAGGACTCGCCCCTCTGCTGCTTCTCCTCCTGGTACTGGAACAGGTTTTTGATCTTATGGGCCAAGTTCAGGAACTCCTCCTCGGTGATCTCCCCGCTCTCCAGACGCCGGCTCGCCTGGACACACAAAACTCACGTCAGGGGATTGTGTTTGAGTGACAGATTAAATTCAACACCTTTTTAAGACCATTTATAGGCGAGTTTCATGCTGGGAATTATTTTGGTCGGCGGCAAGAAACACTAATTCAACATGATGGACGGAGCGAGAAAGCACGTAAAGGGTATTGATCCTGGTTATTTATCCACTCTAACGGCAGAGGACCCAAGACCATTTGACTAGACATTGGTCATAAGCATCGATGGAGCCAAATCACCCTTTTCAACCCCTACAAAAAGGTGGACCAAACCAAATTTCTGGTCAGAATCACCAACTACCTGGACAAATATTCACTTCAGCGATATCCACAAAGACTTGGTGGAAACTCCTGGGCCATTCACAGCAGAAAAGATGAAAACCTCCAAGAGTCTCGATGTGTTGTTGAACTTGTTGGAGTCCACGGTTTGCTAGGATCTTCTACTTTTGCTCTGCGGATGTTTGAAATCTATTTAATTCACCATTAGTGGTTCTTTTCACTCAGAATACGAAAAAGACATTTTCCTTCTTCTGTGCTTCTATTTGTGCATCTGATAATGCAGCAGGAATTTACCATTATCGGGGATAAATACGCGAGGTTTCACACTGTGTTTGACCACTACAGTGTTTCTTGCCTCCGACCAACATATTTCCCAGCATGCAACGCAGGCTTTTAATAACAATGACGTCAGCTGAAACTCGCCTATAGAAGAACTTAATACCGATTTCACGGTCTAAAAACTAAATTCTTGAATCTGTGTCCATTAATTTCTCAAACAAAGAAACCAGGGGAGTAAAGAGACACTTCCCCGTGACTCCAGCATGAAATGTGTCACTCGGGAACGCAAAACCAACATTAAAAAACATCAAAATGGCATTAATCACACTTCGTTCTGCTGCGATTTTCTGTGGCGCGTGATCTTCAGTGGATTTTGACCCGAGGTTGCGCTGCGTTCTCAATTATTAGTTCCGCCGCGCTTTATTTAGGCGACGTTATTTAACCAAATGATGACCCAGATATAAAATTTCAAGACTTTTTCCAAGTCTTTTTAAAGCTATTATTAAATTTAAATTCATAAATGCAATGGTTTTAAGAATTTTTAAAACACCGCGGGAGCCCTGTTACAGTATATTTTGCACAATCGCTCTGGTTAATAAAATATACGTTTATAGTCATTTACTTCTCTCTCATTTAACGTCTCTCTTTCTCTTTTTAATTTTATGATGATTATTTACGTTTTGATTTGTTTGTATTGTAATTTTAATGTATTTCTTATTCGGTAAAGCACTTTGTATGGCACAGTTCGTACACAAAGTAATCCAAATCAACTTTCCTACCTCGGTTGTATTTAGAATGAATCTTCTCTATTTTAATTTTTTTCTATTTTCGTGTATTAAAAGACGTCATTGCTCTGACCAGTTTTCACCAGAACACACCCACTGCTCTTTACTCTTTGGCGATACTCTCTGTTGTGATGTTTATGTTATTTTCTAACGCGGGTGTCAGATGTTTAGATCAATATTGAGATTTAAAATGTGTAAAATTCTAACAATGATCCACGGTGTGACAGATTATAACTACAGAACAGACACAAGCACTATACGTGAGCAATAAAGTGGCATTTCATAGACATTTAAAGTGACATTCATCTACTCCCTCTTCCTCTCCTCACCCTTCGGAGCAGGTCTTTCTTGGAGGCAGAGGTGAGAGCTTCGGGGATCTGCAGGTTTGCGTCCACGCTGAGGCGGTGTTTGGGCGTCCGAGGTGAGGGGTACTGCTTATGCCTCAGAGGTGTGGATTTGTGCATCTCCTCTTTCCCACTGCGACACAAACACAAACACACAGAGTTAATATTCACGTTAAAATTATGCCGGACAATCTCTCAGACTGGAGGTGAGGCTGTGGTCTGGTCTAACCGATACTGATCTTTAGGCTTTTAAAATCCTTACTGAGGTCAACAAATCACAAATTCACCTTTCGCTGCAAAAATAATTGTATTTTACTGGGATATAAAACTGGTTGTGTAACATACAGTCATTAAACTATTTCCATTTTCACGCATTATTCTGTTCAAAAAGGGCAAACAGAAGGGACAAAAAATACCATATTTTCCACACTATAGGGCGCACTTAAAGCCTTTAATTCATCAAAAAACGACTGTGTGCCTTATAATCCAGAGCGCTTTATATATGAATTTATTGGGGTGTGTTAGTACGACTTTAGTGAACTACAAAGCCACTCCACTTGCAGCATTACGGCTCCTGCAGTCAGGAGCATCAGGAGTAATACATACTCTGATTCCTTTTAATATCAAAATGCACCTGTCAAGAGACTAGGGCTGGGTATCGTTAAGAAGTTGTTGATACGATACATATCTTGATACATAGGCCACCATACGATACGCTTTTCGATACAGAGTACTTTCGATTCAGTACAATATATTTCAAATTGATTCGATAAGGTTAAAGGCCAAATCATGGATGTGAAAGTAAAAGTCCAATAAGTCAACTAAATTTGTGCAAAGTTAATATGAAAAATACCAATTTTACTCAAAACAGCGAAAATATCAACACAATTGTAGCTCTTACACAAAATAATTTAGTAAAATATACCTAAAAGTACTCTCAGCAATATCTCAATACAGCAGTCCACGATATCGATGCTGTATCATCAAATTAAGTGATACGATATATTGATATTTCAATATTTTTGCACACCCCTACAAGAGACACGCTCACAACACCCACTTTAAACTCAAGACTATTATAAAGTGAAAGTGCGAGCTGCGTGGGAGCAGTAGATGAGAGAAGGAGAACACACATTCACCAAGACAGAGAGACAGCGCCGATCGTGGACGCCCGGGCTAAGGATCAGTATCAACTGTGGTCCGAGCTTTCACCAAGTCCAGAATCATCACTGAACTGAACTCCAGGGAACAGTAACCACACTGACTCGGATAATGACGAGAGGGATGTGGGCGAGCTGGCCGCCGGAATCACCCAACTGTTTCAACTATTATGACTTACTGTGAATATTCTAACAATTTAGCGTCTAAGACAGTATTTTTTTTACACGTTACAATTGAACAAAGTTGAGTTATTGTGAACGCGTTAAATAAAGTTTGTCTGACTTATTTAACTGTTGTGTTTTGTTTAATGCGTTAATATAGTCCGGTGCGGTTTATTTGTGAAAAATAGTTCGAAAATAGACCATTTAATGACAGGGCGCTTTATGATTCAGAGCGCCCTATAGTTCCGAAAATACGGGATCAGTATCGAATATTGACTGATACTGATTTTGAAGGATTTGCATCAGTCGATACCGATACTAGAGACATCAGCCACCTGCAGTTTGGTCTGGACTCACTGTTTGTTGTCCTCCCAGCCGCTCCTCCACCGGTGCGCTGAGTCTTTTGCGTCTTTACTCCCGGGATCATGACCTCTGGGGGAGTCCCTGTCGTCGGGCCGTTTGCGTCTGTCCGAGAGGCTCTTTTTGGCCCCCGGTGGCGGTCCCCGGTCCTCTCTGCTTCGCGCATGCTTGTTCTTGGGGCCCTTGTGCGGGGAGGGCGAGCTGCTCCGGCCTCGGCTGCTGCTCTTGGGGGAGCGGCGTTCCTTCTCATGGCTGCCGGGGCGACTGGTGCTGCGTTTGGGGGAGGCGCTGTCCGGAGACCGGGATCGTGAGCGTTTCCGAGCGTGCGTCCGAGCGTTGCCTCCCATTTTAAACTCCTCCTTGGGCACCACAGACCCGTTCACCAGTTTGCCTTTTTTCGACAGGTCCTCGCGTTTCTTTTTCAGGTCCTCTGAGTCTTTAGCGTCATCCTCCTTCCTCTTTTTGTCCCTCACTTCATCATTCTCGGGTTTCTCTTGGACTCTCTTCTTTAATCGCGGGTCTTTCTTTTCCTCTACAGTTTTACTGTTTCGTGGGACACTTTTCGTCAGGGGCGAGGGGGACTTGGACGTCGGCTTTGCTTCGTCCACGCGCTGAGGTTTGGGTCGCTCTAGTTTGACGGGCTTTTCGGCGTGTTTCCTGTCCGCCGCGGGGGAGCTGTCCTTCAGCTCTTTGGAGGTAGGTCGGTTCAGTCGTGGATCCCTGATGGCAGGGGGTGCAGGTGCCTGAACAGGTGCCAGGGCAGGTGCCAGGGCAGGTGCGACAGTAGCAGTGACAGGAGCAGGGGTTTTGGCCTCAGTAGTGGTGACCTGTGGGGGAATCCAGGGGCGGATCACAGTGGCTGGAGGGACGATGGCTTTTGGGGTCAGAGATGAAAGTGAAGACTGAGGAAGCACGAACCCTCCGGCCTGAAACACAGAACAAACACAAATGATCAATTTAATAAACGATTTTTACAACTGACAAATGAAATTATCTCAAGATTTCTTGTATAAGACATTTAGTTTTGTAAATTCTAGGGATGCAACGATATCCAAATCAATCCTTATGATATTTTCACGATATATATCTCTTTGAACTTTCATTAACAATTTGAAACAAAAATAAAAAATCCTCCATACAACCTTTAAATTAAGAGTTATGGTGTAGCAGTAGCTAAAAAACAAACACAGAGGGAACTACATAGACCATGATCCTTTGCTCCATTTCAGTGCAGACGACAAGAGAAATAACAGTCTTATTTCTTTGGATTAAGTCTTGTCAAGGCATTTTAACCCTCTCCAGGCAGGCGTTGTAGATTTGCAACAGCTAAACGCCAATTACCTACTTACTCCAAATCCATATTTTATGAACTTTTTTTTACTCAGGAGCCTTTTCTCCCATCCATGCTGATAAACGTGGACGATGCAGACTGTGCAAGAACGGCTACACGCAAATGGCCTGTCAGAAGTGCAAAGTACTTTTGTTGTTTACAAAGGATAAAAATTGTTTCTTGGAGCACCACACGAAAAAGTGATGTTGTTCTGCCACTGTAAAGCTGTTACACTGTGCTTTATGTTTTCATTGTTATGAAAAGTGGTATGCACATAAAGTTAGCGCTCATATCATTTTCAGTTTTCAGTGTTAATTTACCACACCGTGCCAATGCTGCAAATCTGAAACATCCCAGAACACATTGCATGTGAAGGTCTCTCTCTCAAAAAAAAAAAAGTCAGGATTGTATATTACTACCCCATATGATCACTTTCCCCAAATATCAGATTTTCCTGTTACTGAAATGTAATTTGAGCCTGAGAGGGTTAAGAGGAAAAAGTAGCATATTCAGTTTGCTTCGAGGGAGGGAGCAGATAAATGTCACTTTAAATGTCTATAAAATGTCACTTCATTGCTCACGTATAGTGCTTGTGTCTGTTCTGTAGTTATAATCTGTCATACTGTGGATCATTGTTAGAATTTACACATTTTAAATCTCAATATTCATCTAAACATCTGACAATAAAAATCGTACTGTGAGATTCATACGGTGACAATATTGTATCGTAAGACTTGGATATGGTTACACTCCAAATGTTTAGAGTTTTCAGTGTGTGTTTACCAGCTGGGCCTTGGTCTGCTCCAGCTCCAGCTCGATCTTCTTCTGCTGAAGTTCCAGGAGCTGCTTCTGTTTGGCCAGAAGCTGCTGCCTGATGAGCTGCTCCTGAGTGAGGCTCGACACGGGGACCACGGGGGGCACAGCCGGAGGAGCTGCCGCCGGGGCCACCACAGGAGGAGGAGCCACCGGAGCCACGGGAGCCACAGGAGCCGGAGCCGCAGGAGCAGCAGCAGCAGCAGCAGCAGCAGGCCGGGCGGGAGACGACTCATCCGGCTGAGGATAGAAGGGACACGAGTTACGATGTGGGTGGAAGATCTCACCAAACAAAACCGCCACAAGACTGAGCACACGTGAGGACAGATGTTTGATCCCTCAGTCCTCGCTCCTGGTGGTTACCTGCTTGAGGAACTTGGGGTTGACGTGGATGCTGTTGGCGGTGGGGGGCAGTGGTTTGATGGGCCAGGCCGGGTCCAGTGAGTTGACCCGGACGTCCAGAGCGTAGAGTTTTTTAGGTGGGAAAACCTCGTCCCAGGTGGAGCGCAGCTTAAACAGGCTCTTCCTCGTGTTCTCGTCCACCTGCGGACATGAGGACATGAGCTTGGTCCTGAAAGCAGCTCACACAACTCAACAAAACCAGAACCACTAGAACCACATGGGATAAAAAGGCCCCAAGTTAATCAGGTCGTGTAAAATGAAATAGTTCTTATAAAGTGGAGGGAAGGTGGGTCACTGCAGGTTTTTAAAATGCCATAATTTCCTCTACAAACAAGAAAATCTCCAGTTTAATTCTGCATAAAAACTGCTAACCCTGTAATTTTGATTTCTTGAATTAGTTTGTCAGGTAATCTTTTAACATTTTTGTCAGTTCTTCTGAATGTGTTTAAAATGTGAACTCTGAAGAGAATCCTATTATTAAAACAATCTAAAATCTTTTTTTTTTTTTTATTTACATTTTAGATTTTTCATAAATCAAGCATCTATTTTGAAAGCTTTTACTTGGCTGTTTGCAAACATTTAAATCTCTAGATCAGACATATCAGACTCAGGCCCGGGGGCACATCTGACCCATGATATAATTATATTTGGCCTGTGAGGTCATAACATATGTATTGGAGCTGCCCGGGGGCTTCAGATAGACTATAGACACATTTATTTAAAATGTTATTTTATATTTTGTTTGTTCTGGATTCGATGTTTAACCAAAACTATTATTAAACATTTATTTTAACAAGAAAAGACATTGCATATCTCGAAAGAAGAGAAAACATGCAGATGTTGTTGGAATTTTCAATAAATATTTAGTTTGGCCCACGACGTAGTCCCAGTTTTAAATTTTGGCCTCTGTGAATGAGTTTTTGAGACTCCCCTGCTCTAGATGTACAAGAGAAACATCAAGAGTCTGAAAATAGTTAACGACATGGAAAAACTCTAATATCTACACATAAATGCTGCACTGTGTAACTTTTTAGTGGAGGTTCCGTCACATGCTTGTTTCTATGGATAATATGTCATTGCTCTGTCTAGAATGTTCCACAGTGTGACATTAAACAGCTCTGCCTTACATTTAAATCAATTACAAGTGGTTTTATAGCTCAAAAACACCTAGAAAAACAGGTGTTCTGACTCTGAGTGGGGTCGCCTCTGCACAGATCTGACTTCTAACTTGGTCTGGTTTTGTCGCAATGAAGATAAAAAGGTTTAATACCATACTGTGAAACATTTATAACATCTCCACGGAGAAAAGCGTTTGATAAACCGTCCACCAGAAAAATTACACACTGCGCCTTATTTTAACATTTGTATCTTATTAAACAGAGGTCATAGAGTTAAATTGATGAGGGGTTAAATTGTGTTTCAAAATAAAAATACAACCAAGACTCAAACATTAGAGTGAAGCAAGCATTTCAGATTTCAGTAGTGGTGTTTCTTTTTAAGGTGGGCAACGCAACTTTTCTCGTACTGTACTACAAACGGGACTTGGCAAATGCTCTCAAAGTTATTACAAATCTATTTCTGACGCTCACTTTTTTTTAATGCCAAAAATTACCAAATCTTCAGCTAAGTCACTCCTTTCTGCTGTTATCTCATTATAATCTAGTTAAAATCTACATAAAATAATAAAAATGTTGGTCAACTAAGACTTGACGAACCGTTTAATCAACTAAACTCCTTGTCGGTATAGTAAATGTGAAGAAAAAAAGTGATGTTTTTCCAAATACAGAACAACCCAGACTATTCAAAAGTCATTGTAAGGTTTTAAAAAGTATCGAAAATCAGACACCAACCGATACTAGATACTCATTTGAGCCGGTGTCGATACTAAAACGGTCACATTTACAGGACAAAATGAACAGTTTTGAGTCAGAACTAGTACAAAAAACTTACGGTAACTTCAAGTATTATTAATTTTGTGTATGAAAATTCACCAGAAACACAACCACTAAAAGAGGCCTATCACGGTAACGTTTTGGAGTGCGAAATATAAGTACAGAAAATGTCAAATTATAATACTTAAACTACTTTATACCACTAACACAAGAACGCAGAAGCAGAGAGATTAAAACCAAAACATACGCGTCAGTAAATAGCTGAATGAATTCTTAAAGAGGGGGTATTTTGCGACTAAATGTGTTATTTGTTAGGAGTTTTTACCAGAAAGATCCCAGTGTTGCCATTTATCATTTTAAAAATGCAATAATCGCTGAAAGTATTGACATGTTTCATAAGATTCGCTTTAATTTTTGCACATCGTATCGGATTTGTCAAGCTGCTGTGAAGAGTTTTGTGTCACGCTTTTGTTTATTTATCAAGCTGGGAACAATTGTGGGCGAAGAATTGTACAGAATCTTAAAGCCAACCTTAAGGAGGGTTTGAAAAAGGCCCGGGACAGATCGCTAGATTACGCAAACACACAACGATGACATAAAACCTCTTCAGGCATTGTTGAAAGAACGTTACACGGTACAAAAACAAACCCAAAACGTGCATAATACCCCCTCTATAAGTTGTTAGTCGATGTCATTTGTGAGTCGTAGATGATAATTCTTTGACCTCTCTGGATCGAAGCTCAAAAAAAATACAGTTTCAGGTATTAAACGCCAAGCGCAAATGGAGATTATCGTGACAGGCCAACACTGAAACGGGTCTAAAGCCGTTCTGAACGCAGACACAGAGGGACAATAGGTCAGAGCGGATGCAGACTGGAGCGTACCTTCTCAAACACACATATAAACGATGTGATTAGGTTTTTAGCAAAAACCGGGAGGTAGTCTCGGCCCACGTTCTTCACGATGGAATCCACCAAGTACAAAACGGGAAGCTTCTCGTGAGGGGGCGCCTGGAGCAATAAGAAAACTCACAAGTTTAGAACACAACAGAGCAGAAATACACCGTTCATATATCAGACAAAACACAAGATACCACCAGAAACCCAGAAAAATGCAAAAAGACCGCAGTGGCTGAGCTGCACCAACATCACCGCGAACTGAACCCTGAACTCGGGTCGGTCAAACTTTGAAATGACTTGAACCTAGTTTGAGGTTTAAGTGGTTTTGATAAGTTTGACCGGCCAGAGTTCAGCGTCAGTCGATGTTGTTGGTGCGGCCCAGCAGTGAAAACAAGGAAAAGCAAAAATCTTCTGTCTTGATTAAAAAAAAATTAAAAATAAAAATCTTGATCTTCTGCAGATTTTAAACCCAGAGTCCAAAAACTATAATTTACTAAACAGGGAAAAAAAACGCTGTCAGTTGCATGTCCAACAAAATGTAAACTTGAGAAAATTAAAACAAAAATGGAAAAACAGGAAGCAAAAAAAAGTCCAATCTTCGTCTTGGGAAAAGTCCAGATGCCCTGGAGTCACGGTGAGTCGGGTCTGGAGCAGGTTACCTCCAAAGAGGGCAGCGCCGCTCTTTGTACATTACCGCGTTGACGCTCACAGCTTCAGTTTGAGTTTTCACATGTTCAAAGTTTTGAGTTTTAGTTCAGACTCAGACTTTACTCATGTTTGTTTACATTAGCTAGATCACTTTAACTCTCTTAATGTTCCATCAGAAACCAGTTTAAATCACTAAAATAATAAAAATGACAAAAAGCACATTTCATATGTTTTATTACAACTTTTTAAAAATCATTCAATAAAAATGACATTTGCAGATTTCAAAACTAAAAAAGCGCAATTAAATGGAGAAAGAGCAGAGCTGAATGCTGCAGGTGTAACAAAGGCCCGAGAGTCAAAATCCACCAACAGTTTCCCTCTCAATAATTAAACAAAAGAAGGTTTAATGAGACTTTAACGTTTTATTTTGTAGATGTGTGCATAACAGCTCCTATATTGCTCCACATTTCCTTATTTTAAGCATTTTATTAACATTAAACCTACTATAATTTCCAAAAAAAGCCAACATGCCTCAAACATTTAAATGTATTTGAAAAAAAGACACTCAAATTATAATGTTATTCAAAAGAGATGTAAAAGGATTTGTTCCACTTTGGTGATACAGTTTTGACTCTGGGACATTGGTTATTCATCTAATCTTTATTTTTCTAAACTTTTAACTATACTACTGCTCAAGCTGAGTCTTAAATCTCATTTTCATCCATGTTCTTGTTTACCCTGCCTCCGGGTTTCAAACAGACATTCGTGACTCATTTGGAAACTCCAAGTTTTAGTTTCAGTTTTAGTTAAAGATGTGAACAGGAAGCAGTGTTGTGTGTTCAGTCTAACTCATGAAAACACGTTGGTAGATTTGAATGTACTTCTGAAGCTCCAAGGCTGTAAACGTGAGCTGGATCTTTATTTGAGTCTGTATGTTATGGCAATTTTTTTTGTTTTTGTGAAAAGTCAAACAACTCTTAAGCAATTATTAGAGGTCATACAATACGCAAACTGACTCTTGTGAGCTTTAAACTGAGTTATACTGTAGTTACCTCAGCAAAAATATATCTGGAGTTGTGTTTTGTATCATTCACAAGTTGGAGTAACCCTTTATTATTAGTCGGTCTACATCTCCAAAGCTCAGAATGTTCTGTTCCAGCTTGTGATGTCATGCAGCGGCAGTACTTTAAGTTACCAGCTATCTTTTAGCTTTTGTTCAGTAGAGATAAGCAACTCCAGGGCTGAAGGAAGGTGTAAGGTGAAAAACAAAAAACAAAAACAGCACTTCCTGTGTTACCATATGCTGTTTTCTTTGTGTGTTCAACATGTGTGAATGAAAAAAACACAACTTTAAGTGTATTTTGATGAAGAAATAAAATTGTAACATACATTTGAAAAGTAATATGAACACTTTAAACTATCTAGCCCTCACATATGTTATATTTTAAACCAAAATGATGACTAAAGTTAAACCACATCACTGTTTTGTATACTTTTGTTACCTTAAAACATACGTGAAATTGTTTTACTGTTACAATTTACGTTTTTAGTGCTAAAGATGAAACTATTTTACAACAAAGTGCGTCATTTTAACATTTTTTAAAGTTAAATTCTCACGGCTGTCATTTCCTGTCACGGGTTTGCGCTTGGAAACTATTACATCAGAGCCCCAAACGGTGGATTTTGACTTCATCGGGCCCAAAATGTGGCTTAAAAACTGCATCCGTTTCCGACCAAAACCACTCAGAACCGTAAAGAACTGACCGCAGAATAAGTGTAAAGGGATTTGAAACTTTAATACACAAGATTAGATATAAAAAAATCAGTGTTAAATTCAGGCAAAACTAAGCAGCAAACATGTGCAGACTGGGAAAGACATGAGGGAGCCCGGCTGCGCTAAGTCGCCATGTTACTCTAGGCCTTAACGTTAACTAAATGCGGTTACATCGACACAAAGCGACTCAAATGTGAAGTATTCTATGTATAAAAACCTTGCTTATTTGAGCTTCAATTATTCCGACGATATCCTTGGCGAAGGCGATGTTCTCCTCGGCCAGGATGGTGAGCATGTTGATGTGCGGTTTGCTGTTGAATGTCAGGTCTTCCAGGGACGACTCGTACTCTCGGCACGCATCTTCCCTCGCCGCCTCGTCCTCCATCTTTGAGCTGCGAAACCCTACGCGTGCCGTGCCCGCACCGAAACCATGGAGCACCGCACAGTCCATCAACACATCGGGGCTATCGGTTCGTACGCGTTTTCGGTATTTAAAAAAAATGACGCGGGTAAATCTGTGGAAGTGTTTCGCTCGCGGGTCCGTCTGCGTCGCCCCTCGTTTCTCGACAACAAGATGGCGGAGATGCCGGAGCGAACTGTGCCGCATACGTCACCGCGGGGCTTTTATAACCGGGCTGTTGAGGAGCGCTGTCGAGGCGCTGATTGGTCGGATAGGATGACGGACAGGTAAAAGGGCCAATCGGAGCGAAGCAGGCGTCGGTTTGAACGTTACATAACAGGACCATAGGTAAACACGGCCTTAGCAACCACCATAGATACAGAACGGTAGATCTCGCATTGGCTACCTCTGTTGTTTGGAACGAACGCGTCAACAAAGCCGCCATCTTGGTACAGTGTAACGCTGCTTTTAAAGGTTGTAAGGAGGAATTTTCATTTTGATTCAATTGTCAATGAAAGTTTAAAATGTCATTACAGAGATGCAGCAACTTTGTAATTATCAATCAATCAATCAATCAAATTTTATTTATAAAGCACTTTTCATTCAAAAACGTAACACAAAGTGCTTTACAGTCAGTGTTGGGGAGTAACGGATTACATGTACCGGCGTTACGTAATCAGAGTACAAATTATGAGTAACTGTATTCCGTTACAGTTACTGTTTTAATGAGTGGTAATTGGATTACAGTTACTTTGCTGAAATAAGTGGATTACAAGGCGGTATTTTCCTGTTTTCATATTTTGTGCTACCTCCCATTTATTTATTTTTTTATTTCTGTAATTCCACTCATTGCCGGAAACCCAAACAGAACGCGACAGTAAGAGCGATGTAAACATCATGTTAACGTTGGTGGTGTCAGTCACACAATGGAAACAGCAGTGCATTGGTAAAAACGCATTTGTGTCTTGGAAATTCTTCTCCCGATGTGATATATATACATATATCTATATATATCTATCTATATATATATATCTATATATATATATATCTATATATATATATATATATATATATATCTATATATATATATATATATATATATATATATATATATATATATATATATATATATATATATATATAAATCACCTACAACTTACAGAACAAACAAACAGGAGCTACTGGCACTGGTGAAAACAACCTGCATAGACTCATAATATCTGCACTACTGTCCTATAGTGACCTGCGACATGAGGGGACGCACACACACACACACACAAACACACAGTGTTGTGCAAGTTCACACTTTTCATGAACTAGTTCAAAGTTCAGTTCATTTTATATTTAGATGAGATCTGTAAATGAAAGGCTGCTTTTATTTTTCAAACTGACTTCTAGTTTACAACAACTTTACAAGATACACTGTTGGACAAGTGACTTTAAAACTGTAATGTGTTATTTATGACTTGTTACTGTCATTTCAAAGTCATTTGTTACATTACAATATTACTGTATTTAAAATGTAAACATTACACGACTATTGCAGCACTTTTAATTTACTCTCACCAAAAGAACTGTTAAGATGCTGAACTTTTGCGCCGTATATGGACTGAACCAGGACTGAACCAGACTGAACCAGACTAAACCAGGACTAAACCAGGTCTAAACCAGGACTAAACCAGAACTGAACCAGGTCTAAACCAGTTCTGAACCAGAACTGAACCAGGTCCAAACCAGGACTAAACCAGGTCTAAACCAGGACTAAACCAGAACTGAACCAGGTCTAAACCAGGTCTAAACCAGGTCTATACCAGAACTGAACCAGGACTAAACCAGAACTGAACTAGGTCTAAATCAGGACTGAACCAGGTCTAAACCAGGAATAAACCAAGACTAAACCAGGACCAAACCAGGACTAATCCTGGACTAGAACTTGGAATCTAGGAGCGCCCCTGAGTGAACCCCGAGTGCGATCGGGCGTCAGCTGCGTTTAGTTCGGTGGAGCGCGGACTTCTGCGTGGCGCACCTCCGGCGTTTCACCGCTGCTGATATCGCGGTGATTTTAGCAAATTTGTATGAAGAAAAAAACCCACCATTTCAATCCAGGTTAAAAAAGCTTTGTGACGCGCGTTACTGACATTTGTACCAAGTAAAATAATACGCGCGGAGCAGCACGTCCTGTGCGTGTAGATTTCAGAAAATAGGATCCATCCTATTTTTTGACGCTCTACGCGAGCGTCCCCGTCAACATACACAGAGAGCATGTATCTATTGTTGTATTTGTGCATTTACCATCAGCGCATTGTGCTCCCTGGGCAGTTGTGTATCATGTGAAAGAGCCCAGATCCACATACACTGTTAATTAGTGCTTTGAAATTTACTTTTGAAATCCTTGCGTTTGCCGTGGTCAGCCTGTACAGAAGGTAAATACAAGCAGCTAAACGCGCCCAGTCAAGTTTCATTGACTTCCCATTGAGAGACACAAGAGCCCGTACGTTCCGGTAAAAGCTGCCGGTGGGAGTCGCCTTCACGTTGACACGCAGCTGTGGTTTCGGGAGGTGAAGTGCGAGCAGATCGTCACTCGTCAAATTCCGACGTTTAACTGAACCCCAACAGTGACGTACGTCGTTCATCACATATAATTTGAACAAATTCACGTTCAAGTTCTTGATTTACAAAAGTGTTGCGTTCAGTTCAAAGTTCACTGAAAAATGAACGTGTTCAATGAACGCGTTCTTTTGAACTCGTTCATGCACAACACTGCAAACACACACAAACACACACACACACACACACAAACACACACATTCATCGTCGTCATCAACCTGAGAACCCGCGGACCACGTCTCCTTCCGTAGTTACAGCGCGGACACTGCCGTCTCGTGCGCCGCGTGTGGACTGTGTTTTCTCGCGTAAACCGCACTTCCTCCTGTGCGCCTCTAAACCAGAACTAAACCAGGACTAAACCAGGACTAAAGCAGGACTGAACCAGGTCTAAAACCAGGACTAAACCACGACTAAACCAGAACTAAACCAGAACTAAAGACCTGGTCTAGACCTGGTCTAAACCAGGTCTAAACCAGGTCTAAAATCAGGACTAAACCAGGACTAAAACCAGGTCTAAACAACATGACACCTAACAGTAGGTTGAAATAATTAAAGGTGATGTCATATAAAAAATAGTTTCTCTATCAGTAATATTTTTTAATCTGGTGAAGGAAAGTCTTATCTTGTTATTGTCTTTTAACAGAAAACCTCTTATATTAAGATCTCCTGGTCTTTGTTTCTCTACAGTAAACAGTTGCTTATTCATGGAGACTTGGGCTCAGACAATTTGAAGACAACAAACAAGAATTTTCAGGATGTGGTTGCTACATTCATGTCGTTTAAAAAAAACATGACAATATCAAGTAATCCAAAGTAATCAGATTACGTTACTCATTTTAAGTAATTTAATGGATTCTGTTACAAACTACATTTTGGGGTGTGTAATCTGTAATCTGTAGGGGAATACATTTTAAAAGTAACCTTCCCAACACTGTTTACAGTGATTAAAAACAATCCCACATTTCCACCCACCCACCAACCCAACCCAACCCCCACACCTGCCCGACCCCACACAACCAAACAACCCAGACACGCACACCCACACGCACACACACACACACGCACACACACATGCCCTAAGATGGTAAAATACATAAAATGACCTATAGTAAAATGTGGGGCTGAATACAGGCGAACCAGATGAGAAAACACCATCAGAGGAGCCGTCTACATCAGGAGCAGAGAGACGTCCACCACCACCAAGAACCACCACAGGAGCCAGGGGAGAGATGAAGCCCAAACACCAACCCTCCACCAGGAGCCCACGGAACAGAACCCGGCAGCCACAGCGGACCTCTGCTCCTGATGCAGAGGCTCCTACAGAGGAAACACTGGAAATCCTAAAAAAAAATGCCTAAAATAAATAAATATAATAAAATGTGTACAATAGAAACAGGTAAAAGTATAAGAATTTAATCAAAAGCTAAGCTAAAAAGGTGGGTCTTGAGCCTGCTCTTGCTCTCTGCAGCCTTGAGCTCCTCCGGCAGGCAGTTCCATAGAAGGGGGCCATAGTACTGACCACAAAAAAAAAAAAGAATGAAAATCGATCAACTGTGGATGTAGTGAGGCCAGATATACCTCAGCCAATAGATAACAAGGCCACCTCATTTTCCATTGGCTGTTAGGTTGTCAATCAAACTCCCTACGTTCCTAGTGTAACTGACTCCCCGGCATGCGGGGATTACGTGGTGCAGCAGTTCTTGGAGGGTTTTTTTAAACTGCAGCTTCCTCGCAGTTCGCATCAAAGTTTGTTGCAATGGCGGACGAGAATCCACGACCGATTCGCCGCAAAAGAAAGTCGGTTTTTGAGGTCGCTGAAAGAAGAAGAGAACAGGAAAAGAAGCAAAGCCAAACTGAGGTGATTCTTGGAGATCTCGTCCAGCGATTGCACGAATGGAGCACACGAAGGGTCTAAAAACTGACGTGTTGGTCACTAAATTATTTCTAGACAGGTCACTTCAACAGTAATTTTGAACATGCACTGGCTGTAAACAAGCGTGGTTTCTAGAGTAAAGAGGCGAGAGGAGATGTTTCTACTGAGGGAGCTGTGGAGGAGGAAGGTGGTGTCACAGATGCACAACATTTGAAAACGGACTGTGGTTGTATTTCTTCCCTTAAAAAATCCTCTATACAACCTTTAAATGAATGAACATCAATCGGGGACATGGCGATTTACAGAATTAAAGTAGCCTACCTTAAATCGACAAGTTTTATTTGCTTGGTTCGTTACAAATGTCAGAAGTGTATTTATAACTGAGCCGCAAATAAAGTGATAGGGAAGAGATTTTTGTCAACTTAGCTTTCTTTTACGTTCAAAATGTAAAGGACATAATGGGAGTTTGCCTATGTTCCCTCATTTTTAAGTTTTTTTTCTTTCCAAAATTAGGCACTATGTTCCCACATTTCCTTTATCATCAATTTGGATCAGAATTTATCCCCATTTCTCCCAATTTGGTCATCAATTACACCCCACCTATTCTCCAGCAGCAGTTGACTACAGATGTAATGTAGAGGTCGTAGTGTAAAGGACCCTAGGTTAAAATGACTCTGAATCCTCCCTTTAAATGTGGTATAAAAATTACTTGACTTAGAGTTTAATTTAGATTTTTAAAAATCTTAGAAATACGGGAGCATGGGACTGAGGGAACATAGGGCTGACTCCAACATAATAATGACATTTTTCACATTCTTCCAATCGAAATAAACACAAACTACTCCTACTACATGCAGAACAATGTAAATGCAATAACAATAACACAATACAGAAACCACAATATAGGCCAACGTTAATTTAAAGACCCTGACAATCTACTGGTCATGATAAACCCCCGCAGCGTTACCACGCAAAGCCCTAAAATTTCAGGTCAGCTTGGTCAGGCTTTAAAAAAATGTTGCAAACAACCTTTTCCACTAATTTCCTACATTAGTCTGTTCCAGAGAAAGTGGAAGCCTCTGATCCTGGCTGACATGGCGATCACTGAACATCAGTTTACACTGCAAAGGGGTGAGCCCAATGTTCCCCGGAACCTCCTCCAATTATGTAAGGTACCGATGTATCCCGTACCTCTGTTTTACCAGTGCTGCTGTTCCCCCACCCATAAAAACTGGGGAACAACGGCACCAGAGAACAGCAGTACCAGGGAACAGGCACGCACCCCCTGCAACCACCAGTCACTTAATCTCAGGGACAACATACTAGACTAGACAGCTGGTCTATACACACAGGCATTTGTATTTGTAATAACTACAGACAATTTACAGTTTACACAATTCATTTTCCATGGAAGGAACACTATATATCTTCACAGGCTGGACTCCTGTAACGCACTCCTCATTGGGATACCTGGTAGGAGCATCCAGAGACTGCAATACATCCAGAACATCGCTGCCAGGATCCTGATGAGGGTGCGAAAATTTGACCATATCACCCCCATCCTGAAATCCCTTCACTGGCTCCCGATCACAATCAGGATTGAGTACAAAGTCTCCCTCCTCACTCACCAGTGCATCCACGGACAATTCCCCCAGTACCTTAAGGAACTCCTCACTCCCCAGACCCCCTCACCTTCCCTCCGCTCTGCATCCATCAACACTCTCCAACCCCCCAGAACCAAACTCTGCACCATGGGTGATCGGGCCTTTTCAGCTGCAGCTCCAAGGCTTTGGAATACTCTCCCCAACCACTTGAGAGCCCCACAGTCTACTTCTGTTTTTAAACGAAATCTTAAAATGTATCTTTTTACTAAAGCCTTTTGTTAATTGTATTTTATTTCTATTTTATCTTATTGGTTCCTGCAATAGTTTTAGCTTGATGCACTGTTTGCTGATGCACTTTTATTCACTGTTTTTACCTGTAGCACTTTAAGATTATTTTATGTAAAGTAATATAAATAAAATGTATTATTATTATGATTAAATGTATTATTAATGTAAAGGATAACATCTTTTTAACTGCTTATTTGGAGCATCTTCGCTCGTTGGTACTGTGAAAAAGTGTGGTCAAATGACTTAACGTTCAGTGACACTTTAGAACAGGGGTGTCCAAACTTTTTTCATCAAGGGCCACAAATCTAAACACAGATGAAGCAGAGGCCGATCGAGGGCCATAGACTGGTGCTCAGTACAGTGAATAATTGAAATATGTGCATGTTTAACACGTTAGAATGAGCCATCAGACTTTATTCATGATAAGATCCTTAAAACCACACACTAAATATTAAACATTTGCTTCATCAAGGTAGATTTTCAAAAAACTTGCAGTAAAGAAATATTTTTTAATTGATGCAAGTTAATTCGGGCCAATTCACCTGGAAGCCTGAGGGCCAAGAAAATTTGTCTGAGGGCCACATTTGGAAACCAGGCCATAGTTTGGACATGCCTGGTTTAGACCATAGAAACCCCGTACCAAAATGGCAACGGTATTAACACATGCCAAGAGACTAAACGAGATCTACTGTTCTATATTTATGAGCGACAACAGGCCAAACTGTCAGCGCCTCATATCTCTACCTCTGCTATTCTACTTTGGAAATCTCTACTGTATCTGCCTTTTTCATAATTTAACTCATCTGGCAGGTTTTCTTTTTTTTTTCTTATCATTACAGTTGATTTGATAAAACCCGTGGTAAATAAAATCATTAACAGAAGGAAAATGCATGTTCTAGTAAAAATTTGCACACATGGAACACTATATTCTAGCAATTTAAATATTAATTAAACAAATTGTCATAAATTCCCGGGTTTCACATTACATCATAAGGTTCTATATGAGATTTTTCTTGTAACAGAACTAATCTGAGCTCTAATTAATAGAAACGATCAACATTTGACGTTCGGAGACGATAATAAATAACACTTCTCTATTGTGTCATTTATGATCATTGTGTAATCGGAATAAGAATCAGTGTTCAGTGTCAAGTTTATTTTTTAATATTGAAATAGATAGTGACACCAGCTGCCCATGAAACTAACTTTAAAACTATGAATAGCTATTGTTTTTCACCTCATTTACACTGCTTCACTCTTTAAGGCAGTTTTTGCACTTGTATGTTCAGTATTTAACCTCAACAATAAATACAACACAGTCTTAAAAATATTTAAATATATTTCATTAGGTCATTAAAACTCATGCAGTTTATAAAAAGACATTTATAATTTACATGTAAATTAATTATAAAAATATTTTCTTTGGGCTTGTTACTTCCAAAGTCGGTAAACTCCCAAAACGACGGCGAGGCAGCAGAAGAGTGTGGCTGTGGGAAACAAAAAAAACAGAGAATGAGACGTCTTTGGACCATGTGTTTAGACAATAATTAGGATTTATACACTAAATATTGTAGAATAGTGTGTTTTCCCATGTATTTCAGGAGCAAGTCTCCCCGGAAAACTTAAAGTGGCACTACATTTTTACAATAATTTTTAGCTTTATGCATTGTAATACTTTATTTGTTGTTTTTATTTATGATGTACTGTCTTTTTTTGCATTCATTTGTCTGTGCAGCTCTTTGGAAACTGTCATATTTATAAAATGTGCTGAATAAATAAAGTGGATTGAACTGGGTAAACATCTAAACTCAAAAGCTGCTAAATGAGGCAGAACCTGGAGATCTAAAGTGGAGAGTGAGGAGGGGGAAGGTTGACAACAAAGCTACAAATCTACCAAGTTTGCATGAAAATTGCCAAAAAATGTTTAGCGCCCTCTGCGGGTTAGAGCGTTTACCTGCCAGGTATCGCACCGTCTCCAGTTTGAGCGACTCCAGCAGAGTTTTCAACGACGCCACCTCCAGGTCGATTTTCTTGTTTATCTCCATGTAATCGTGGTCCAGGTCGGACTTCTACAGAACCAGAGACACAGAGCCATCATCAAAGATGCGATAGTACACAAAATCAACTTTTGTTGATTGACGTTGTAATGTTCTTTCACTGAAAGTATGTTTAAAGAGGTTTTAGATGCCGTTCATGCATGTTTGAGTAATCTAGGGATCAAACCCTCCTTACAGTTTTTTGCTACTTATTTAGAATTTATTATTACCATTTAAATTTTTTACTCTTTGTTATTATATTATATTGTGATGTGTGAGCTCCTGTGTCCAAATAAGTTCCTTTCTGGATCAGTTTGTCTAAGTTGAAACCTCTGTTCATTTTACATATTGACCCTTAAGGTCCTTAAGTGACTTAACACGGGCAGAAAAGGACGGGACAAGGGTGTTTTGGGGAAATAAAGTATTTTTAAAACAGTAAAAGGTAACGTGTTGATGTAAATACATTTTGTGTTAGCAGTTAATACCCCATAGAAGTAAAATACCCACTATAAATCAGGGGTCTCCAGCCTTTTTACTCTGATGAGCTACTTTTACATAATGAACATGCCAGAGAACTACATTCAGAACTTCTGAAGAAGCAGGTGGATGAGCTGTGAAACGTATTCAACCAAAATAAACTTTTGTCTAGTTGCCAAATTGAATTTCTTCTTTTGTCAGGGATTCTACCTGGACGACTGAAGGATTGTACACACTAGTTTTAGTGATCACAAGAAACTGAGTAAATATAAGAGCCATGGCCTTAGATGAGGCACAGATAGATGCCTATAAAATATAAACCATTGTGCACAGCAGAGCACAAAGTTATGCATCAAAATGATATATGCATAATGGTGATAGACATTTAATTAATCAAATTAGACTTATTCAGCACAATACGTGCAATTCAGAAATCTCTTGGTGAGCTACTTGGAAGAGGGTGGAGAGCCCCAGTAACTCCCGAGCTACAGGTTGGAGACTCCTGCTTTAAATAAACACCTAAATTATAGGGATGTAACAATAACCGAAATATCGTGACATCGTATCGTCAAAGTGCTCACAATAATATCGTGGACCATCACAATATATCACATTCCAAGTCTCTTTGCTGAACGTTAACATTAAGGTAACAGTCTGGTTTTTGTCCCAGAGACAGAGAGCGCCAGCAGGGGGAGACTCAGGCCTGGGTTTGTTTACCTTTGTGTGAAACTCTGTGCTGGCCTCCATCAGCTTCTTCTCCTGATCTGTGAACTGAAACAAACAAACATGTTCATACGGCACCTTTCAGAAGCTGTGATTTAGACCTGGTTTATTTAGTCCAAGGTAAGTCCTGATTTAGTTCTGGTTTAGTCCTCTGGTTTAGTCCTGTTTCAGTCCTAATTTAATTCTGGTTTAGTCCTTATTTAGTCCTGGTTTATCCTGGTTTGTCCTTAGTTTAGACTCTAAACCAAGACAAAACCAGGACAAACCAGGACAAACCAGGTCTAAACCAGGACTAAATCAGGTCTAAACTAGGTCTAAACTTTAGACCTAGTTTAGACCTGATTTAGTCCTGGTTTAAAGTTTAGACCTAGTTTAGACCTGATTTAGTCCTGGTTTAGACCTGGTTTGTCCTGGTTTTGTCTTGGTTTAGTCCTGGTTTCTGTCTCTGTGGTTTAATCCCAGTTAAGTCCTGGTTTATGCCTGATTTAGTCGTGGTTAAGTCCCGGTTTAGTCCCGGTTTGTCCTGGTTTTGTCTTGGTTTAGTCCTGATTTAGACCTAGTTTACACCTAGTTTAGTCCTGATTTAGTCCAGGTTTAGGCCTTGTTTTATTCCTGGTTTAGACCTAGTTTAGTCCTGGTTTCTGTCTCTATGGTTTACTCCCAGTTAACTCTTGGTTTATGCCTGATTTAGTCATGGTTTAGTCCCAGTTAAGTCCCGGTTTAGTCCCGGTTTAGTTCCGGTTTAGTCTTGTCCTGGTATGGTCCTGATTTGAGGCCAGTTTAATCCAGATGGAGACCTGGTTTGATGGGATTAAAAATGTTTATATAAAATGACATGTCCTCATCTCTGTGTCCTGCGTGTGTGTCCTGCGTGTGTGTCCTGCGTGTGTGTCCTGCGTGTGTGTCCTGCGTGTGTGTGTGTGTGTCCTGCGTGTGTGTGTCCTGCGTGTGTGTCCTGCGTGTGTCCTGCGTGTGTGTGTCCTGCGTGTGTGTCCTGCGTGTGTGTGTCCTGCGTGTGTGTGTCCTGCGTGTGTGTGTCCTGCGTGTGTGTCCTGCGTGTGTGTCCTCTGTGTGTGTCCTGCGTGTGTCTCACCATGTCCGACATGCGGCTGCTCTCCAGGTTGAAGTCGAGTTTTGCCTCAGCGCGCACTTTCTGACTCTCTTCCTAAACACACAAATGTTTATCTCAGTATTAAAACATTTTCTCGCTATAAAAAAAGAATAAATGTGTTTTTCTCTCACAGTGAGTCTGCGCTGGAGCTGCTCAAGTTCTCGCTTCATTTTCTGAAAAAACCCCAAAACAAAACGCAAAAGTTCTGTCATTACTGAGCCACAAACAGGTGAGGAGCAGAGGTGGGTCGTCTTGCACCGCTTCATCAGACATGTTTGTCTCATTTTTCTGTCTGTCCGTTGAAAATACCAGATTTTTTTGTGTGCATTATTTTAAGTTTTGTCTTTCTAATTACATTAACTTCAAATTATAAATCAGACATCACTAGAGCTGGGTATCATTGGAAAGCTGCCGATACGATACATACCTTGATACACAGGCCACGATACGATATGTTTTTCGATACAGTGCACTTTTGATTCAATACAATTCGATACGATATATTTTAAATCGATTCGATACGTTTCAGTGAAAAACAAAGGCTAAATCATGGTTGTGATACTAAAAGTCGACTACGTTAATATGAAAAACACCCATTTTACTCATCAAAACAGTGAAAATGTCAAAACAATTGTAGCTCTTACACAAAATAATTTTGTAAAATATATCTAAAAATCGATACAGCAGCCCACGATGTTGATACTGTATCATCAAATTAAACGATACGATATTTCATCATTCTTGCACACCCTTGAATGTCACATCTTCAAGTTACTCTTGAGTAGTAGTTTTCACAAATACTTTTTTTTACTATTGCTGTATTTTTCAGACTATAAGGCGCAATATCAGTAATGTTAATGTGGGGAAGCTGGCCAACGTGGTCAAAGTAGAAGGCAGACGCAACAAAAAAAAGTGTCTTTAACCCAGACAAAATTTGTTTTAAAACAGACTTCTGGATTTAACCCCAATGAAAGTACAAATAAACAGAAAATAAGTAACTCAAATCAAAAATACACCACACAACCTGCACAGAAGTCTCTCCTTTACTTAATGACACGTGCTTGCCATTTATACTCCATCCAGCAGGAAGTACCTCCCCCGGGTGAGTATTGGTTCCATGTCTCTTTTCAAAGCAAAGGATGTCTCCTTTCAAAATCGAAATGTTTAACATAAACTAATGTGGATGACAAATGACAAATGCCCACTTTGTCACAGTTGAATTCTCTCGTCTATTTTCATACATAAGACGACACTTGAGATTGATCTTTAGCCCAGGCGTCCACGATCCATTGGCAGATCGTGGTATAACTCGCCCGGTGTTGCCTCGGGAGCGGGACAAAATATCACAGATGCGGGCGGGAGCGGGAATGAAAATTCTGTCCCGCGCAGACCTCTAGTTTGTATCTTACCAAAGTCGTACTAAAACTTGACAGATTTTTAAGCGCTGTGTACCACAAAAAATCAGTTCGAGATCATTAAGCACAAACAGATTACATAAAACACACTGGATTATGAACATTTTTGAGAAAATGAAAGGATTTTAAGTGTGCCTTATAGTCAGAAAAATACGGTACTTATTAATAGTAATTTGTTTGGACCACTGCGTTGTACTTCTACTTGAGTAATATTACTTTGAAGTAACGTTACTCTTACATAATTTATAGTTACTCTACCACGTCTGGTCGGGAGTACCTAACTGCGGGGGCGTGTTTGAGTTCTCACTGTGTTCTCGGAGCGCAGGTTGGCGAAGTCGCTCTTCTCGAGGATCACCATGTCTTTGCGGATCGAGTCCAGATGCGCCATGATCTGCTGGAGCGCGATCTCCTGAAACACAAACATCACACACACGGGGTCAGAGAGAGAGAGAGAAGTGTCTTGCCCAGGGACACAATGGCGGCGTGCTCAAATGATGAATACGGTCAGCTGAGGGTTTGATTCTGCGTTTGTGCCTTTGAGCAGGACGCTCCTCTCTTGTCACAGACCTGGTGGGACTTGGTGACCATGTCTTTGTAAACCATGTCCATGTTGGTGACGGTCAGAGTCACCAACGCCGCCACGATCAGCTCCGCCTGAGACTTCTCAAAACCTGAAACACATTAGACCTGGTTTAAGTCCTGGTTTAGTCCTGGTTTAGTCCTGGTTTAAGCCTGGTTTAAGCCTGGTTTAAGCCTGGTTTAAGCCTGGTTTAGTCCTGGTTTAAGCCTGGTTTAGTCCTGGATTAGCTCTGGTTTAGGCCCAGTTTAAACCTGGTGTGGGTCCGGTTTAGGTCAGGTTTAGTCCTGGTTTAGGTCAGGTTTGGTCCTGGTTTAGGCCCAGTTTAAGCCTGGTGTGGGTCCGGTTTAGTCCAGGTTTAGGCCCAGTTTCGGCCTGGTCTAGGTCTGGATTAGGTCAGGTTTAGTCCTGGTTTAGGTCAGGTTTGGTCCTGGTTTAGGCCCAGTTTAAGCCTGGTTTAGCCCTGGTTTAGCTCTGGTTTAGCTCTGGTTTATGCCCGGTTTATGCCTGGTTTAGATCCAGTTTAGTCCTGGTTTAGACCTGATATAGCCCATGTTTAGTCCAGGTTTAGGTCTGATTTAGTCCTGGTTTAGAACCGGTTTAGACCCGGTTTAGGCCCGGTTTAGGTCTGATTTAGTCCTGGTTTATTCCAGCTTTAGGCCTGGTTTAGTCCTGGTTTAGGCTTGGTTTAGATCCGGTTTAGTCCTGATGTACTTTTAGGGTGGGTGTCATCCTGGTTTAGACCTGATCTCATCTTGGTCGAGTCCATGGTTGGACCTGACGTAGTCCTGATTTAGACTCTAACCTGGGACCTCATGCCTCATTCAGACCTCCTGTCCCCGTTGGTCCAGGTCTAGTCCCTGTTGGTCCGGGTCTAGTCCCCGTTGGTCCGGGTCTAGTCACCGTGTTTCTCCAGCTCCATGGCGACAGCGTGGGAGTCAAACGTGAGCTTCCTCTGCTCCAGCGGCACCAGCTCCACCCGACGCACATCAAAGGTCGTGCAGCGAGCTCTCACGGCGCCACCTGCAGGAAGAGAGGGGAACTGAAACTCTCTCTGAAGCTTTTACTCATGTTCTAATGTGATGAAATGCTTCGTAGTGGAGCTTTAACCCCGTCCTAATGCAGTGTCCTCCTCAGAAAATTCCTTATTTTGTTTCATTCATCCGTTTCAGTAAAGCTGCACATTAGTCTGTCTCCCTCTGCATAGCTCACAAGACTTTGTTTAACCTTCTGACGCCATCCAGAAGCTCCTCTAAGTTTTTAAAGTTCACTCTCCTTCTCCAGACTCTCCAGACTGATCATTGCTGCTTTCTTTTTAAATTCTTTGTTTGGTTTAGCTGCTTTAGTGCTCCAGAAAAGGGCAGACAAATTCAAAGGACACACAGTAAGGTAAGGAGGCATATTCTTCTATGTTTTTCAGTGTTTGATAATGACAAAACATGCTTTTATTTAGTCTAAAAAAAAAGTTACACAGTGGTGCTTTAAATATAGTCGATTTCGGTGTAATTTTAACATTTTAGACAACCGGTTTCTTCATCATAAACAGCTGTAGGAGCTATTTGCTTATTTTGTTTATTCTAAAAATGAGTTTAATGTTTTTGTTTGTCAATTAGTTTGCCATGTTACTATGCTGATATTATGTTTGCTCATTTCTTAGTCTAATTTGGCATTATTAACGTTACCACCTTTTGTTTTTGTTCTATGGTCTTGTTCCTAGAGTAGGCCTTAAACATGTATCCTTGTTGTTTGTCTAAAAACTGGAAACAAATCCTGTAAACTGAGCTCTGGTCATAGATATTGATTTGTTTTTTCCGTCACTGTGTAAACCACAAACCCACAGTACTTGAAAGTGATTATTTGAGTTATGTTTAAGTCTAGTTACTGGTTTAAACCTGGTTAAACCTGGTCCTGGCTCCAGTTTAGAGTGACCAGAAAAAAACAAAAAACAAAACACAGAACTGTGACATCCCCGGTTTGTGTGGTTGGTAATAATAAAAATGTGAAACAAATGAGTAAGTAAGGAAAATTATTATGCACTTGTCACTAATGTGAGTCAGTATAGTCACATTTTCTTTGTGTTTTGGTCATTTTTAAGCAACTTTTCTGCATTTTATCTAAACAAATGACAATGTACGGGTCTCTTTACTGTTGACAGGGATCAGATTGGTCAAAAATAGTGACACCTGGGACATTTCTTGTATAAAACTGGGACAAATCACTGGTTTTTGGATAAATCTGCTGGGACAGGGGACACAGGGCTCAAAACTGGGACTGTCCTGCACTGTAAACAAGTTAACAAGTAAGGCAAACAAAATGCACATCCACAACACTCAAGTAAATCCAGTGAGTACTTTACTAAAGTACTCAGCTAAACTACAACTATAGTGTACTTGCTTTAGCCAATTTACACAAAATGGGTTTTACTTTGTCATTTGTCATTTAACCTGACAGGGTTCCCACTTTTTTCACACAAAATTTCAAAACTTTTCCATGACTTTTTCATGACCTAAAGTGAATTTTCCATGATTTTACAGCACCTACTTGTGTGGAATTGATCAGACTTTCAAGGCTAAATCTGAAATGTTCACTCTTTCCACTCACCTTAGGGTTTGGGATTATAGTTTTTTAACCTTCAAAATACTGTCAGTGCATTTATTGTCATCTCTTTTAAACAAAAGGCACTGACTTTGGCGCAGACATAATAGTCTAATGAGAACTTAAAAGAACGCTGTAGTTGTGTGAAAGAGATACAAACATTTTCCATAACTTTCATTTAATTTACAAAATTCCATGACTTTTCTAGGCCTGGAAAATGACATTGTTTGATTTCCATGACTCCTCCAGGTATTCCAAGACCGTCAGAACCCTGACCTTATGATATTTAACACAAATTAATTCTCAAGTTCTGGTAACGCGTAATATTTGACACTATTTACAATGACTTGGCAAGTTTTTAAAGGACTTTAGTGATTTGGTAAAAAAGTAGACCAAACTAATTATTGACAAGTAAAAATGACCCACCTTTTTAGTTTAGCTTTTGATTGAAATCTTATACTTTTACTTGTTTCTAGTGTATATATTTTATTATATTTATTTATTTTAGGCATATTTTTAGGATTTCCAGTGTTTCCTCTGTAGGAGCCTCTGCATCAGGAGCGGAGGTCGGCTGTGACCGCTGGGTCTGTCCCGTGGGCTCCTGGTGGAGAGTTGGTGTTTGGGCCTCATCTCTCCCCTGGCTCCTGTGGCGGCTCCTGGTGGTGGTGGACGTCTCTCTGCTCCTAGTGTAGACGGCTCCTCTGATGGTGTTTTCTCAACTGGTTCGCCTGTATTCAGCCTCATATCTTACAATGTGTTGTTTTATGTATTTTACCGTGTTCGTGTGTGTTTGTGTGTGTGTGTGTGTGTGTGTGTGTGAATGCGTGTGTGCGTGTCTGGGTTGTCTGGTTGTGTGGGGTCAGGCAAGTGTGGGTATTGGGTTGGGTGGGTGGATGGAAATGTGGGATTGTTTTTAATCACTGTAAAGCACTTTGTGTTACAGTTTTGTATGAAAAGCGCTTTAGAAATAAAGTTTGATTGATTGATTGAATGGATAAATGGAAAAATATAATTTATGCTCACTTTTTTGTTGAAGTTAGAATAATGTGAGGGTAAATAGAAACGTCTGGTCACCTCAGTCCAGTTTTGGACCCGGTTTAGTCTTGTTTTCGCCCTGATTTAACCATTTCATTCACATTAACAAACCTCAGTGCTGCATAAAACTAACCCAATACTTGAGCTGCCCTGTTGCACCAGAGACAGAACCGGTCTGTCTCCGGGGCTGGGACAGTCTCACAGCCGGGACACTCACCTCCGGAGGCGGCCACAGAGCGCAGACAGCAGCCGAGTCTCCAGCGCCTCAGAAGGGCGTTCATGTCTCCGGATCTGCCCTGGATTTGTCCTGGATCTGATCACGACTCACCGACAAGTGCGAGGTCAGAACGGACACGGACAAAGGCGTGAAGAAGACGTCAAATGAAACTACAGAAACTACAAAACTACAAAAAAACTACAAAACTTTCAAACCGACAACTCCACCGAGCTTCTGCGCCGCTTTAAACACAGCACATGGGCATTGCTACCGCCCCCTATCTGTGGGGAGTAAAATAAATGTGCCTAAACTTGGTAATATTAATAAACTACGGATGACCAGATTTACAAAAAAAAAACAAAAAAACAAACTGGGACACCCCCCGGTTTGTGGTGGTTGGTAATAATAAATTAATAATAAAATAACCAACCTTAATTACCTTAATCAAGTGCATAATTAAGGAATATTGTTTTGCACTCGGCCCATTCACATCATATTATTATTATTATTATTATTATTATTATTCATTCATTCATTATTTTATTTTGATTACCATGATTATTTGTAATTTGTGTTATTTTTCATTGTTGGTGTGAGTGCGGTGAATGTACAGCCTGTCTGTTTTCTGTAGATAAAACCCCCCAAAACATTTATTGAGCTTTAGACCTTTATAGACCGACCCCTGGTAGAATAGTTGTTTTTCAGTAGCTAAAAGGGATCTAAATAAAAACAAACAAACAAACCTGAACAAATGACAATGTATGCCTCTCTTTACTATTAGCAGGGATCAAATTGGTTAAAAATAGGGACACCAGGGACATTTCTTGTATAAAACAACTGGGGACAAATAATTTGTTTTGGATAAATCCACTGGGGACAGAGGACACAGGGCTCAAAACTGGGACTGTCCTGAGGAAATAGGGACGTCTAGTCACTCTATACTACTCAACTGTAACTTTAATGTTGTAATCGCTGATGTAGCTGTATATCTCTGTGGGACAATCACTGTTTTTGAAAGAAATTTCCACAGTTCCATAAATGTAGTACCTTATTATTTGTTTAATAATCTTTTCAGACTTTTCATATTATTAATCTTATGGCTTTAAGTCTTTTCAAATGACAACCATCACATCTTTGGGGTTAAATAACGGCACCACTTCCTAAGGCTATTGTGAAAACATTATTTCACTTTTTAAAATTTATACTGACGTTTAACTTTGTGCCAGTTTTTGTTTCATGTGGAAAGGCCCAATAATTGCAGAGATGTGAAACATAAACCAAGTCAACACATCTTCAATCTGACAGTTAAACAGCAAATTCCGAGCCTGATTCATCAGCCGGTTTCACTTCATGGAAACTGTCTGACCTCGCAGCATTAGGATTTGTTTGCTCGACAGTAGGCGGGTGCTTTTTTATTTAACCAATCGCTGCTATTTGGTCATGACGTATGTAATGCGCCGTTAACAGGGCTAACTGGTATATTAAGCTTTTCCCAAATTCCGTAGGAAGAACAATAATGTCTTTCCTCTTGATGAAATTCACCAAACATTCTCTTTGTTCCAGCTTTAAATCCTTGATCTTGGGAATCATAGACAACACAGAATGTTTGGATCTTCTCTGATTGGCTGGTGCCTGAACTCACACTTCTGAGGTTTTTGCAAACCATCTAGTGTATTCCGATTCCTGACCTAGTCGCTGGAGAGAAATTAAATTGAGTGGACACACTAGGTGGCACCAGCCTGGCTAACACATTCCACCTGAGAATTATAAGCTTTCCTCCAGCTCTGGTTAAACTAGAGACTAGAAACGTTCTACAAACTTGATTATTAACGATAAACATTCACAGAGAATCAACAGAATGCAGTGTAAAGTTATTTTCATTCTTGAGAGGATATTTATTTATTTATCACAGGTTAAAAAGAACTAGAAAATCAACTATTAAATCCCAAAACTTTACTAAATAAAAATGTTAAGTGACCAAAAATAAAAATGTAAGAACAGTTACAAATAAACTTTATTGCTCACAATAGACGTTGTCAAACCAAATATTAAAATATATGTCAAATCTGAACCTCACTGCCAACATTTAGTCCGATTTTATCCCTCTTAAACCAGTCTTAGTCTCACTTTAGACCTGATAAATCCTGATTTAGTCCATTTTATTCCAGTTTGCTTTGAACTTAAAAATTTCTGCCCTTTGGATCTGGCAGACAAAGCACCTTCTGAATCCTAGTTTAGTCCAGTTTCAGTTTAGAGTTCTTGTTTATCCAAGTCCTGTCCAAGTCCTGTCCTAATTTAGAAAAAAAATTGAGTCTATTCCTTTCCTGTGTTATGGTTGAGAGCAAATAGTTTAGTCCTCAGTCTAATCCAGTTAAGTCCTGGTCTAGTCCTCTTCTTTTTTTCTGGTTGACGTGGGAACACAGGTTTAGTTCTGGTTTGACCTTATTTAGTCCAGTTCCAGTCCTGGTCTACTCCTCTCCGGTCTTCTGGTTGATGTGGGAGCACTGGTGAAACACAAAACTGACCGCCGTATCCCAGGACAGTTTGAGCACTTGGTCTCGGAGCTCCTTTTTGTGTGAAGTGTGATGCCACTGGGAGAGGTCGCTGTTACAGTCCGCGTCCACCGGGGGGCGCACCTCTCTGTCGTTCACACAGCGTCTGCACTTGAACCGATCGTGGGTGTCGCTCAGCGTGTCCTCGTTCAGCGTGAACAGCTCCCGAAGTTCTCCGAGCGAAAAGTGCCTCTCCACGTCCGTCTCCTCGTCCACCACGCAGCTGCTCAGGGCCTTCTTGTGCGCCTGTCGCTGCAGAATCTTCTCTTCGATTGTCCCGGTGGAGAGGAGACGGTAGATGTAGCAGCTTTTCTTCTGCCCGTCCCTCCACACTCGCGCCATCGCCTGCTCGTCGTTGGCGGGGTTCCAGTCGGGGTCGAACATTACCAGACGATTGGCCCCGATGAGGTTGAGTCCGCACCCTCCGGCTTTGCTGCTCAGCATGAAGATGAACTCCGGGTTGGTGGGATCGTTGAACCTCTCGACGATCTTGGCCCTCTTTTTGATGGACATGGTTCCGTCTAGTCTCACGTACAGATACTTCCTGCTGCGGAAAAGCTTCTCAAACAGGTCCAGCGTCTGCGTGTAGTTGGACACGAGCACCACTTTGTCGTTGGTGGTGCTCTTCGTGATGGCCAGTATGTAATCGAGGACGAGCATTTTGCCGGAGAGATGCGGTTCCAGAGTTTTGGGGTTGTAGTTTTGAGGAAAAAGATCTAGAGCTCCTTCAAACCCGCTCTCTCCCTCCACACACTTGTCGTAGACCAGCGCAGGGTGGTTGCACAGTTTTTTGAGAGAAGTGATGGAGGAAAGAGAGGAGACGTTCATCTTTCCGTCCTGAAGTTTCTCAATAGGGTTGGCCTGCTTTAAGAAGTGCTGATACAGTTTACTTTGCAGAGGGGTCAGTCTACAGCACACCACCTGCTCTATCTTCTCTGGGAGATACTTGGATAGAATATCTGAGGTCCTCCTGATCAAACATCTATTGACGATCCCGATCAGCTCCTTTAGCTTCTCCTCACCCGCCTGACGGTCCTTCTCGCTCGCATCCGCGTCCCTTCCTTTGAGAATGGGCATCTCAAATCGCTTCTTGAACTCTTGCGCCGTACCCAGAATCCCCGCGTTAACGAAATGCACGAGACTGAAGTATTCCAGGAGGTCGTTCTGGATCGGCGTACCTGAGATGAGCACTCGTCTCTGCGCGCTCATAGAGTTTAATGCGTGGTACGTCTGGTTCTCTGAGTTTTTCAGCCGATGTCCCTCGTCGCAGATGATCAGACCGACTTTGCCTTTGTGCAGGACGTGCGCGTGCAGTCGGAACGTCTCGTAGGAGATGATAAGGATGGGCGTGGGCACTCGCAGACCGCGCTGGGAGATGAAGTTCGTCAGCTGCCTGTCGATCTCGTCCTTGGAGCCTCCGTCTATGGCGAGCGGCGTGACCCTGGTGCCCAGCCATTTGCCCACCTCGTTGTACCAGTTACGCACCAGACTCGAGGGCGACACCACGATCGCCTTCTCGATCTCCGGCTTGGCGTCGGGGCTTTGTCTCAGCAGCGTCCACACGAGCGCGATGCACTGGAGCGTCTTGCCCAGTCCCATCTCGTCCGCCATGATACACCCGAAGGACCCGGGGATGCGCCTTCCCGTGACACACTCCCATAGGAACCGGACGCCCTCCCTCTGGTGCGGGCGCAGGACTCGGGACAGCAGCGGGTCCACCACCACGTGCACCTCCAGCTTGTCCTTGTCGGCTCGGATCAGGTCGTGCGCGGAGAGGATGGGCGGCTCGTACAGCACCAGCGCGCCCTCTCCAAACGGGTCGTGCAGCGCCCTCCTCCCGCCCGCACGCTTCACACCCAGCGCCCGGAGCCCCAGCGGACCGGTGTAATTCGCGATGGGAACCTTAAACAGAGTTGGGGAGTAACAGATTACATGTACTGGAGTTACGTAATCAGAGTACAAATTACGAGTAACTGTATTCGGTTACAGTTACTGTTTCAATGAGTGGTAATTGGATTACTGTTACTTGGTTGAAATAAATGGATTACATGGAGGTATTTTCCTGTTTTCACATTTTCGGCTATTCCGTTTTTTTTGTTTTGTTTTGTTTGGTAATTCCACTCATTGCCGGACACTAAACCAGGTTTAAACCAGGACTAAAACCAGGTCTAATCCCAGGTCCAAACCAGGTCTAAACCCAGGTCCAAAACAGGTCTAAACTAGGTCTAAACCAGGACTAAACCAGGACTAAATCCAGGTGTTAAACCAGGTCTAAACTAGGTCTAAACCAGGACTAAACCGGGATTAAACCAGGAATAAACCAGGACTAAATCCAGGTCTAAACAAGGACAAAAACCAGGTCTAAAACCAGATCTAAACCTGGTCTAAACCAGGACTAAACCAGGACTAAACCAGGATTTAACAGGACTAAATCATGCTGCGTGGACCTGTCAATAATATTTTTAATACGGTTAAGTAAAGTCTGGGCTTTTCATTGTCTGTTAGCAGATAAAACATCTTATGTGAAGATTTCCTCATTTTTGCTTCTCTACAGCAAATCAAGTAATCCAAAGTATTCAGATTACGTAACTCACTTGAAGTAATTTAATGGATTACGTTACAAACTACATTTTGGAGTATGTAATCTGTAATGGAATACATTTTAAAAGTAACCTTCCCAACACTGACCTTAAACGGCCTGGACAAGATGCTCTGGATGAACCTCTCATGTTTTTCCCCGCTCGTACAGCTCCCATTGGGCTGCGCGCTCAGAGGTGTCAGCGGTTTTCTGTACGGGCTCAAATGCGTCAAAGTCACTTCTTTCTCGGTATGTTTCGACTCTCTCCAGTCCGGATCTTCCTCCTCTCGCTTTATTCGTTTGGCCACTTGACTCGGGGCCAAACTCCGTCGCATTTTGCAGAAAGTTGGGTCCGTTTGAACACCGCATTCACTCAAAAAAGTAGCGTCGGGAGCGCAAACTATCTATTTAACTTGCTTGTTTCGTTTAAAAGGTCGGATTAACATATCGTATCGTTAATCTTATATGCTCAGCCTCGGTTAAAGCTCGATTTATCAGCAGAAACAGTTTAAATCCGTAGTTTTCATCCGCCGGAGGTTGACACATTTTGCTCCGAGCGATCGCGCCTTCTTTTAAGCGTTTGTTGTGATTCCGGGTTGTGCGTCATTACGTCACAGTCATGGCGGCGGCGGACGGCTGGTTCACGGCGTTAGCTGTTGGAGTTTCTTTTCTGAAATGTCTCTTTATCGACGCGTAGTAAGTGCTTTTTTTGCTCCACTTTAATTGGCACTGATCTATCCGATGTGTTCGTAACGTTACAATAATTTAAGCATTGTTTTGAACGGAAACGGAGGCGTAGAAGTAGCTGACACTTAGCATTGGGCTAACGTGGCCAACTTTATCTCCACATTTGAAACGCTTCTCAATGAACGAAACAAAAATACATATTAGAAATTAAAAGGTTTGTTAGTGGGTTTATTTTCAAGTATCCACAACAATAATGCATCGTTAAATTAAATGATAAAAATGTTAAGATGACGTGTAGATTTGTGATTGTGGAAAGTCGCCTCAAGATGGCGCCATTTCTGTGATTTAACTTGGTTCTCAATTTTATTCATATACATTTATTAAACGAAATTAAAATAATAATAATAAAATAATAATCAAATTAAATATATAAATAAATATAAAAAAAAAATAAAAATACATACAAATGAAAAAATAAAATAAATAAATAATAATAATAATAAATACATTAACTAAAATAAAATAAAAAATAAAATACATTTTTAAAATTAAATTGAAAATAAATGCAACCTTAAATTAAATAATAAAAATGTTAAGCTGATGTGTAGATTTGTGATTGTGGAAAGTCGCTTTGAGATGGCGCCATTTCAATGATTTAACTTAGTTCTCAATTTTATTCATATACATTTAATCAAACTAAACTAAAATAATAATAAAAAAATAAAAATAAATATAAAAATAAATACAAATGAAAAAATTAAATAACAATAAAATAAATACATTTACTAAAATACATTTAACATTTTTTATTAAATAAAAAAAAAATATATATAAAATCGCTTTCATCGCTTTCACTAATAAATACATAATCAGATGCAACATTTTCCTGTCCGATATGTGAACTGATACAGAACAAGATTTTATTTATTTATTTATTTATTTATTTGAGACAGGGACAGCGCACAATTTTTGCATTTACCTTAACAGGAGAGATGCATTGTACATCAGGTTGTAGCATCAGTGCTAATTTCCACCTGTCATCCCTGGACAGGTTCATTGATCGATTGTATTTAACTGACCTTGACTATCAACTGTTCTGGAGACCTATGTAGCATGTTTTGGGGGGGCATTTGACTCCGAAGTAAACGTCTTATTAAAGCTTTATGTCTTGTAAATGTTTCTTTTTTTAACTACTGGTCCTGTTTTTTTGTTTTTTGTGTTATTTAAAGTCGCTCCACAGATTTCGAGGTGCACAGAAACTGGTTGGCGATCACCCACAGTCTCCCAGTGTCCCGCTGGTACTACGAGGTCAGTACTACTAACTCTACAACTAGTACTATTACTGATATAACTATTGCTACTATTACTACTACTACTACTGCTGCTACTGCTACTACTACTTCCGTCTTTGTAGGACTCATTTGTAGTTGAACAAGAAAATCCTGATAGTTCAGACTAAAGCCACTTGAATTAAGTACACCAAACCTTTTCCATTGATAATTGGTCTACTAACTGGACTGCATTAGATCTAAACCAGGTCAAAAGGAGTGGCAAACCAGCAGGTACTACAGACTCTAATCCAGTACTAAACCAGGTCAAGACATTTCTAGCCAAATAGAACTAAATAGGACTGAACTGAGATTGAACCAGGACTAAGATGAAACAGGACTGAACCAAGACTAAATTAGTACTAAACTAGGACACATTCCGGACCCGGTAGTAAACAGTCTAACCCATGTCTGGTCTTAGAGAACTATACCAGGACAAAAGAAATATTGAACCAGAACTAGGCTAGGACAGAACCAAGACTAAAGCCCTACTAAAGCAGGTTTAACCCAGATCTAAACCAGGTCTAACCCAGGTGTCTGGTCCCTTGTGCCTTTCAGAACACGTCAGAGTGGACCCTGGACTACCCTCCACTCTTTGCCTGGTTTGAGTTCGGTTTGTCTCACGTTGGACAACACTTTGACAAAAACATGCTTCAGATTCAGAAAGAGCCGTACGAAAGTGACGCGACTCTGCTGTTCCAAAGACTCTCTGTGATCTGCACCGACCTGGTCTACATCCTGGCTACAAGAGAGTGAGTCCCCACCTGTTTTAGACCTGGTTTAGTCTTAGTTTAAGGCCATCTCCATTATTTTCTATGTGCATGCATACTAGGGGGTGCAAAAATATCGGAATAGCGATATATCATATTGTTTAATGTGATGATACTGTATCGATATCATGGGCTGCTGTATAAAATATATCACCAAGAGTATTTTTAGGTAATTTTTTGCTAATTTTACAAAAAAAATTGTTAGAGAGCTACAGTTTTGTTGCTTGTTTAGAGGAAGGAAATTCTTTTATGCAATACATTTGAACTATTCACTGTTTTAAGAGCGTGGGCATGTTTCATATTAAATTGCACAAGAGGTTGTTCAACAAAGACTTTTAGTATCACAGCCATGATTTAGCTTTATTTTTTATTGAACCGTATCGAATTGATTTGTAATATATTGCATTGAATCAAAAGCGCACTGTATCAAGACATGTATCATACCGTGGCCTTTGTATCGAGGTATGTATTGTATCAGTAACTTCTGAATAATACCCAGCCCAATTGCACACACTGGGTGGTCTGCATGGACTGTGTTCATTGTGTCTTTATTGGAGTTTGGTGAATTGGGACGTGGCACATCGTTTGGAAAACACAAGGCTGTTTTACACTTGTGCAATGAGTACAGACACATCTCTGTGACTGACAGAAACACTGCTTTAATTATGGGGAGAAGGACAGAGCCACAAGAGAGGCGGGAAAGCACCAGCTTTTCTCCTCCCTCTCTGTGTAGGAAAGTGTCAAACCACTATCTTGCCTTTCCTGTCATCTCACTGTTGTGTGTCACATTTTATGAGTAATCTGCAAATAAAATGTCAATTCATCACTTCAAGAGTTATTTTAAAATCTGTTTAAGTGTTGTGATGTGTGGTGTTCAGTGTGGTCAAATGACTTTAGCCCTGGTCTAACCTCAACAGTACAGATATATTCTATACCTGTGCTGTTTTTCAGGTGCTGTCGTTGTGTTTCGGAGCACAAATCTCCTAAAGACATTTTGAATCGTCCTTCATTTGTTCTCGCTGTTCTTCTGCTCTTCAACTTTGGCCTCCTCATCGTGGACCGTATCCTAAGACTTGTTTGGACCCAACAGATCCTCTCTTAGTCATAGTTCAGTCCAGGTTTAGTCTTGGTTTAGTCTTGGTTCACTTCTGGTTCAGTCCTGGTTCAGTTTTAGATTTAGTCCTGGTTTAGTTTTCCTGAGTCTGTTGTGTCAGATATTCATTTCCAGTACAATGGTTTCTTGATGGGCTTCCTGCTGCTGTCTGTGGCCAAACACCTCCAGGTCTGGATCCATGCACTAGTTCTAGGTTCTAGTTTATTGAAATGTTGAGATCTGATGTTTATTTAACCCTGTGTGCCGTCAGTCCAAACACCTGCAGGGGGCGCTGTTGTTCTCTGCGCTGTTGAACCTCAAACACATTTACCTGTACGTCGCTCCAGCATACGGCGTCTACCTGCTCCGCTCCTACTGCTTCACCAAAGACCACACGGGTAAGACTTCCTGTAGACCTGGTTTAGACTAAACCAATTGAGGTCTAAACTAAAATCAATAAATAAAGGCAATACTAAAAATATAAAATGGATAAAAACAATAAATAAATAAATAAACACAGAGGACCACACAACTCACGCGGTGTTAAAAGCCACAGAATAAAAGTGGGTCTTGGGACGAGATTTAGGACGGACGTGGGTGGGGCAGATCGTTCCAGAGTTTGGGGCCGGCCACAGAGAAGGTCCTGTTCTCCTGGTTTTAAGTCTGGTTTTAGGCACCACGAGCTGGAGCTGGACCTCGGACCTCGAATCTGTGTAAATCTGGATGAGGTCCGAGACATAAAGTAGGGCCAGTCCATTCAAATCTTTAAAAACAAACAATATAATCTTAAAATCAATTCCAAAATGAACAGGAAGTCAGTGCAAAGACGCAAGGATTGGGGTAATGTGATCGCGCTTTTTGCTCCCTGTTAAAAAACACGCAGCAGAGTTCTGGAACTAATAGTAGTCCAAACGAGTAGAGATAAAAGCGTGCACGACCTGTCCAAAATGAAAATGGATAAAAAAGGTTTCACTTTGGATAAAAACTGGATTTAACAACAGAACTGACCTGCTTAAGTTTAAAATCATAGTCTATAGTGACGCCGAGGTTGGAGGCTGAGGGACAAATTTACACAGAATCTGACACACAGGAGCAGGAGATTAACTAAAGAATAAAAACTTAATAATTTTATCATTGATGAAGTTATGATTTGTATTTGTATGTCATTAACTTGTTCAGTCCTGGTTCAGTCCTGGTTCAGACCCTAATCCCTGCCTGACCCTCCCCTGTGTGTTGCAGATGGCCGGTTGAACTGGAGGAGCTTCAGTTTGCTGCGTTTCTCAGCTCTGGGTCTGATCGTGCTGTCAGTCACCGCTGTGTCCTTCGGCCCCTTTATCGCCATGGTAACTATCACGCAAACATGGACTGGCTTTAGTCCTGGTTTAGTCCTGGTTTATTTAGGTCATAAGTTCTTGCTTAGTCTTGGTTTAGTTCTGTTACAATCCTAGTTATCTCTGTCCTTTTTTAGTCCTGGTTTAATGTTAAGGTTTACATTTATTCCTTGTGAGGGGAATTCTTCAACCCGTCCTTCAATGTCACTGCCTTGAACAAACCCACCCAGACTAGGAATGGGCATTAAAATGTCGCCGATATGATTCATATCGTGATACAGTGCACTAAATCATGGCAAGTCTTTGTTAAACCACTTCTTGTGCAAAGTTCATATGAAACACAAACATTTTAATCATCAAAACAGTGAAAATGTCAAATGTGTCGCATAAACAAGTTTCCTTCCTCTGAACAAGTAAGAAAACGGTAATTTTGTAAAATATACCAAAAATACAGCAGCCCACAATATCATCACATCACATTAAATGATACGATATATATCAATATTTCATTATTTTTGCACACCCCTAACCCAGACACGGGGAGAACATACAAAGGCCTGGGAGTTGAACCCGGGACCTTCTTGCTGTGGGTTGAGCGGGAGTGACCTCAAGGAAAGAAGGCACCTGATTTGTTTGTTATTGATGTTCTTATCTTGATTTAGGGACTAAATTTGTGAAATAAAAAACAGGATCATGTGCAGTGGGTTAATGCAAACATTTTTAGGTCCGAATGAAAGAAAAACAAGCCTCACAGCAGCAACTACAGAGAGAGGCAACAGTTTTTCAGTAAAGTGAAATGGAGCCAGAGTCAATGGAGCCGGAAGTGTGCTCATACTCGCTTCCTGTTTGGAACATAGTGGTTATCAGGGATCCAGAGATACAGTCTATGGTCCCGTCTCAGTCCTTGTTTAAAACCTGATTCAGTCCTGTTTTGTTCTCTCCACAGGGTCAGATGCCTCAGGTTTTGTCACGTCTCTTCCCCTTTAAGAGAGGACTGTGCCACGCCTACTGGGCCCCGAACGCCTGGGCCCTGTACAACGCCGCGGACAAGGCGCTCACTGTGCTGGGTAAGACCCGGTTCAGTCCTGGTTCAGTCCTGGTTCAGTCCTGGTTCAGTCCTGGTTCAGTCCTGGTTCAGTCTTGGTTTGTTCCTGTTCTCAGGTCTTCACCTGGGTCTGGTAGAGTCTGGTCCTCGGGCCTCGATGACTGGAGGTCTGGTTCAGGAGTTCCACCACACGGTTCTGCCCTCGATCTCCCCCTCAGTGACTCTGCTCTGCACCGTACTGGCCATTCTGGTGAGTCCTGCTTTAGTCCAGCTTTAGTCCTGCTTGCGGACCGGGTTTAGACCTGATTTAGTCCAGAGGCATGTACTCTGAAACTGGCTGAACTTATCCTGGATGATCCTGGATTTTCTAAACGAAGCGGGGTCAGAAGCGGGGTCAGAGCGGGGGGGCGGGGGGGGTCAGAACGGGGGGCGGGGTCAGAATGGGGGCGGGGTCAGCATCAGTCGACCAATCAGATCAACAAAGAAGCAGAGAGCTGTAAAGATGCTCTGACCTCCCTCTCCCCAGACACTTCATCCAGCTCCTTTCATAATCCAGCTGAGAGCCGCCCTCTGGAGGCCACTTCAGCTCCTCGCCACATGGAGGAGCAGCGGCTCTACTCCGAGCTCCTGCCCCAAGTGAACTGTAAACCAGAATCACAAAATCTATGAGGAATTAAGAAATACTACCAAACAAAGAAAACACGGACGCTGCGTTCATGTGTGCGCTGTCATTTAGTGGCCCACAAATACACCCCGGAGAAAAATAATCAAATTGTCCAGAGACAAAAGACTCACACACATTACATTTAGCACCATTACATTTAGTGATTTTACAGACAGTGTAGTGCTGCTCGATTATGGAAAAAATCATTACCGCGATTATTTTGGTCAATATTGAAATCACGATTTTTCAAACTTTTTTTTTAAATTGCACGAAGCATTTATTCAGCATTTCTCTCTCTCTCTCTCTTATTGATAATTTATACAAAACTTTCAAATTGACAATAAATATAGGCGACAAATATGAACCTTGGAGCAGTTTTTCAATGTATAAAACATAAAATAACATAAAAGAAGGCAGAAAAACATAAATGTATCCAAAATAAACTATATATCCAGCTGTTCTACAATCTCTGTAATAAAAAATAAATGTACTATTTTATATAAAAAATATCCCAAAATAAACCTTGTTAGGCTTTCATTTCAACTCGATTATATGATTTTGGAGATCGTTTGACACACAAGTCGAAATCACATTCAAAATTCGTTCAGTGTTGAGTCCTGATTATTGTTTTGTGTCCACAGCCCGCCGTCTTGTACCTGATGTGGCGCCCGCGTTGCTCCGCCTCCTTTCTGCGAGCACTGGTCCTGTGTGCGCTCGGCTCCTTCCTGTTCGGCTGGCACGTCCACGAGAAGGCCGTGCTCCTCGCCATCCTGCCCCTCAGGTCAGGCATGGACCGGGTTTAGACCTGGTTTAGACCTGGTTTGAGATTTTCCACAAATGACCAAGAAATTTGAGATGAAATATAAACCTTTTTGTCCCTGTTTATTGCCGTAGCGTGCTGGCCGTGCAGAGCAGAGAGGACGCTGGGATATTTCTGGTTTTGGCATCGACTGGACACTACTCCCTGTTCCCGCTGATCTTCACCGCAGCAGGTACCAAAACTATCAATGACGAGGTCCATTCTCCTGCTATAAATCTCCAACAATAACATCCGGGAGGGAATCTGACTCTGTGTTTGTGTTTCTAGAGTTGCCACTGAAGTTCCTCCTGATGTTCTTGTTCTCAGTGTTTTCTTTCAGCTCGCTCCACAAACTGCACGGGTAAGTTCACTCTCTGCACTCCAGGGGGGCGCTTATCACAAACCTCACACCAGGGCTCGGCAATTAATCAAACTTTAATACATTTTTACCTTTTCTAAAAATGTGAAAAACAGAATTAGATTTAGACTTAGACAAATTTTATTGATCCACAAGAGAACTTATTTGGACACAGAAGCTCACTCGTATAAAATCTCAGCTCTATACAAGAGTAAGTCACGCTCTTATGCCTGTAACTCCAGCAAAAAACGACCGCGTGCCCCACAATCCAGAGCGTCTTCTACACGAATCCACTCAGGTGTCCCAGCACGACTTCAGTAAACTACAAAGCCGCACCACCCACAGAACACACAAACACACACGGAGCAGACAGGGACCGCACAGCGAAACACACCCACAGACACACTCATCACTCCACGCCGACGAGGAACGGAACGGAGGAACGAACCGAAAAAGCAAGTGCAATGTGCCACTTCTAGACACAACTGAACAACTGAGTCACTGCGAACACGCCGACAATCCATTGGTCCCAGACAGCACCCTCCCTACACGCCACAACTGAACAAAGCCCAGAGTCACCGTGAACGCCACAAACAAACAAAACCACTCACCCATCACACTGTTGTGTTTCCTTTAAAGTCCCACGCCGTTTATTTGTGAAAAAGTTTGAAAATAGACCATTTAATGACAGTGCGCCTTATAATCCAGAGCGTCTCATAGTGCTGAAAATACGGTAAGTAAGTTTTTTATTTATATATCGCTTTTCACAGACATTTGTCACAAAGACGTTTTACAGAGCATTATTTATTCACTCCAAACCCAGTGGTGTAAACTACTATTGTAGCCACACCTGCCCTGGAGCAGATGGACTGAAGCGCAGCTGCCAATCTGCACCATCGGCCCCTCCAACCACCACCATCACTCACACTCACACCACTTTTATATTAGGTAATGTGGGTGAAGTGTCTTGCCTAAGGACAAAACAACTGTTTTTGTGACTGGCGCCTCCTGTGGCTCCTGATTTTCCCAATGTCTCCATCCAAGAACTAACCAGGCCTGACCCTGCTGAGCTTCTGAAATCTGACAGGATCAGGCTTTGACAAGCCAGTCTGGCCAGTTGTGGATAAATTCTTCATGTTTATTCTTTGTGGACCTTGTTGGTTGAAGATTTGGTGATGGGGCAGATTTATGAAGCTCCTGTAGAATACGTCAGACATTTACACAGATATTTTGCCACAGAAAACCTTTAACCTGATGTTCTGCAAATCTACAGCGGGGCACTTCTGACCGTTGTGAAAAAGATCTAACCTCTCAGGCTCAAATACATTTTTAGTATCAGGAAAAATCTGATATTTTGGGAAAATGATCATATGGGGTAGTAATATACAATCCTGACTTTTTTTTTGAGAGAGACCTTCACATGCAGTGTGTTCTGGGATGTTTCAGATTTGCAGCATTGGCACAGTGTGGTAAATTAACACTGAAAACTGAAAATGATATGAGCGCTAACTTTATGTGCATACCACTTTTCATAACAATGAAAACATAAAGCACAGTGTAACAGCTTTACAGTGGCAGAACAACATCACTTTTTCATGTGGTGCTCCAAGAAACAATTTTTATCCTTTGTAAACAACAAAAGTACTTTGCACTTCTGACAGGCCGTTTGCGTGTAGCCGTTCTTGCACAGTCTGCATCGTCCACGTTTATCAGCATGGATGGGAGAAAAGGCTCCTGAGTAAAAAAGGCTCATAAAATATGGATCTGGATTAACTACCGTGTTTTCCGGGCTATTAGGCGCTCTGGATTATAGAGCACACTGTCATTAAATGGTCTATTTTCAAACTTTTTTCACAAATAAACCGCGTGGGACTTTAAATGAAACCCAACAGTGTGATGGGTGAGTGGTTTTGTTTGTTTGTGGCGTTCACGGTGACTCTGGGCTTTGTTCAGTTGTGGCGTGTAGGGAGGGTGTGTCTGGGACCAACGGATTGTCGGCGTGTTCGCAGTGACTCAGTTGTTCAGTTGTGTCTAGAAGTGGCACATTGCACTTGCTTTTTCTGTTCATTCCTCTGTTCCGTTCCTCGTCGGCGTGGAGTGACGAGTGTGTCTGTGGGTGTGTTTCGCTGTGCGGTCGCTGTCTGATCCGTGTGTGTTTGTGTTTTCTGCGGGTGGTGCGACTTTGTAGTTTACTGAAGTCGTGCAGTCATTTTTTGATGGGGTTGGAGACTTAAGAGCGTGTCTAATAGCCCGGAAAATACGGTAGTTCGTTTTTTAAACGGTTTTGCCCTAACTGTAAAGCAACAACTAGCATGCTGAAACACACTTCCTGATTCTTCGACAATATAACAGTTTGTAATTAAACGCAGACAGTACACAGTCTATCCTCTCTGGTCAATGATCGGTGGGATGTTTTGTCTTTGTCGTGTGTGGACTTCGTTTCCCATGATGCTTCTGTCCCCAGGCCCTCTCTGCTGTGTGCCCCGGAGCGCTGCTACCTGTTTGGTCTGGGTCTGGTGTGTGTGACCTGTGACCTGCTCCTGCCCCTATCGACAGTGAGCGCGCGCCTGCCGTTCCTTCCCCTGCTGGTGACGTCCGTTTACTGCGCTGTGGGCGTGGCCTACTGCTTCATCCGGCTCTACGGAAGCCTCCTGAGGACAAACTACAAGGTCAAAGCCAGCTGAGACCAGAGGGGATGTGGACCAAGTTTAGAGAGAGTTTAGACCTGGGTTTAGACCTGGTTTTTGACCAAGTTTAGACCTGGTTTGGACCTGGTTTGGACCTGGTTTAGACCTTTTTTTCGACCAAGTTTTGACTTTGTTTAGACCTGGTTTAAACCAGATTTAGACCGGGTTTTAAGAGGAGGTATTTTGCTTTATCAACTTTTTGGAGCTTTCTAAATCCGTGTGTTGTTCATTCATTAATTTTTCAATATAAAACCAAAATGCACCGCATACGGACTGAACCAGGACTGATCCCAAGACTAAAACAGGACTAAACCAGTGTCAGTCCTAGTCTGGTCCTGGTCTGGTCCCGGTCTCAGTCCTGGTCTTTTCGTTTTCTTATTTTTGGTTTTATTTTGAAAAACGAATCAACAAATGACACACGGATTTTTCTACCATGTTACAACATTGTTCCCTCCTCAAAAACATTCCTGAAGAGGCTTTAGAGTCGAGTTTGAGTAATTCGATTGATGATCTAAATATGTTGGACGTGTTTGTTGTTAATGCCCCATAAAGTCTTTAATCCAGGTTTAAAATCATGTTTAAGTTTCAGAGAAGACGTTAACTAAAGAACTGTTTTGTACTGCGTTTATGGAAATCAAAATGGTTTCTGGGTGTTATTTTTTTACTTTCATCGACGGTTCAAACAGAACAATGTCGATGATCAGATTTGTGCTTTTTGACACATCAGGACGAAACGGTCAAAGGGAAACCGAGATGTTTTGGGTTTGGGTTATGTTTTGGGTTCGTGTGCCATTCGGTTTTTTGAATTTCAATTAAGAACAAAAAAACGATAAAATTGGAAAACAGTTTGTTATTTCATTATTCTGCTTTAGTGTCCAAAAAAAAAAGATTTCGACCTCTATTTCCAATATTTAATAAGTTTATTTCAAATGACACCGATCAAAAAACAGTCTTGGTGCCTATTTTAATTTTGGTATTTTAATCTCTCTGACTTATATGAACTGAAACTGAAAAATAGTTGCGGTTTTGTGGACAAACACATTTTCTTTTATTGCGACACATTCAACTTTCGCGTGCTAGAAAGTCATTGTTGAACCCAGTGACGAAAACACTTTAAAAAACTATAATAAAAATATTTTTATATTATAGATCCATGGTCAACATTGCAGCAGAACTTACGGTGCAAATAAAACACAGAGAATAAAAGATCAAAATTATAATAATAGGCACCGAGACTGTTTTTAAATTGGTGTTATTTGACATAAACTTTAAATTAAATATTGGAAATTAAGGTTGAAGGTCCGTGTTCCATTTTTTCTTTTGAATTTCAATTAAGAAAGAAAAACAATAAAATGGGAAAACAGTTTATTATTTCATTATTCTGCTTTAGTGTCCAAAAAAACCCCCCAAAAAAACTAATTAAATATTGGAAATAGAGGTCGAAATGAAGTTTATTTCAGCTAACACCACTCACATAACAGTCTCTGTGCCTATTTTAATTTGGATATTTAAATCTTTCTGAATGATATGAACTGAAACTGAAAAATTGTTGTTGTTTTGTGGTCAAACATGTCGCCCACTTTTATAGCGACACGTTTATTTTTGGGGTCTTAGAAAGTCATTGTTAAACTCAGTGAAACAGGAAGCTGCGAGGTGATAAACTTTGTTCACTTGACAACACAGAACTATAATAAAAATGTTAGTTTTAATTATGGATTCATGGTCAACACTGCATCAGAACTTCTGGGACAAATAAACCAGAGAGAATAAAATATCAAAATTATAATAATAGGCACCGAGACTGTTTTTTAATTGGTGTTATCTGACATAAACTTTAAATTAAATATTGGAAATCGAGGTCGAAGGTTCGTGTACAATTAGTTTTTTGAATTTCAATTAAGAACGACAAAAAATAAAATGGGAAAACAGGTTCTTATTTCATTTTATTTTATTTATTTAGTGTCCAAAAAAACCCCCAAAAAACATTTTGACCTCTATTTCCAATATTTAATTTAAAGTTTATTTCAAATAACACAGTGCCTATTTTAATTTTGATATTTTATTTTCTTCAAGCAGAAGAACTTCACATAAACCAGAGAGAATAAAATATCAAAATTTAAATAGTCATGAGGCAGTTTTTTGGTGTTATTTTAAATAAACTTTAAATTAAATATTGGAAATTGAGGTCGAAATGTTTTTTTGTTGTTGTATGAAATAAACTGTTTTCCCATTTTATTGTTATTCATTCTTAATTGAAATTCAAAAGAACGAATTGTACACAGACCGTTGCAATCAATTTATTTATTTATATATTTTTTTATTTGACACTAAAACGAAATAATGAAATAATAACGCGTTTACACGTTTTATTGATTTTCATTCTTAATTGAAATTCAAAAGAACGGAGTCAAAAATGCCATTCATAAATAAACATTCCTCTTTCTATAAAAACTGGTTTGTTATTTTTAAATCACTTTTTTCCCTTGTGATGTCATGTGTTGTCTCTCTGTTTGGACACTATATGATTTTAAACCGTTGAACATGAAAGGCCTGTCTGCTCCTCTGACCTGTTTAGCCTTTTTGGGAAATGAGTTGCGTTTTGTGTCGACTCAGATGAAGTATTTTTAACTTTGCTCGAAGGCACTTTGTCCGGAAGTCTGAGGAAATTCAGAGGGCAGCAAACCCAGAACCCTGTAAACCCTGGAACTGCAGGTCACACAGGAATATGGTGAAATGTTGAGACCAGAGGCGGCGCTACGTTTAGGCAAAAGGGCGGCTGCTTAGGGCCCCCAAACCTGGAGGGGCCTCCAGTAGGTCTAGGTGATATGGAGCAACAAATCTATCTCGATATATTTTTTTATCTCGATATACGATATATATCTTGATATGTGTACAGGAAAAAATAACCCCCAAAACTTCTGCAAAAACAAATCTGCCAAAATTCCACAATGTTTTTTTTTTTTTTTTTTACTGAAATGCAAGAGGTCGGCAGTTTATGTAGGAACAAAGTGCTTCTGCTGCATTTAAGATTACAAAAAATCCTTGATTAAATAAATAATAATTTAACTGTAAAATAAAAGAAATAATACATATTTCCTTCTTTTCATTCATAAATAAAACAACTCAACTGAAGCTCATCTTTGCATTAACTCTGTGGACCGTATGATAACCATGAGCTCCTTCAGCAGAGGAAGATCAGGAGGTTCATTATTTTAACAGATCCATGTTCCTCACAGTGTAAAGAGCTGTGAGGTTTCCCACAATCCATTGCAGATCAAACCCAATGTTTCCAAACACTGTTGTACAAGTGACACTGCAGCAGATTATTCATTAAAATCTTCTGCATAAATAAACTTTGACTAAACTTTACAACATTTAAACCAAAATGACTCTAGAGCCACATCAGCCCATTTGAGATTATAATGTGTTTAATGTAGATTTGCCACATGTGTTTACATTTTACAGAAACTAAAGTTAAAACCACATGACTTATTTACATAAACAGCTCGCTCCTTGTGCTGTTGATGAGGTTCAGCTTCTGTCAGACTAAAGGGCATGACTCAGTGGAATATGAGGATGTGCTGCTGATGGTTTTGTCTGTAAATGATGGAAAAGATTTGTGGTGCAAGAAGTTTTTCGCTGGCACCAACTTTCGACACTCACAGGGGCAAAGAGGAGTGAATGAGACACAAGCAGCAAAATCAGGGAGGTGTGGGCGCGACGACAGAGAAGACAAACAAGTGAAGTGGTGAAATCACAATTGAATATAAGCATTATATCGATATATACGATATGTCAGAATACATATCAAGTTTTAAAAATATCTCGATATATTTAAAATATCGAGATATCGCCCACCCCTAGTCCCCAGCCGATTTCCCTCAGTGCCACTAAAGGTCGAGGCCTCAGAGCAATTTGACTTTCTCTCAATATGACATTAAGTGAGAGTTGTTTTACTTTTAAATAATAAACATAATAAAATAATCATAAGTAATGGATGTAAACAAAAATGTAACTGTAAATTCCGGACTATACACCACTACTTTTTTCTCACACTTTGAACCCTGTGGCTAAAAAAACGATGCAGCGATTATTTGGACGGATTATTTGTTTGGCACATTGTCCGTTCATATTTACGGTCTATGGTTTGGTGACACAGCGGATACACACAGCCTGAGTGAAGAAAACGCCGCTGTCTGTGCGAGTAACACATGGATCTAGGGTTCACATGACATTGCTGCACTAGCTTGTGATATTGTCAGAGCACTCAAATAGTTTATCTCCATGTGATAAAATAAGTTCTGATGCTAAATGAACATTAGTGAGGGGGATACGTCTTACCCGTGTGTGTAAACGACGAGAAGAAACATCTCAAACTTCAGTAGCCAAAGACATGGACACCTGCAGCTTATATTGAAGAGCGGTCTATATATGTACAGTTTTAAAATTTTGTTAAAATTTAGTTGATGTGGCTTATTTTCAGTTGCGCTCAATAGTCTGGATTTTATGGTAATTGCAACTAGGGCTGTCGCAGTTTGGGATTTTCTCCTGTGGTGCGGTACAATATCTCAACAGTGCGGTACGCTGTGATATCACACCCCCTCACCCCGTCCCTCGGAGTTATAATATTTTCAGCTACTCTGAAAACTCTCTCTGATGATGCACTTGTTGCAAATGCATGTGTGCCTGGGTTGTTGTGTGTAGTGTGTGTAGTGGGAGAAGTAACATTTGACTTTGGAACAAGTGTCACTGCATCTCTCCAGCTCTCACTGTGACAGCTCGGGTCGGGTCACAATCCTGCTCCAGGTCGGGTCAGAGTCCTGCACCAGTTCGGGTCAGAGTCCTGCACCGGGTCGGGTAAGAGTCCTGCACCGGGTCGGGTAAGAGTCCTGCACCGGGTCGGGTAAGAGTCCTGCACCGGGTCGGGTCAGAGTCCTGCTCCGGGTCGGGTCAGAGTCCTGCTCCGGGTCGGGTCAGAGTCCTGCTCCGGGTCGGGTCAGAGTCCTGCACTGGGTCGGGTCAGAGTCCTGCTCCAGAGTCAGAGTCCTGCACTGGGTCGGGTCAGAGTCCTGCACTGGGTCGGGTCAGAGTCCTGATTGGGTCGGGTCAGAGTCCTGAATCGGGTCAGGTCAGAGTCCTGCTCCGGGTCGGGTCAGAGTCCTGAATCGGGTCAGGTCAGAGTCCTGCTCCAGGTTGGGTCAGAATCCTGCACCGGGTCTGGTACCCGGGCGACGGCTGTACTTACCTCTGTGCGGCGCGGAGCTCTACGCCGGTCCTTTCGCCTGCGGTCACCTGACGGTCTACGCGGATGCATCTTGGTCCCGGGTTAGTTTTGGGTTAGTCCTGGGTTATCACGGGCGGTAATGAGTGGAATGTTTACGGGTCCAGGCGGGTGCGGGTCTCTAAAAATGGACCTGTGCAGGACTGTGGGTCTGGTCACGTTGGTCAGGTGGGCTTCGTAGCAGTGATTCATTTTTGCGGTTACTGCGACAGCCCTAATAGGCAAGTTTCATCTGACATCATTGTTATTAAAAGCCCGTGCTGCATGCTGGGAAATATTTTGGTCGGAGGCAAGAAACACGATAGCGGTTAAACACAGTGCGTAACCTCGCGTATTTCTCCCCGATAATGGTAAATTCCTGCTGCATTATCGGATGCACAAATAGAAGGAAAATGTCTTTTTCGTATTCCGAGTGAAAAGAACCACTAACGGTGAATTAAACGGCTTTCAAACATTCGCAGAGCAAACGTAGAAGATCCTAACAAACCGTGGACTCCAACAAGTTCGACAACACATCGAGCCTTTTGGAGGTTTTCATCTTTTCTGCTGTGAATGGTCCAGGAGTTTCCATCAAGTCATTGTGGATATCACCCAAGTGAATTTTGTCCAGGTAGTTGGTGATTCTGACCAGAAAGTTTGGTTTGGTCCAGACTCTGTCGGGGTTGAAAAGGGTGATTTGGCTCCATCGATGCTTATGACCAATTTCTGGTCAAATGGTCTTGGGTCCTCTGCTGTTAGAGTGGATAAATAACTGGGATCAATACCCTTTACGTGCTTTCTCGCTCCATCCGTCATGTTGAATTAGTGTTTCTTGCCGCCGACCAAAATAATTCCCAGCATGCAACACGCGCTTTTGTCAACAATGAAACTCGCCCATTGCAACCAGCAGTTCTTGTTATCTAGTACATTGTTTCCCAAAGACTGGATCACAAGAAATGTTTTGGGGTCGCCTATCTCATTAGAAATGTTGATATGCTGACATGTTTTATATAATTTCTAATCTTTTAGTTATTTTATTGACTATGTTGTTCCAATATTGCTGGTTCAATTGAAGGTTGAAAAGAAAAACAAATGGGCTACATTAAATCTCCAAATCGCCGACTTATGGATCCTTTTATTGCTGCTTCATTTTTTGTTTTTCATTGTTTAAAACTTGAGTAATACTAATTGTTCAGAGACACGATCACTCAGGAAACAATAAAATATCCTCATTAATGTTCAATAATGCTCAAATCCAACTTTATTTTGTGATTTGTGAATAATGTCTATGGATTTGAGACTTTTAAAATATGGGTCCCCAGAAAAAAGTTTTGGTAAACACTGATCTAGCAGGCTTCCTCACTAATAAAACAAGTTTCCAATCCACCATAATTCAAAGAAATCGAGATGTGCACGTCTCATGAACAACAGGGAAAAACAGACAATAAATCTATCAAAAAAAACCAGAAAGACTCAAGTTCACCTCAGGCCCCCAGACTCCGCCTCCGGTTGAGACACAAACATCAGTTCACAAACATCACAGTGTTTGTTGATCTAAATTTGGTTTATGGTTTTGTAAATACTATATTCGTCTCCACACTAACTGACTCCCCCTTCAGAGCGCGACCTCAACAAACTCAGAGAGCGGCCCACAAATGAAATGACTGCACATCAGGTTTGTCAAGTCACCGCGTTCAGTTTTGTGTCATGTTTTTGTGTATTTATGGAAAATGTCCGTGTGCTAAAATAATCCGTGTATCATTTGTTCAGTCGTTTTTCAAAATAAAATCAAAATTAAGAAAACGAAAAAATAACAGCTGTTTTAGTCATTATTTCTCTCCAAAACCAAAAATGAAAAAAAAAAAACAGAAAATAATTTGTTTTTTCCAGTTTTTAGTCTTGGTCTGGTCCTGGTCTGGTCCAAGCCCGGTCCCTTCCTCAGTCCCGGTCTCAATCATGGTCTGGTCTCGGTCTGAGTCCCAGTCTCAATCACGGTCTGCTCCTGGTCTGGTCCCAGTCTCAGTCCCAGTCCAGTCCCAGCCTGAGTCCCTGTCTCAATCATGGTCTGCTCCTGGTGTGGTCCCTGGCCTCAGTCCCGGTCTCAATCACGGTCTGGTCTTGGTCTGGTTCCGGCTTCAGTCCCAATCTGATCCTGGTCTCCGTCACGGTCTGGTTCTGGTCTGGTTCCGGCTTCAGTCCCGATTTGATCCTGGTCTCAGTCACGGTCTGGTCCTGGTCTGGTATCAGTCCTGGTCCTGATCCCTGTCTCAATCCTTTAGTCCTGGTCCTGGACCTGGTTTAGTCCTGGTTTAGTCCTAGTTCAGTCCGTATGCGACGCAAAACTCCTGTATCACAATTTAAGTCAAGTAAACGGGAATTTTTCATTTAAACACAAAATCGAAAATTGAAAAAACAAATCTTTTTTTTCTTTTTTTTTCCTGTTTTTTCATTTTTAATTTTGGAGACAAATATTGAAGAAAACTGTTGATTTTTCGTTTTATTATTTTTGGTTTTATATTGAATAACAAATGACACACGGATTAAAAATCTTGACACGTTTTCAAATTTGTTTTAAACATTTTATTTACGTAATAAACATTTACACAAGCAAAAAAATAAAAAATTTCTGAATAAATGTAAAAAAAATATATTGTCCCTGAAAAGCTTAATCACAGATGAGCGAGATTTTCACAGATTTTCAATACATTTGGTTTAGTCCTGGTTTAGTCCTGGTTTAGTTCAGGTCTTATTAACACATTTTAGGGGGCAGTTAGGTCTTGATCCGGTCCTGGTTTGGTCCTGGTTCCGTGAGTCCGGTCGAGGCGAGTTCATATCGTTTCATTTCTCGTTTTTTGTTTCGTCTCTGAATCAAAACCATCATCAAGATAAAAAACCAACCGCCGCAAAAAAACAGCAGCTGAAGACCCAGGAACCTGCAACAGAAGAAACCTGGTTTAGTCCTGGTTCAGACCTGGTTTAGTTCCGATTTAGTCTCGGTGTAGTCCTGCTTTAAGTCCTGCTTCAGTCCTGGTTTAGTCCTGGTTCAGACCTGGTTTAGTCCTGATTTAGTCTCGGTTTAGTCCTAGTTTAGTCTCAGTGTAGTCCTGCTTCAGTCCCAATTTAGTCTCGGTGTAGTCCTGCTTAAGTCCTGGTTTAGTCTCGGTTTAGTCTCTGTGTAGTCCTGCTTCAGTCCTGGTTGAGTCCTGGTTTAGTCTCGGTTTAGTCCCGGTTTAGTCTTGGCGTAGTCCTGCTTCAGTCCTGCTTCAGTCCTGCTTCAGTCTGCTTCAGTCCTGGTTTAGTCTCGGTGTAGTCCTGCTTCAGTCCTGGTTGAGTCCTGGTTTAGTCTCGGTGTAGTCCTGCTTCAGTCCTGGTTGAGTCCCGCTTCAGTCTCGGTGTAGTCCTGGTTTAGTCTCGGCGTAGTACAGCTTCAGTCCTAATTGAATCCTGGTTTAGTCTCGGGGTTGTCCTGCTTCAGTCCTGGTCGAGTCCCGGTTTAGTCTCAGTTTAGTCCTGGTTTAGTCTCGGTGTAGTCCTGCTTCAGTCCTGGTCGAGTCCCGGTTTAGTCTCGGCATAGTCCTGCTTCGGTCTTGGTTGAGTCCTGGTTTAGTCTTGGTTTAGTCTTAGTCCTGCTTTAGTCCTTGTCGAGTCCCGGTTTAGTCTCGGTGTAGTCGTGCTTCCGTCCTGGTTTAGTCCTGGTTTAGTCTCGGTGTAGTCCTGCTTCGGTCCTGGTCGAGTCCCGGTTTAGTCTCGGTGTAGTCCTGGTTTAGTCTCGGTGTAGTCCTGCTTCGGTCCTGGTCGAGTCCCGGTTTAGTCTCGGTGTAGTCCTGGTTTAGTCTCGGTGTAGTCCTGCTTCGGTCCTGGTCGAGTCCCGGTTTAGTCTCAGTGTAGTCCTGCTTCAGTCCTGGTTTAGTCCTGGTTTAGTCTCAGTGTAGTCCTGCTTCAGTCCTGGTCGAGTCCTGGTTTAGTCTCGGCGTAGTCCTGCTTCAGTCCTGGTCGAGTCCCGGTTTAGTCTCGGTGTAGTCCTGCTTCAGTCCTGGTTTAGTCCTGGTTTAGTCTCAGTGTAGTCCTGCTTCAGTCCTGGTCGAGTCCTGGTTTAGTCTCGGCGTAGTCCTGCTTCAGTCCTGGTCGAGTCCCGGTTTAGTCTCGGCGTAGTCCTGCTTCAGTCCTGGTTGAGTCCCGGTTTAGTCTCGGCGTAGTCCTGCTTCAGTCCTGGTTTAGTCCTGGTTTAGTCTCGGTTTTGGACCTGTGTCTGAAGAGATCCATGTCGTAGTAGAGACAGGAAGTTTGTTTGTTGCACTTCCTGCCCCAGAGGAGGCACGTGGTGTCGATGACTCTGCCGTAGAGCACCGGACCGGGGAAGAACGCTGCCCACAAACAAACAAACAAACAAACAAACAAACATGAGCAAAATGTCCACTGCATTTGACCCATTCTTCAATGTCTTTGGGTTAAACTTGTCCTGGTTTAGTCCTGATTCTGTCCCAGTTTAGTTCTGATTTAAACCTACATTTGACCCATCCTTCAGTGTCTCTGGGTTAAACTGGTCTTGGGTTAGTTCTGGTTTAAACCTGCATTTGACCCACCCTTCAATGTCTTTGGGTTAAACTGGTCCTGGTTCAGTCCTGATTTTGTCCCAGCTTAGTTCTGGTTTAAGCCTGCATTTGACCCATCCTTCAGTGTCTCTGGGCTTAACTGGTCCTGATTCAGTCTTGATTTTGTCCCGGTTTAGTCTTGGTTTAAACCTGCATTTGACCCATCCTTCAATGTGTCTGGGTTAGACCTGCATTTGACCCATTCTTGAGTGTCTCTGTGTTAAACCTGCATTTGTCCCATCCTTCCGTGTCTCTGGGTTAAACTGGTCCTGGTTTAATTTTGGGTTAAACCTGCATTAGACCCATCCTTCCGTGTCTCTGAGTTAAATTAGTCCTGGTCCAGCCCTGATTCTATCCTGGTTTGGTCCTGGTTTAAACTTGCATTTGACCCATTCTTCAGTGTCTCTGAGTTAAACTGGTTCTGGTTCAGTCTTGATTCTGTCCCAGCTTAGTTCTGGTTTAAGCCTGCATTTGACCCACCCTTCAGTGTCTCTGGGTTAAATTGGTCCTGGTTCGGTCTTGGTTCTGTTCCGGTTTGGTCCTGGGTTAAACCTACATTTGACCCATCCTCAAGTGTCTCCGGGTTAAACTGGTCCTGGTTCAGTCCTTATTCTGTCCTGGTTTAAGCCTGCATTTGACCCATCCTTAAATTAGTCCTCCTTCAGTCCTGATTCTGTCCCAATTTAGTTTAGTTCAGTCCTGGTTTAACCTGCATTTGACCCATCCTTCAGTGTCTCTGGTTTAAACTGGCCCTGGTTCAGTCCTGATTCTATCCCAGTTTAGTTCTGGGTTAAATCTGCATTTGACCTATTCTTCAGTGTCTCTAGGTTAAACTGATCCTGGTTCAGTCCTGGTTATGTCCCAGTTTAGTCCTGGGTTAAAACCTGCATTTGACCCATTTTTTTGTGTCTCTTGGTTAAACTGGTCCTGGCTGAGTCCTGGTTCAGTCCTGGTTCAGTCCTGGTTCAGTCCTGGCTGAGTCCTGAGTCCTGGTTCAGTCCTGGCTGAGTCCTGGTTCAGTCCTGGCTGAGTCCTGGTTCAGTCCTGGTTCAGTCCTGGCTGAGTCCTGGCTGAGTCCTGGCTGAGTCCTGGTTGAGTGAGTAATGCAGTGAAGTATGTGTGTCAGTTAAATGTTACGTAAACACAAAATACTAAACAGTTGCTATGGCGACAGATCAATGATTGTCACCTGTTGATTAATACTTTGTGATTTGTGATTTCACGCCGGAGGAAATAACAAAAAAACTATCAGTGACTGTAATGTTATTTGTGAAAGATGTGAGCACAAATCAGGTCAGCTCTTGTAATTTCAGCTGAACCTGTTTTTTTCTGCTCAGGTTGTTTAAATAAATCTCAGATTAAAGTTTAACAAAGGCTCAACAGTTTAACAAAGACTTCCTTCAGCGTCACACGCCCAGATAATGTTCTGTGTGATTTAAGTGAGGATTAAATAAGAATGAGCCGTGTCTTATGTGGTTTTAACACACGCCATAGTGTTCCTCCGCACTTACACCACACTTACACCACACACACCACTTACACCACACACACCACTTACACTCCACTTACACCACTTACACTCCACTTACACCACTTACACACCACTTACACCACTTACACTCCACTTACACCAGGCTTATATCACCACTACAAACTGAAATGTGTCACATGTGAGTTTAAAAATCGTTTCCCTGCCTGTAAACATCTCAAATATCAGATATTTCAATGTTTTAAATCAAACATGTCAAACTCAGGCCCGCGATATTTTATTTGACCCGCAATATAATTATAGTGGGCCCGCGATATTTAAATTGCGATGTAATTATATTTGACCCGCGATATTTGACCCGCGATATAAATATATTTGACCAGTGATATTTGACTCGTGATATAATTATATATGACCTGCGATATTTGACCCACGATATAAATATATTTGACCTGCGATATAAATATATTTGACCCACGATATTTGACCCGCGATATAATTATATTTGACCCACGATATGAATATATTTGACCCACGATATGAATAGATTTGACCCACGACATGAATAGATTTGACCCGCCATATAATTATATTATTATTATTAATATTATATCTTAAAAGAAGAGAAGACATACAGATGTTGAAAATTTTCAATAAATATTTAGTTTGGCCCACGACTTAGTCTCAGTTTTTAATTTTGGCCTGTTTGAGTTAGACACCCATTTTTTTAACGCAAAACCTACTTCAAAATATGATGAGTTATCTCCTGACAGACACATACACAACAACACAACTGTCGACACAAACGAGCGGCCCCGCTGTCTTTATACCGACCAGCCACTGAGCACGTGCGGACAAGCCGGATGTAAACAAAAACAACCTTTCCTCGTATAGAGTTCACCTTCAGATTTTATTATAGTTCTGTGGTTTTAACCATTGTTGGGAAGTTACTTCAAAACTGTAATGTGTTATTTATTTATGACGTGTTTCTGTCATTTCAAAGTGATTTGTTACTTTACAATATTACTGTGTTTAAAATGTAAAATATTACAGCAGCACTTTAACTTACTCTCACCAAAATAACTGTGAAGATGCTGGACTTTTGCACCTTGTATGGACTGAACCAGGACTGAACCAGGACTGAACCAGGACTGAACCAGGACTAAACCAGGACTGAACCAGGACTGAACCAGGACTAAACCAGGACTGAGCCAGGACTGAACCAGGACTAAACCAGGACTAAACCAGGACTGAGCCAGGACTGAACCAGGACTGAACCAGGACTAAACCAGGACTAAACCAGGACTGAACCAGGACTAAACCAGGACTGAGCCAGGACTAAACCAGGTAAACCAGGACTAAACCAGGACTGAGCCAGGACTGAACCAGGACTAAACCAGGACTGAGCCAGGACTGAACCAGGACTAAACCAGGACTAAACCAGGACTAAACCAGGACTGACCAGGACTGAACCAGGACTAACTAAACCAGGACTAAACCAGGACTAAACCAGGACTGAGCCAGGACTGAACCAGGACTGAACCAACACTAAACCAGGACTAAACCAGAACTGAACCAGGACTAAACCAGGACTAAACCAGAACTGAACCAGGACTGAGCCAGGACTGAGCCAGGACTGAGCCAGGACTGAACCAGGACTGAACCAGGACTAAACCAGGACTAAACCAGGACTAAACCACCCAGAGCGTGTGAAGCGGTTCGCCCTGTGGAGTTCGGAGTTCTGCGTCGGTCCTTTCGCCCCCGCGGTCACCCGACGGTTTACACAGGCGCGGTGATTTTAGCAAATTTGTATGAAGAAAAAAGAAAAACCCACCACTTCAATCCAGGTTAAAAAAGCTTTGTGACGCATGTTACTCACATTTGTACAGAGTAAAATATTACAGTTTTTCCCCTGTAATGCCGAACATTACTGCGTTACAGCAAAAATCGAAGTATTACAGTAATTTGTTACTTTTATAACACGTTACTCCCAGCACTGATTTTAACGCACAGTAGTTACACATTGGAATTCTCACTGAATGTGGTATTAGCATTAAGTTTAATTTCGAGTAAATTTGCCAATAAACATGCAGTTTGTTTCTTATTTTAACTGTGGGAGCACCTAATTAGCACAATATTATGCAAAATTAACTCTTGTGAACCAAGTTATGATGTTCCTTCCTCAAAAACAAACTAAACCTGGAGTCATAAAGTGTTTTCCTGTAAACTGCTCCTTTTACTTTTATTTCAGTAAATTTCTGGCAGTTCCAGGACTGAAATGGTCTAAATGATTCCAGTGAAAGTGTGTGGAGTTTAAACACACACAAGTGAAGATGATGCAAGTTTTGAGAGTGAAAGTGAAAGCATGTGTGGAATAAATGAACTCTGCGTGGAAGGAATGTGACACCAACTGCTGTGACGGAACGATCTGCCAGGAAAAACTGACTCTTCTACTCGAATCTCTCATCTGTTCCTCTGCACCTTCTGCTCCCGTGACCCTCTCGTCTTTATCGTCTGGACCCCCTGAACCTCTGACCTTCTCTTCTTCATCGTCTGCTTCCTCTGACCCTCTTGTCTGCATCTTCTGCTCCTCTGGCCTTCCCGTCCTCCTCTACTCCTCTTCTCCTCTCTTCCTGCTCCCTTCCTCCTCTTCCTTCTCTCCTCCGCCCCCTCCTCTTTTCTTCCTTTTGTTTTCCTCCTCACTTCCTCCTCTCCTCCGCCTCCTCCTCTTGTTCTTACCCAGGACTCTGAAGAACATGTACTGAAGTCCAACAGCGAAAGATTTGTCCTCCACCGGAACCGACCTGAGAACAGGAAGAACACTTTACTGTCATCGGTTAAGTAGTAGTAGTAGTAGTAGTAGTAGTAGTAGTAGTAGTAGTAGTAGTAGTAGTAGTAGTAGTAGTAGTAGTAGTAGTAGTGGTGGTAGTAGTAGTAGTAGTAGTGGTAGTAGTAGTAGTAGTAGTAGTAGTGGTAGTAGTAGTAGTAGTAGTAGTAGTAGTATTTGTAGTACCTGAGTATGATGATGTAGTAGTAGTAGTAGTAGTAGTAGTAGTATTTGTAGTACCTGAGTATGATGATGTAGTAGTAGTAGTAGTAGTAGTAGTAGTAGTAGTAGTAGTAGTATTTGTAGTACCTGAGTATGATGATGTAGTAGTAGTAGTAGTAGTATTTGTAGTACCTGAGTATGAATGTAGTAGTAGTAGTAGTAGTAGTAGTAGTATTTGTAGTACCTGAGTATGATGATGTAGTAGTAGTAGTAGTAGTAGTAGTAGTATTTGTAGTACCTGAGTATGATGATGTAGTAGTAGTAGTAGTAGTAGTAGTAGTAGTAGTAGTAGTACCTGAGTATGATGATGTAGTAGTAGTAGTAGTAGTAGTAGTAGTAGTATTTGTAGTACCTGAGTATGATGATGTAGTAGTAGTAGTAGTAGTAGTAGTAGTATTTGTAGTACCTGAGTAGTAGTAGTAGTAGTAGTAGTAGTAGTAGTATTTGTAGTACCTGAGTATGATGATAGTAGTAGTAGTAGTAGTAGTAGTAGTAGTATTTGTAGTACCTGAGTATGTAGTTGTAGTAGTAGTAGTAGTAGTAGTAGTATTGTAGTAGTGAGTATGTGATGTAGTAGTAGTAGTAGTAGTAGTAGTAGTATTTGTAGTACCTGAGTATGATGATGTAGTAGTAGTAGTAGTAGTAGTAGTAGTATTTGTAGTACCTGAGTATGATGATGTAGTAGTAGTAGTAGTAGTAGTATTTGTAGTACCTGAGTATGATGATGTAGTAGTAGTAGTAGTAGTATATTGTAGTACCTAGTAGTAGTAGTATGTAGTAGTAGTAGTAGTAGTAGTAGTAGTATTTGTAGTACCTGAGTATGATGATGTAGTAGTAGTAGTAGTAGTAGTAGTAGTAGTAGTATTTGTAGTACCTGAGTATGTGAGTAGTAGTAGTATAGTAGTAGTAGTAGTAGTAGTAGTAGTAGTAGTAGTATTTGTAGTACCTGAGTATAGTATAGTAGTAGTAGTAGTAGTAGTAGTAGTAGTAGTAGTAGTAGTAGTAGTAGTAGTATTTGTAGTACCTGAGTATGATGATGTAGTAGTAGTAGTAGTAGTAGTAGTAGTAGTAGTAGTAGTAGTAGTATTTGTAGTACCTGAGTATGATGATGTATGAAGGCGTGTGGCAGAACGAGGCGACGAAACACGTCAGAGACACAAAAACCATAAAGACCAGGATGAGTTTTGAACACGGACTCCCACAGGTCCCCTGCGTCGCCCAGGACCCACCTAGACCCGGACCAGAGTCTAGTCCTGGAGACCCAGACACACAGCCACAGTCTGTGTAGTTCTGAAAAACAAAAGAGAAGTGAGGCTCCTGCCAAACTCATGACATATTTACATCACCGTGTTACATTTTATTGTTTTGAAAACACTGTATTTGCCAAAAACAATATACAGAGTGTCTGGAAAAAAATCACATCTTTTTGCAGGCCAATAATTTTGGCAATTCTTATTGAAATAACCACAAATGTATATATTGTTTTTAATTTAATGTTTTATTTTTTCGTTCTGTTTTCAGGTTGAGCCATTCACTCCCAAAGAGAAATCATTTTGTGTCTTGGAATCTGCTCACACACACTCACCCAAGACTCTGCAGCCTTCAATGAAAAATTTAGAAAAACTTCACCAACTGGCAACACAAATTTGCACTTGGTACTTGGGGGGATGTAACAATAACCGAAATATTGATATCTTATTGTTAAAGTTCTCACAATAACATCATGGACCATCACAATATATCGAATCACTTTGCTTAAATGAAGAGTTATGATGCAGCAACAGCTAAAAGACAGAGAACTACATAGACCATGATCCTTTGCTCCATTTCAATGTAGACTACAAGAAGAAATAACAGTTCTAACACTTTAAAGTCTTAATTCTTTGGATTAAGTCTTGTCGAGACATTTTAAGAGGAAAAAGTCACATAGTCACAAGTTTTGTTAGCCACCACAAAATATCACAATAAATATCGTACTGTGAGGTTCATACCGTGACGATATCGTGTCTTGAGACTTGGATATTGTTACACCCCTACTTGGTACCAAAAATTTCAAGAGAAAAGCTTCTTAAGCTATCCTGATTTATCAGCTGGTTTCACTTTGTTTCACTTCGTAGAAACCGTCTGACATCACAGTGTTAGGATTTGTTAACTCGACAGCAGGCGAGTACTTTTTTTTTTTATTTAACCAATCGCTGCTGTTTGGTCGTGACGTATGTAATGCATTATGGATAACTGGTATATTAAACTTTTCCCAAATCCTGTAGGAAGAAGGACAATAACGTCTTTCCCCTTAATAAAAATCACCAAACATTCTCTTTGTTCCGGCTTTAAATCCTCGATCTCAGGAATCGTGGACAACATAGAATATATAGCTCTTTGCTAATTGGCTGGTGCCCGAACTTGCACATCCGGGGTTTTTGTGAACTGTCTATTGTATTTTGATTCCTGACCTAGTCACTGGAGAGAAATGAAATTGAGCGGAGGCACTAGGTGGCGTCAGACTGGCTATCCTTATGCAGGGTTCAAGGATTACATATGTGTGCGAGCAGATTCCAACACGCAAAATGACTTCTCTTTGGGAGTGAAGAGCTCGACCTGAAAACAGAACAAAAATAAAACATTAAAGGTTGTATGGAGTCTTTTTATTTTTTAGTTTCAAATTGTCAGTGAAAGTTTAAAATACCGTTACAGAGACGCAGCAGCTTTGTAATTATGATGACAAAAAAAAAAAGAATTAAAATCTATCAACTGTGGATGTAGTGAGGCCAGAAAAACATCAGCCAAGAGATAATGAGGCTCTCTCATTTTCTATTGGCTGTTAGGTCCCTATGTTTCAAGTGTAACTGACTCGCCGGCGCTCGGGGATTACGTGGTTTATGCAGCGGTTTTTAGAGGCTTTTTCAAACTGTAGCTTCCTTGCAGTTTGCACAAAATTTGTTGCGATGGCGGAAGAGAATCCACGACCAGTTCGCTGCAAAAGAAAGTCGTTTTTTTGAGGTCGCTGAAAGAAGAAGAGAAGGGGAAAAGGCGCGAAGACAAACTGAGGTGATTCTTGGAGATTCCTTCCAGCGATTGTGCGAATGAAACAGGCGAAGGGTCTAAAAACTGATGCGTGGGTCACAAAATTATTTCTAGACAGGTCACTTCAACAGTAATTCTGAACGCACACTGGCTGTAAACAAATGTGATTTCTAGAGTAAAGAGGCGGGAGGAGATGTTTCTACTGAGGGAGCTGTGGAGGAGGAAGGTGGTGTCACAGATGCACAACATTTGAAAAAGGACTGTCGCTGTATTTCTCTTTCCTTAAAAAATCCTCTATACAACCTTTAAATCTAAAATCTGGATCTGTTTCTAGACATTCTGTGAAAATTTGGGGTTATTTCAACAAGAATTGCCAAAACTATCGGCCTGCAAACTGATGTCAAATTTTTTGGGACACCCTGTATTAACATGTTTTATAAGTTTCCCCTCTCTCTTTGCTCGCTTTATATTTTTTGAGAAAGTCGATAAATTAGATGATTCGTTCTGGGGAGGGGGAGACTCACACTGGGGCGTCCGGTCTTGGGGTCAGTCTCCTGTGACTTGCATCCTGCGTGACACGGAGACCGGAACTCCACCCCGTCCGAACCGCACACCGGGTTAAAGGAGTCCTCCGGGCACCAGCAAGACCCACACATCGGACCCGAAACTGGACCGGAGACCGAGATGGGACCAGAGACCAGGTCTGGACTACACAGAGGAGAAAAGGTTCATGCAGGTCCAACCACATCCCAACATCTGCAGATTAATTACACTGTAAAATTCAACACTAGGGTTCACCTGCTTTCAGCTCATTTATTTTACTCACAGCTACAAATCTGTGGATCTTAATGATTGTGGTAAAGTAACTGATACTTTCAGGGCGAAAAAAAAAAGCACATTACTCATCAGTAGACTAAGGTTAACTTGAATGAGACGAGTAACTTCAACAGTTCCCCGTTTACATGAGAGCTTTAATTCCAATAAAAAAATAATTTAATTAGAAATAAAAATGTATTCCGCTTTAAAAAGTGACTAAACTGACTGATTCATTGGCACAGCTTCACAACACGAGCTCTAGGAATGAAAATTAAAGTTCCCTGTGGCGCGATTCTTTAAGAAACCCAGGCTTAGTTGGGATTAGCGTTTTTTTGGGTGGCACTTACATGTGTAGAATTGATCAGATCTTTAGGGGTAAATATGAAATGTTAACTCTTTCCACTCATCTTATGGTTTGGTTTTATAGTTTTTTTTAACATTCAAAATCCTGTAAGTGCATTTATTGTCGTCTCTTTTTTACTGACTCTGGATGGTGGTTTCAGATTTTATTTTAAGCCCCCAAAACGGCGTCACCTTCTAAACGAAAGGCACATCCGATAAAATATTTTGGCGTTTTAACTGCAAGCGTTCTCGTGTAAACAGGCGGGCCCGGTCAAGCAGAAGTAAACAGCAAGGCCAAAAATTCAAGTGAATGCATCTGATATAAAAATGTATTGAACAGATACATATGTACTCTAGTTTATGAAACTGTTGACCTTTTTTCTGTACCATTTTTGGTTCTAAAGTTCCATATGTTTTAAACAGACCATGTATGAAACATGGAACACAAATTATTTCCCAAATTTCAAAGACCTGAAAATCATGTCAATAAATGGATGTATTTCATCATATCTTGTGTTATTCCATCTTTGAACTGTTGATGAAGGTACATGATTTTTTTTTTTTTAAATCATGGAAGAAAAAAGTTGACAAATGATACAAAATCCTGCACCTTCTACTTGTTTGTACAATTTTCCCTCCGTTACTTTTCCCTCCGTTACCATGACCTTTCTAAATAAAAAATCTCATGAGTCAAAAAGTAAGAGGTTTTTCAACCTAATCTTGTACCATATGGTAGAAAACTATATGAAGCAAATATTCAAACCAGTTTGTTAAGGATATGGAAGTGAGAACCAAGAGTTATCACTGTTTGGATTTATTGCCCAAAAAGTGCTGCATATTTCATTCCCTCCGTTACCGACATGAGTTTTTAAATTTTTTGTCAACAAGTTGAAAGAATATCACAGGTTTAACTTGACCCTGTTGGAGTGTAACTCTTTCCTACATTCTGATACTTTACTTATTTCAATAGTCCCTCTAGTTTCTGAATAAGAGACATTTGAATTGAAGTGAGGTCGACTTGTTCCCTGGTCCTCGAAGGTTTGACCAGGTTTTAAATTCACCCTGTGTGTGTGTGTGTGTGTCTGTCCGCCCGCAATAATTCCGCCATTTATGAACCAATTGTCACCAAATTTGGTACGTGGGTCAAGCCCCTGTGCCCGATGTCGCAAAAAAAAAAGTTTGGTGACGATCCAAGGTCATTTGAGGTCAATTGAAAGGTCATGACATTATAAGGATAAAGGCAATTTTGGCAATTTCTGAACCATCTGTGGGCTAAAATATTCACCCAATCATCACACAAGTTGGCACACAGAATGTTACAGGTTGAAACCGGTCAAGGTCACTTGAAGGTCAAATATGTGTTTTTAGTCATAACTCCGTGAAGTATCGAGCTCGAGCAGTGGGAGTGGTCTCAAAATCTCAGAAAAATGATTATCTATTTATAATTCAAATGTATTTGTGTAGTAAAATATGAATAGTTTTCGAGATAATCACTAATTATAACAGTTTCTTTCTCTTTCTCTGATTGCGCTTGTTAGATTTTACAGTGTAGAGACGTTTGACCCGCCCCCGTCTCAGTCTGACACTACAGGGAGACGGGAGGACGGGAGGGCATCTGACACACAGGAGGCGCGTTCAAACCTGATGGCGTTCCGCGGGTAGACGCCGTGCACGTTCTGGGTGGAGCAGCCGATGAGAGGAGCGGGGCGGCGAAGAGAATGCAGAGAGACAGAGACACGAGGCACATCCGCCCGGCGCCGATCACAGAGAGACCGCGACGCCGCATCAAGACTCCGCCCAGAACGATGCCCATGATGGAGAAGGGCAGAGCCACGCCCCCTGAGGGACCACGGAGAACGACATGGGTTAGACCTGGTTTAGTCCTATTTCAGATTTTTGGGTCTTGGTTCAGTCCCAGTTTAGTCCTGGTTCAGTCTTGGTTTAGTCCTGGTTCAGTCCCAGTTTAGTCCTGGTTCAGTCTTGGTTTAGTCCTGGTTCAGTCCTGGTTCAGTCCCAGTTTAGTCCTGGTTCAGTCTTGGTTCAGTCCTGGTTCAGTCCTGGTTCAGTCCTGGTTCAGTCCTTTTTCAGTCCTGGTTTAGTCCTGGTTTAGTCCTGGTTCAGTCCTGGTTTAGTCCTGTTTCAGTCCTTTTTCAGTCTTATTTAGTCCTGGTTCAGTCCTGGTTTAGTACCGATCATCAGGTTGGAGAAGGCCATGGTTAGGCTGAATTGTCGCTCCATAAACTTGGGCATAAACGTGGCGAGACCCGAGAGCAGCGCAGCGAGATTCACCTGGGCCAGGACCACACACATGTAGACCGGAGTGCGCAGGGTCCGGAGCGCCGTCTGCGGGAAACCTGGGAATACAACCGGCAACTCATGTGAGCGGGAATCAATACTAAAAAAGTCACATTCACAGGAACAAAAATGAACTTTTTCTGAAGTTTTAGAACGATCTTGAGCTGAATCAGAACAAGTATAAGACCACAGAGACTAATATATGTCCATAGACCTGGTTTAGACCTGGTTTAGACCTGGTTTAGACCTGATTTAGACCTGGACCACTATGGAACCTACCTGGACCACTGAGGGATTACACAAATATAACACCACATGGGAATATAGAAGAAAGTACGACCATTTACTCAGACTGCAGGGCTTAACACTCAATTCGGATTTTTTTGTGAAATCCGATTTTTTTGCAAAGTCGTTCACATTTCCAATGAAATGCGACTAGTATGTGATCTCCAGTGTTAACTTTAAACACCCCAAAAGTGTCCAGTGTTTACAGAAGTCACCTAAACTCTGAGGTTGTCTCCCAATATCCGGTCCAGTTGTTGGTAAAATGGACAGGTTACACGTCCACGGCCACTTCATTTGTTTGAGTCTTTAGCCTCCTTGTATTTGTTTGGATCTTTATTTTTCATTGACATTGGAGTCAAGACTGCCTGTAGTTGTGCTCGGATATTTCTTTGGAGATCATTTAAAAAAAACGGCCAGTTCCAGTAAGATTCCTCCAATTTGTCCTGAATACAGTGATCCCCCCTCACATATTAATAAACTCACTAACCTAGCTTTCCCTCCATTGATGAGACTCTGAGTCTGACATGTAGGTGGGATGAATGTGACCTGACCATTCAGACTGAAGTAACATGTCAAAAAATCAGATATGTATCAGTTTTAGGTGCACATACATATTCGCATTTGAAAAAAATTGGATCTGTGTCGTTCAGACTGTCATTAAAAGATCTGATACAGGAGCATAGGGGCTAGGGATGGGCATGATTAGTCGATTAATCGATAATTGATTATTAAGAATTTCATCGATTACGTTCATTTTAATCGACAAACTGAATGTAGGTTGCTGTGTGTAAAGTCCGTGTCCGGGGACAAACAGGTGTGTACATGTGTCTCTGCATCAGAAGGAGCGAGACACAAACAGTGGGTCAGTCTGTAACGAACCGAAGCACAAATGTGTAGTTGACGATGATTTGTACAAGAAATTCCACACTTTCCGTTGCGTTCGGGACAAGTGTGAGTCCACGTGCACAATGTACAAAGCAGCACATATGTTTCGGTGTCCAGAAGGAAAAAGTTCACCAGGACACAGAAAACATGAAAAAGTTTTACCAGGTGAGAGTCGCTCAATGTGGATGACGAGTCCCCACCTCCCTCCCCCCGTACGCTGTCCTGGTTTTGACAAACACAAATCTGGTCACACTAACCTGTATTCACCTGAGTCATGTCGCATCAGCGCACAAGAGCTGTGTTTTTCCTTCACTTAGTTTACACAAATGAGCCATGTGGTTTTAAGTTTAGTGTTTAGTGTGTTTAGTTTCTGTGAGAGTTGCACAAAACTGAATTAAACACATTATAATGTCAAACGGATTGATGTGGCTCTAGAGTTGTTACAGTTTATATGTCGTAAAGTTTAATTTATTTATGCAGATTAGTAGTGCAGCTAGTAATAATAATGATGATCATTTTAATATAAAAACATTAATGATTAATCGATAATCAATCGTTAATTCTCCCAACGATCGATTAAGAAAATTTTATCGAATGCCCATCCCTAATAGGGGCCAAAAAATCGGATTTGGGTCAGTTCAGGCTGCAGTCTGAACGTAGCCTAAGGTCGTTTTCACACCGCTAGTTCGATTATTTGGTCCGCACCAGGCAATAAAATTGTTATTATGTAGCAAATACACTCCAGTGTGGTCCGCGTTCACACCGGCAAACGAACCAAAACTGGTTCGATTCACGTGTCTCTGTTTCCCCGGTAAAACAGCGATACTCCAGTTACCAACACCGATGTTCCTGTTAAAACCACGGGCCGTCCTCATCTCAAATTATCACCATGAACTCATAAAACAGCAACATGTAGAACTTTGTACAAACTCACCGCATCAGCCCAGAGCTCGGGTGACAGCAGCAGCCAACAGCTCCTCAGGACGGGGCTGGGGTCTGGTTCTTGGTCTGTTACAAGCTCGTTGGTCAGATGGTCTGGAGGCTCCATCCTCCATGTGCTGGTTCCAAACGGTGGCGAGAAAGAAAAGTGGCGCAATGACTGGGTCTGAGCGGGTACGTTCCGTCGTCTGCGCGCTGGTTCTGTGCGGGAAAAGCAAGAATGCGCTGTGGACTACAGGTCCGGGCGCTGCTCCTGTCCTCCGCGCTCAAGAACCGCGGCTGGTTCCGAGGTGGTGCAGCATCCGGACAGAAGCGTGAGTCCAGTTTGGTTTGTTATATGTTGTTCTGAGCGTCCGTCCTCCGCGCATTTGGTTCTTCCCGGGGAAAGCGCTTCCTCAGGTCGAGGCTCCCCGCTCCAGCTCCTCTGAGCCCGGCCTGAACCGGAGCTGCCCCCGCTGGTTCAGGACTCTGGTTTGGATCTAGTCCGACTGTATTTCTCACACTAGGCTAAAAACAGGGACTTTTTTAAGTTGTATCAATTGAATGGGCGATTGCCTATTGCCATGAAATTATTTGGTTAATTAAAGCCTAAAATAACAAATGTTGGTTGCTGCGTGATCACGGGGGACACCGGGTCGTCTCTGTGCGTGTAGGTCCAGAACAGGGGGACGCACCCCCAATTTTGACTCACTCTGGAGCCACACGTTCGCACACTGGTTCTTGCTCTGATCTTCGTGTGTTTCATTCTCTGTATTGCCCATTGTTGGTAAAATAATTCGAAACTGAATCGCGGCTGCGTCTGGACAACAATCTGTTACTGCGCTGGAGTCGTACAGTGCGTCATTTCAGGCAGAGGAGACGCGTGTCCCTCCCATGATGCATTTCGAATAGTCTGTTTGTCCATACTGTCTATGGCTTGGACCCGGGTTCGCGTTCACACCAGAGGAACCGCACCAAAGTTGGTAATTTGGTGCGGATTCAAGCGAACCGAGACCACCTCATTTTTGCGGTCTCGGTCCGCTCCATTTGGCTCGGGTCCGAGTCCGATTGACGCTTTCACACCAACGCAAACGAACCGAACTAACCACTTTTGGTTCGAATGGAACGTTTGGTGCAACAAATACTGTCGGTGTGAAAACGCCCCTAGATAAATACTTTACTGATCCTGAGAAGGGGAAAATCAGGTCTTGTAGCCGTATAAAGGCGCACCTTTAGGAAAAACAGTACAGCATAACATGAGGAAATGAGAAGGAGATAAAAAAAGAAACAACCCCCACACTGTGCTCCTGTGGGGACAAAAAAAAAAAAACACCTCTGCAACATAAGCACATAATCAAACACAGAACGACATGAAGACTTGGCAACAGAGGAGGGGAGGGAGGGTGTAGTTACAGACAGAACAATAGAATAACGGAGGCGTGGGATGTGGGGTGGGCCTGGAGAGTCGCTCAATCTCAGCTGCCATGGAGGCAACCTTGATCAAGTCCCTTAGAGAGCCAACGTTAATAATCTCACTAACCTCACTTTCCCTCCATACGAGAAAACGTTTCTGTTTACATCCGGCTTTTCCGCACGTGCGCAGTGGCTGGTTGGCAAAAAGTCAGTGGGGCTGCTCGTTTGTGTTGACAGTTGTGTTGTGTTTGTCTGTCATGAGAAAACATGACATGACTTCATCGTCTTACTCCAAGTCACTGAATGTTGAGGATCAAAAATGTTACTTTGAAAAGTTAAAACTTGGTATGACGATTGTTGATGTTGTACGCTGATAACTGTTGACGATATTGATCTTTTACACAATTAACTGTTGACGATGATGATGTTGTACTGTTGTATGACGATGCTGATGTTGTGGGCCGATAACTGTTGATGATTGTTGATGTTGACTTGTTGATATGGACACTTTTTGCCTACCAAAATGGCTGACATGACATCATCTCGTTTTCTCGTATTGATGAGACTCTGAGCCTGACATGTAGGTGGGATGAATGTGACCTGACCTTTCAGACTGAAGTCGCTTGTTAAAAGATCGGATATGTATCGGTTTTAGGAGCACATATCCAAGTGTCCTGTGTGGCATTTGAAAAAATCTGATCTGTGTCATTCAAATTGACATTAAAAGATCAGATACAGGAGCATAGGAGCCAAAAAATCTGATTTGTGTCACTTGAGGCTGCAGTGTGAATGTCGCCTATGTATCCCGCTGCGAACATCCCGGCAGGACATTCAGATTCCCCCGACCCCAAGTTCAAACTGATTGCGATACCTGAATATTGAGTATCGAGTCTGTTCCTCAGTATCAGGAATCAAGTTTGAAATGTCACTATTTTCTGCAGCGCTTTAACTTGATCATAAAATAGCTAAAAGGTAAAGACGTGGAGCCTGACTGTTTTATTAGTGACTCGATTCTGTTACAACACAAATCCCCCTGTGAAAATTTTTGTTGTGGCCGCTCACATCTGTGTTATATAATACTGGAATGTTGTGAGGTCATCTGAAACGCAGCTTGGGACATGCATAAGAAAACTCTTCATCCATTTTTGGAGGGAAATATGTCTGATGAAGTCCATTTGCGAGAAAAGCACAAAGTGTTCATCCTCACAGGTCACTGTCAGGGCGGGCTGCTCCAGACTGACTCTGTTAGTGGGTTGTTTAGTCCCAGTCCATGTTTTGAGCCCCGTGTTCACTGTCATAGGGATGTAACGATATCCAAATCTCACGGTACGCTATTTATTGCGATATTTTGGAGATGCTGATATAATTGTAGATACGACACTTTCTTGCTTTTAAAATACCTTGACAAAATTTTGATGTGAATTATTTCTGTCATAATAGTAAAAAACATATATCTTCATGTTGTCTGCACTGAAATGAATCATGGGATATGTAGTTTCTGATACATTTAAGCAAACTTGTAATTTGATATATTATGACGGTCCATGATATTATTGTGAAACTTTTGACGATATGATTAGGGCTGGGCAAAAATAAAACATATTAATCGCATGAGTTCCTGTGATTAATCATGATTAATGGCATGTTATGCACAAAACCAATTAATGAATTCAAAAGTAGCATATAGCTGCACTTTTATTGGAAATGAAAACAAAAGTGCCGTACATTTGTTGTGCCGTGTTGTTCTTTATACAGGAGCAGGGCACTCGTCTGTAAAGTCCATGTTTATACTTCTTTGGAGAATCTTACTCAAAAAAAGAAACAATTTCAGTTCAGTTTGTCAATTCCTAGAATTAGAACTTAATGAACTGAATTCAAAAGTAAAGCAGCAGAAAAATCAAACCAAATGCAAAACTGAAATGTACTGCCACTGCCAGTGGAAATGGTTTACCAGAAAAGCCTCCTCCATGTTTGTTTATCTTGCTTTCTCTCTGTTTTCTGTGAGTGCCGCAGCAGCAGTGAGCAATTCTAGGTTCGCTCACGATGGACTTTTTCAAAATAAAAGCCAGTGAGCAACAGACATTTACAATAAAAAAATATATAATATATAAATAAAAACTGCATCAAGGGGAGAAAACTAATTGTTGGTGATAATGAATTAATTAGTAAAATAATTTAAAAATCCAACTTCTCGCCTCCTTGTTTTTGTCAAGGCCTTGGCACAGGGTCTTAAAACTTTAAATATATATACCTTTATTTTCAGTTATACTTAAATTAGTTTTAATGTCAAAGTATTTTGTGTATTTATTCATACTATAGACACTGTACTGCAAAGTCACTCGTCTGTCAGACTGTTTAAGTGTGTAAGTGTCATGAGCCTGATAAGCATTAAACAGGAAATCCAAAACTCTTCTGTATCATTTCAAACAAACTCCATGATGACTCGACCTTGGTGAGGAGTTTTTCTTATAATGGATGAAAGTCTGGGGAAAATCAAGACAATAATAATGATCATGTCAGTTTCTCCCTTTTGCCTTTGCACAAAATCTTATTTTTGGCTCATGATCCAAAGGCAGAGAACAAGAACTGACTAATAAAGGTCAAAGGGCAATTTTGAGCTCAATATTTTTCGCACACAAATATTTCTTCATTATAGCAAATAGTCATCAAATTTTGAAACATTGAAGTTGTTTTTCTCAGTTTCTCACTCTGGCGACTTAAGCTCTTTGGCCTTTGTAGGGCAGAACAGTAAAGAGTAAAACTGTCAGATATGGGTGTCAAATTATCTTGTTAATTGCGATTAATTAATTACAGTCATATTTAGCGAGTTATGTTTTTAATCGCGTTAATCTTATTTTTAATTTCTAACTTTAACTGTTTCTGCGAGTTGCCTTATTATAAAAGCTGTTTTTATGTGTTGTTGGGACAACAACACATCACTCCCGCAAAGAATTGTAATTTTCATTCCCGTTCTTGCTGCATCTGTGATAAACCTGCACAAACCATCACGACACACACACAGAACAGACTCACCTTCAGCATCAACACCCCTCTGTCACAGAAACAACATCTATATTCCACTGAGTTGTGTCCTTTAGTCCGACAGAAGCTGAACTGCATCAGCGATACGAGCGTTTTAGTTTTTTTTTCTCCGCTTAGTTTATGCAAATGATCCATGCAGTTTTTAGTTTTGTTTCTGTGGGACTTGTACAAATCTGCATTGAACACATGATAATGTCAAACAGTCTGTTGTGGCTCTAGAGTGTTTATGGTTTATATGTTGTAAAGTTGAGTTTATTTATGCAGATTAGTAATAGTAATAATAATGATGATACTGTGGAATGTAAGTAACTGCATCTGTTAAAGTTTGTTAAACAATAAATGACTTTATAAAGTCACTTTTTTTTGTTCTATATCAGTCTTTTGATCTGCCACAATAATGTAATAATGAATTTAAATGAAAATACCTCAAATTGAAGGCTTTTCTCAGCAATTTTTAGGTGAGATTAAAAAGAGATTAATTAGATTAATTAATTACAGATCATAATTAATTAATCTCTCAATTTTTTTAATCACTTGACAGCACTATTGTCAGAACTCAAAGCATGTTGCACTGACTGAAGTCCCGAGGATTATATCACTGGATTTTTTCTTTCTTTCTTTTTTTCCTTTTGGGCTCCACAAATATTTATTTTAATAGCGCCACAATGTACGCAGTTACAACTTTTCTTGTCTCTACCAGTATTGCATCTGTACGTGTCAAAATACAAAACTGGGACGCTAACAGAGTAGAGAATTTGAGTCTTCTTTGTAGAGGTTCTATAGAAGGTTCTAAACATGTCTCTGCTTGAAGAGGAGGTATTATGCAAAATTGACATTTTAGAGCTTTTGTTCTGTCATCAGAACATGCCTGAAGAGGTCTTAGCTGTCATCTGTTCATGTTCGATGAGTCTAGCAATCTTTCCTGAGCCGTCTTTGAGCCTCCTTACAGTTACAGTTGCAGTACAGTCCTGTCCAAAGCTCCAGCCACAGTTTGACTACACACTGTACTGCATGGATCTGTGTACTGTATTTTTCGGACGTAAGTCGCAATTTTTTCATGACTTGGGTGTTTCCTGTGACTTATACTCCGGGGCAACTTATGTATTAAATTTTTTACACTAAAGCTGCGAGAGGCTCTAGTCTTGTGTGTGAGTATCTGCTGCTCCTGTTCCTCCTGTACCACTGTCACTTCACTCTACTGCACATGTCTCCTGCAGAAAGAGCCTCTGTCCTGCTGCAAGTCGTGAAATCTGCAGCCGAAAACTGTAATCGAGCAGCAGAAAGAAAGTTTGGAGTGAGCGAGAAACTTGTGAGGGACTGGTGGAAAGCGAGGATGGAGAACACAGCTTCACGGCAACTGGGAGGGTACGACGTGCAACTTTCCTGGAAGTCGCTGGATGGATGGACAAAGCTTGGACTTCAGTGACACTGAAACCATCCTGTCGGGATTCAGTAAGGCCCCAATAATTCTACCTGGAACTGATGCTGAGTCTGACGACAGCGACACAGAAGAGGAAGCGGCGCTCTGTTTACCTCCGGAGGTCGTGGAGTTGCTCAGAAGTGACACCGAGGATGAAGAATTGAATGGATTTAGTGATTTGGAGTGAGATGGAGAGTTTGTTAAACTTGTTCTGTTCTGTTGTTTATGTTATAGTTTATCTGAAGAACTGTTCATATGTGACATTAACAGTCTGTTGTTCTCTCTTCTATTGTTTTTACTAGAACTTGACTTTCAGCAGGAAATGTCAGTTCCTGTTCTTTGATTTTATAAAATAAATTTCCCGAAAAAGTGCGACTTATATATGTTTTGTTCTTCTTCATTACATATTTTTGCTAGTGTGACTTACACTCCGGAGCGATTTATAGTCCCAAAAATATGGTATGTGACAAATAAAATAAACCAACTAACAAACCAAAGTTCCTCGTGGATGCAGTTCTCCATAAATATCGAAAAATAATAAACTCAAAACAAAACGCTCCAACTTCACAAACCTGATGTGATGTCACCAACAGGAGATGTCACAGTTTTTGATTTGTCTGCTCTGCTCACTCTAAACTGCAAGTGGGTTATAGGTTTTAGCAGGTTGTATTGTTTGTTTGTTTGTTTGTTTGTTTGCTTGTTTGTTTTTCTTACTGCGGATGAAGTCGCCCATCGTCGCGGCTCTGACCTGAGGAGGTTTCACCGTCTCCTCGTCCTCCACCTGAAAACACACAAGTCACTTTTACTATAAAGTGAAACTAAACAACATCAGCTTCACCAAAAACCACATGTAAATATCACTGCTCAACTGGGACGTACAGGGAGGACTAAAGGGGAGAGTGAGGAGGGGCGGGGTCTGGAGGACTAAAGGGGAGAGTGAGTAGGGGAGGAAGGGTCTGGAGGATTAAAGGGAAAAGTGAGGGGGAGGGCGTCTGGAAGACTAAAGGGGAGAGTGAGGAGGGGCGGGGTCTGGAGGACTAAAGGGATAGAGTGAGGGGGAAGAAGGGTGGGGTCTGGAGGACTAAAGGGGAGAGTGAGGGGGGAAGAAGGGTGGGGTCTGGAGGACTGAAGGAGAACGTGAGGGGAAAGAAGGGTGGGTCTTTAGGACTAAAGGGGAGAGTGAGGGGGAATAAGGGCGGGGTCTGGAGGACTAAAGGGGAGAGAGGGGGGGAAGAAGGGTGGGGTCTGGAGGACTAAAGGGGAGGGGGGGAAGGGTGGGGTCTGGAGGACTAAAGGGGAGAGGGGGGAAAGAAGGGTGGGGTCTGGAGGACTAAAGGGGAGAGTGGGGAGGGATGGGTTCTCGAGGACAAGGGGAAGAGTCAGAAAGGGAAGAAGGGTCTGGAGGAGTAAAGGGAAAATTGAGGAGGGGGTGTTTGGAAGACTAAAGGGAAGAGTGAGGGTGGAGGGCGTCTGGAGGACTTAAAGGGAAGAGTGGGGGGGGGGGGGGTCAGGAGGATTAAAGGGAAGAGTGAGGAGGGATGGGTTCTGGAGGACTTAAGGGGAGAGTGAGGAAGGAGGGCATCTGAAGGACTAAAGGGGGAAAGTGAGTAGGGGGCATCTGGAGGACTAACGGGGAGAGTGAGGGTGGAGGGTGTCTGGAGGACTTAAGGGAAGAATGGGGGGGGAGGGTTCGGGAGGACCAAAGGGGAGAGTGAAGAGGGAGGAGGGGTGAGGTTTGGAAAACTAAAGGGGAGCGTGAGGGGGGAAGGAAGAGTGGGATCTGGAGAGGACTAAAGGGGAGAGTCAAAAGGGGAGGAAGGGTCTGGAGAACTAAAGGGGAGAGTGGGGGGTCTGGCGGACTAAAAGTGAGAATGAGGGGGTCTGGAGGACTAAAGGGGAGAGTCAGAAGGGAGGAAGGGTCTGGAGGACTAAAGGGGAGAGTGAGCATGGAGAGGCGGGCTCTGGAAGACTAAAGGGAAGAGTGAGGAGGATGGAGGTCTGAAGGCCTAAAGGGGAATGTGAAGGAGGCGGAAAGACGGGGTCTGGGGGTATTGATACTTTCTCTGGGGGTCACTCAGACTAAAGTTCTGCTACTCAAGCTCAGTTCTTGTTCAGTTCTGAGATTTTTTTACATAATCAAAATCATAAAAAAACTGATTTAGCTGGAACTACAACAAGAGCCTGATTTACACTTTTTAACAAATCTGTCATGTATAAAATTACAGTCACAATTTATATAGCAAGAGCCAACAGTTTTTCAATTTGTCACTTAAAATGAGTATTTAGTTCTATTTTAAGAAAAACACAAACACTCTGCAGCTTCTTAAGTTCTGTTGTTTTTAAATATCAGATTCAAATCAAGTATTATTCCAGTGAAACCTGAGCCAATATAAATACACAGTTTGTTTTTATTGCACATTCCTTATTTTTATCTCACTCTCCTGTTCCCGTAAAGGATTTCCTGTGTACAGATCTTTACTTGTCCGGGTTCAATCATGTTTTCTGGTCCCGGTTCAGTCCCGGTTTGTTTTAATCCCTCTGATCTCTCGATGTTGTCCAACAAACCCCAAACTTTCACTTTTACCCTCCCCTCCAGCTACAACTCCTCACAGCGACCTGGTCTGATCTCTGGAGGTTCTGATCTGACGTGTTCAGTCTTGCTTAAAACTGGGATCTCGTCCAGATTATACAAGAAAATCCACCTCTGATCCAACTTTCACTTCACTGTCCAGCTGCAGCTCATCACAGAGTCCTGGCTCGGTTCTGCAGATAAACGTGTGACTTTACTGTGAGCGGGCTCGCATCTCCACAAGCCTGACTCGTACTTAACCTTTTTGCAGGGCCTTGTCGTGTTTGTTGCCATGGAAATGTTGTTCTTTTGGCTATAATATTCCACAGTATGTCATTAAACACATCTGTCTCTGTGGAGAATGTTCAGAATATTCAGCAAAGGTAAAATAAAAATCAACTACTGTCGCTTTTTCAATGTTAAATGTAAAAAAAAAGTTAAATACTCGTCTCCACATGTTCCACGTAATCAGAGTACAAATGATGAGTAACTGTATTCAGTTACAGTTACTGTTTCAGTGAGTGGTAATTGGATTACAGTTACTTTGTTGAAATAAATGGATTACATGGTGGGATTTTCCTGTTTTCACATTTTGGGCTAAACCAGAACTAAAACCAGGATTAAACCAGAACTAAAACCAGGATTAAACCAGGACTAAACCAGGACTAAAACCAGGATTAAACCAGGACTAAACCAGGACTAAACCAGGACTAAACCAGGACTAAACCAGAACTAAAACCAGGATTAAACCAGGACTAAATCAGGACTAAACCAGGACTAAAACCAGGACTAAAACAGGACTAAACTAGGACTAAAACCAGGCCAAAACCAGGTCTAAACCAGGACTAAACAAGGACTAAAACCAGGACTAAACCAGGACTAAAACAGGACTAAACCAGGACTAAAACAGGACTAAACCAGGACTAAACTAGGACTAAAACCAGGACTAAACCAGGGCTAACATCAGGACTAAACCAGTACTAAGCTCCACATGTTACAGTTCAATACTAAAGAACTTAAAAGCACAAAGTGTCTTTTCTAACCACAAACCGCAGGGGTCCACACTACTGCCCTCAACAGAATTCAGATGGAGGCAGGAAGTGTTTTGCTTCGCTTCAAAACAGCTCGATCTGTGACAGCGAGTAGGCTCAAAGTTTGAACGGGCCGGCACAGACCCGCTATCGCCAAATATAGGTCTAAATATACATTATGACACGTACGATCTGGAGAAGTCTGGATGATTTTCTCGGTGCTGAGGCGAGGGATATAATAAATGAACCGGTGCTGCAGACCTCGTTTTACACTGAGCCAAATGAAGCCTTTAAAATCCTGGAGCCCACAACTATTTAGAATTAAAATCACCCGCTCCACTAGGATAATCTAAAATAAGGTACTTCACAAGAGGATGAACCAACACAGACGAGAGAGCAGCAGTGGACCTCAGTCTGCTGTACATCTCCACTTAAAAGCCACGGGCCGCTCATTTGAGGACAACGAGGTACAGATTTTAGCCAGAGAGAAAAATTGTTTTGAGTGGGGAGTGAAAGAAGACATTTTTGTTAAGAAAGAGAATCCTTCTCTAAACAGAAATGGAGGACTCAGACACCAACTATCTCCTATTTACAACTCCATCCTCAAACCTAAAACAAAACAAACAAGAGAACAACAGATATAGGCGAGTTTCAGCTGACGTCATTGTTAGTAAAAGCCTGCGTTGCATGCTGGGAAATATTTTGGTCGGAGGCAAGAAGCACTGTAGCGGTCAAACACAGTGCGTAACCTCGCGTATTTATCCCCATCCATCCATCCATCCATTTTCGTCCGCTTATCCGGGGTCGGGTCGCGGGGGGAGCAGCCTAAGCAGGGACTCCCAGACTTCCTTCACCCCAGACACGTCCTCCAGCTCCTCCAGGGGGACCCCAAGGCGTTCCCAGGCCAGCCGAGAGACATAGTCCCTCCAGCGTGTCCTGGGTCTTCCCCGGGGCCTCCTCTCCCGGCGGGACATGCCCGGAACACCTCCCGAGGGAGGCGCCCAGGAGGCATCCGGAACAGATGCCCGAGCCACCTCAACTGGCTCCTCTCGACGTGGAGGAGCAGCGGCTCTACTCCGAGCTCCTCCCGTGTGACTGAGCTCCTCACCCTGTCTCTAAGGGAGCGCCCAGCCACCCTGCGGAGGAAACTCATTTCGAGCGCTTGTATCCGCGATCTCGTCCTTTCGGTCACTACCCAGAGCTCATGACCATAGGTGAGAGTAGGAACGAAGACTGACCGGTAAATCGAGAGCTTCGCCTTTCGACTCAGCTCCCTCTTCACCACAACGGTCCGATACAGCGACCGCATCACTGCCGAAGCTGCACCGATCCGCCTGTCAATCTCACGTTCCGTCCTTCCCTCACTCGTGAACAAGACCCCGAGATACTTGAACTCCTCCACTTGAGGCAAAGACTCCCCACCCACCCGGAGAGGGCAAGCCACCTTTTTCCGGTCGAGAACCATGGCCTCAGACTTGGAAGAGCTGATCTTCATCCCAGCCGCTTCACACTCGGCTGCAAACCGCCCCAGTGCACATTGCAGGTCCTGGTTCGATGAAGCCAACAGGACAACATCGTCCGCAAACAGCAGAGATGAAATCCTGTGGTCCCCAAACCGGACCCCCTCCGGCCCCTGACTGCACCTAGAAATTCTGTCCATAAATACAATGAACAGAACCGGTGACAAAGGGCAGCCCTGGCGGAGTCCAACATGCACCGGGAACAGGTCTGACTTACTGCCGGCAACGAACACAGCTCCTGCTCCGGTCATACAGGGACCGGACAGCCCTTAGCAAAGGGCCCCGGACCCCATTCTCCCAGAGCACCCCCCACAGGACACCACGAGGGACACGGTCGAATGCCTTCTCCAAGTCCACAAAGCACATGTGGACTGGTTGGGCAAACTCCCATGAACCCTCGAGCACCCTATGGAGAGTGTAGAGCTGGTCCAGTGTTCCACGGCCAGGACGAAAACCACACTGCTCCTCCTGAATCCGAGGTTCGACTATTGGTGGGACCACCACCCCGGTTTGCCAGTCCAGAGGTACTGTCCCCGACCGCCACGCGATGTTGAAGAGGCGTGTCAGCCAAGACAGCCCCACAACATCCAGAGACTTCAGGTACTCAGGACGGATCTCATCCAACCCCGAACTCCTCCCAGCTCCGAGTTTTTGCCTCCGCGACCACACGGGCTGTATTTATCCCCGATAATGGTAAATTCCTGCTGCATTATCGGATGCACAAATAGAAGCACGGAAGAAGGAAAATGTCTTTTTCGTATTCTGAGTGAAAAGAACCACTAATGGTGAATTAAATGGATTTCAAACATTCACAGAGCAAACGTAGAAGATCCTAACAAACCGTGGACTCCAACAAGTTCAACAACACATCGAGACTCTTGGAGGTTTTCATCTTTTCTGCTGTGAATGGCCCAGGAGTTTCCACCAAGTCATTGTGGATATCGCCCAAGTGAATATTTGTCCAGGTAGTTGGTGATTCTGACCAGAAATTTAGTTTGGTCCACCTTTTGTAGGGACTGAAAAGGGTGATTTGTCTCCGTCGATGCTTATAACCAATTTCTGGTCAAATCGTCTTCAGTCCTCTGCTGTTACAGTGGATAAATAACCGGGATCAATACCCTTTACGAGCTTTCTCACTCCATCCGTCATGTTAAATTAGTGTTTCTTGCCGCCGACCAAAATAATTCCCAGCATGCAACACGCGCTTTTATCAACAATGAAACTCGCCGAAAAGGAAGTGTCCACCAGCGTCTGACCAGAACTGAAGAAGCAGCTTGGACAAGCTGCGAAACGTCTTCAACCAAACTAACTTTTGTCCAGTCCACAAACTGAATTTTCTCCACTCCATAAAATAAGGAATAAAAAAGGTATAAAATATCAAATTACAGCAGTAAGCTCGTAAAATTAGCACCACATAAATCTTTTTGCGTGACAAGTCAGGACCTATAATGCAACAGTTTAACCATCACTTTCGATGCTCTTTTTTCAAAATAATTGTCCAAAAAAAACCCTGAAATTATACTGTCCTTACTGGTTACAAAGTGGTCGCTGCAAACTCTAGCATCGTATGTTTCCGTGCCTCCTGTTTTGCCAATCAACTTTTTTCTTAAAACGTACTCCCTTGTGACACACCACTTTCAGTACACAAAAAAATGTTTGTCTTTCTCCCGATCAGAGCGGCTGCTGCAACCGTAAACGGCATTTTGGCGCTCAGTCAGCAGAGATAAACGGGGCTCTGTGCATCTGTCTTTACTTCCTAACCCCCGTCTGCTTTTGTTGACGTTGACGTAACATCGTCTGAAATCAGCAGCTGCAGATAAACTCAGGTCAGGTTTTAATAACATAGACCAGCGGACTGAACTGTGCTTGGATTGGACCTCACAGCCGCAACTGACATGGTGGACCACACAGTACTACTGGGGACATTTTTTCCACCACCCCCTCCGGGTCTCCTCAAGTTCTGGCTCCCCTCCTCCCTGTGAGGTAGGTGCACTTATGTGGAGTATCGCGGCTGCTGTTCAAAGGAAACACAAGGTCAGACAGGGAGTCCCACAAGGAGGAGTGCTGTCTCTCACTCTTTTCAATCTCTACAGGTCATCACTTCCAGCACCAACACCAAGGCTAGACCAGAAACTGATGACATTACCATCCTGTTGCTGAAGAAGAAAAATTCCATGTTCATATCTGGTTTGCTGTAGTGGTGTCTTTATTGGTTGGAAGTTCTATGTTGTAAGCAGGCGCATGGTGTTTGTGGAACAAGCTGACCATGAGCAAAGGTTCAGCAAGCATTTATACACAAGGAGGTGGGTAAAGTCTGCAGATTAACATTTGGAGGAATTTCACAGCAATAAAAAAGCACCTTCATAAACCCTCTTTTGGTAAAACAGTGGTCAGTGTTTCAAAAGATCAGCATTTCAAGTACAGCTGAGATCAGGAAGGAGAGCAGCAGCAGCAGCAGCAGGGGCAAGAGGTGAAGACTCCAGAGGCCTTTCATGGTGTCATGGATCAAGTCTTTAAGTGTAAAACACATCATATGTATTCATTAACCAGACTGAAAACTAAAACCACAGAATAATTACTTTTCTTCCACACTGTCATCAGGAACAAAGACCGTGTGCAGTAACATCAACATCCACATCAGCACGCTGCAGACGCGACTGAAGGAGAGAAACCTGAGTCTATCCGAGGAAAAATCCTCTGTTGCTCTTTTCAACCTGGAAAGCAGAATTTAGGAGCCAACTACCAGTGACTATAGTTTATAAAAATATACCCACAGCTCAGGAAGTGTGACTTTGATCAATCTTTGACATTTTCAAAGCACTGTAATTAGGGGTGGGTGAGATCTCGATATTTTAAATATATCGAGATATTTTTAAAACTCGATATGGATTCTGACATATCGTATATATCGATATAAGGTTTATATTAAATTCTGATTTCACCGCTTCGCTTGTTTGCCTTCTCTGTCGTTGCCACTGCGCGCTCCGGCCTCTGACTCTGCTCGTTTGTGTCTCATTCACTCGTCACTACTGCTGTAAATGCCAAAAGTTGGTGCCGGTGAAAAGCTTCTGGCACAAAGAACCTTTTCCATCATTTACAGACAAAACCATCAGCAGCACATCCTCATATTCCACCGAGTCGTGTCCTTTAGTCCGAAAGAAATTAAACTAAGTGCGCTGTTAATGCCATGCGCTTTTTGTTTCTGTAAAACAAACGTGCGCAAATCTGCATTAAACACATTATAATGTCAAACGGGCTGATGTGGCTCTAGAGTCATTATGGTTTATATGTTATAAAGTTTAGTAATGTAAAGTTTATTTATGCAGATTTTAATTAATAATGTGTAACTTGAGTTGTTTTATTTATGAATGAAAAGAAAGAAATATGTTTTATTTCTTTTATTTTACAGTTAAATTCTTATTTATGTAATATGGGATTTTTATCATCTTAAATGTAGCAGAAGCTCTTTGCTCCTACATGAACTGCCGACCTCTTGCACTTCAGTAAAAAAAGAACTTGTGGAATTTGGCAGATTTATTTCTGCAGGAGTTTTGGGGGGGTTATTTTTCTTGAACACATATCAAGATACAGTATATATCATATAGAGATATAAAAAAAAAAAAATCGAGATATATTTTTTGCTCCATATCGCCCAGCTGTAATTGTAATTACAGTGCGATTAAAATAGGTGAGCAAAACAACATCCTAAAAAAACATGCTGGTACCTCGTTTGGATGCTCAAGGGGATGTGCTCCTCCCAAAACACAAAACCATTGGTGCCAAAGCTCAATTATGCCAAACCAGGATCACAAACTCATCCCACACCCACAGTTTGGAGAGGGAGTCTCCAAATTAAACAAAATGCCGAGATAAACACAGGTTCTAGTTCTGGTTCTGACCCAGACTCAGCTCGGAGTCATGTCCTGGACTCACCTCTGGGGGCAGCTCTCGGGGGAAGAACAGGATGGGCAGCGCCGTCAGAAACAGCAAACAAGACGCCAACAGGAAACCGAGCCACCACGCCCCGACCCACCGGAGGTCCCCGGGCTCCATACGGACCTGGTCTGAGAGGGACCGGGTTAGACCGAGTTAAGTCCTGGTTCAGTCCTGGTTCATTCCTGGTTTAGTCCTAGTTTAGTCTTGGTTCAGTCCTGGTTCAGTCCTGGTTCAGTCCTGGTTCAGACCTTTGGAGACGGTGTTGAAGTCCACAAAGATCCGGAGTGTGAAGGCGCTGGTCATGAAGCCGAAGGCCGGACCGATGGAGGTGACGGCCAGAAGGATCCCTGAAGACCAGAACCAGAACCATCAGAACCACATGAGACTGGGAACTACCAGAGACCCAGGACCTGAGATCCAGGACCAGAGATCCAGGACCCGAGACACAGGACCCAAGACGCAGGACCAGAGACCCAGGACCTGAGATCCAGGACCCAGGACCAGAGACCCAGGACCAGAGACCCAGGACCCGAGACCCAGGACCAGAGACCCAGGACCCGAGATCCAGGACCAGAGACCCAGGACCTGAGACCCAGGACCCGAGATCCAGGACCCGAGACCCAGGACCAGAGACCCAGGACCAGAGACCCAGGACCTGAGCGCCCACACCGGTTTGTCAGGGGGAGGAGCTTAGCGACATCAGTCTTGTTTACAGGACGTTTGGAATGCAGCGGACCAGAACCAGGAGTCTTGGTTGAGTTCTGCTCCAGACATGTTCACTCATGTTTGGCGGGAAAACATCAACAGGAGCTAAACTGGTTTAGATCCAGATTGTGATCCAGATTATTTTGATCTGATTCAGGTCACAGTGACATGAGTGATTCACAAACAAACAAGTCCCAACGACAAACCCCACAGGTCTAAGCCCAGATCCTGGATCAGGACCTCACAGGGAGAACACGCAAACTTCACCTGAACCTAGCAAGGTCTTACTGTGCCATTAGACCTGGTTTAGTCCTGGTTTAGACCTGGCTTAGTCCTGGTTTAGATCTGTTTTAGACCTGGTTTAGACCTGGTTTAGACCTGGCTTAGTCCTGGTTTAGATCTGTTTTAGACCTGGTTTAGACCTGGTTTAGTCCTGGTTTAGACCTGGTTTAGACCTGGTTTAGACCTGGTTTAGACCTGATTTAGACCTGGTTTAGGTTTGTTTTAGACCTGGTTTAGACCTGGTTTAGGTTTGTTTTAGACCTGGTTTAGACCTGGTTTAGATCTAGTTTGGACCTAGTATTTTAGTCTTATGACAACACTAACCTGTATGAATGCCATACAGTGGAACATTCAAACAAAGCTGTAACGTCTCCATGGAGACGAGCAGATGATTCCTTCACTAACATGACCTGAAGGTTCCACAGTGCGGCTTTAGAGTCACAGTTACATAAAGTCTTTGTGTCGTACCGAGGTAGAGAGGCGAGTTGCGTTTGCTGGCGTAGTCGTCGATGTAGGAAATGCCAAACGGCTGGATGGGCACCGCCCCGATGCCCAGGAGCAGTTGCCCTAGCAACAGCAGCGGGTACGCGCCCTCGTGCCCGCTGCCCTCACGCTCCGCACAGCCCGGGTCAGATCCCACTGACCCATTCACCCGGCACAGGCTCGAGCGGTTACCCTGAGCTGAAGGACAGGCAGGGATAAACCAGGGTTAGTCCAGGGTTAGTCCTGGTTTAGTTCTAGTTCAGTCTTGGTTCAGTTGTGACTAAGTCTTGGTTTAATCCTGGTTTAATCCTGGTTCAGTCCTGGTTTAGTTCTGGTTTAGTCCTGGTAAAGTCCTGTGCAGTACTGTAGTAATAATAGTAGTAGCAGTACTCATCTCTGTTCTGGTTCCTGTAACTGCAGTTGTAGTAGCAGTGGTAGTAGCAGTACTTCAGTAGTACTCGCCTGTGTCCTGGTCCATGTAGTCGTAGTAGTAGTATTGCAGTAGTACTGCAGTAGTACTCGCGTGTGTCCTGGTCCATGTACTCGTAGTAGTAGTAGTATTGCAGTAGTACTGCAGTAGTACTCGCGTGTGTCCGTGTCCATGTACTCATAGTAGTAGTAGTAGTATTGCAGTAGTATTGCAGTAGTACTCGCGTGTGTCCTGGTCCATGTACTCGTAGTAGTAGTAGTATTGCAGTAGTACTGCAGTAGTACTCGCCTGTGTCCTGGTCCCTGTACTCGTAGTAGTAGTAGTATTGCAGTAGTACTGCAGTAGTACTTGCCTGTGTCCTGGTCCGTGTACTCATAGGGTCCGTACAGGAAGTGGGGCGCGGTCATGAGCAGTGCGGCGGCTGCGGCTAAACTCGCTCCTCCGGCGATGAACCTCGGCCGATGAACACGACTGCCCCAAAAACTCACGAAGACGATCAGAAGAGTGTTACCCACCTGAAACAGACCCAGGTTAGACCGAGACCGGGACTAGACCTGAAACAGACCCAGGTTAGACCGAGACCGGGACTAGACCTGAAACAGACCCAGGTTAGACCGAGACCGGGACTAGACCTGAAACAGACCCAGGTTAGACCGAGACCGGGACTAGACCAAGTTTATACTGAATTTAGTCTGAGTTTAGACCGAGATTAGACCGAGTTTAGACCGAGATTAGACCGAGTTTAGACCGAAATTAGACCAAGATTAGACCGAGATTAGAGAATCCACCATCCAAATTTGAGACAGTCCAACCACGTCTCTCAAATGTGGAAGACGTCTCCTCTCCAAAATTCTCACTCAAAAAACTCAAAATTGTCCTAGAGCAGGGCCTGCACCTGTTTGTTCCAGGACAATGATGTTATTTTGCCTGGAATGTTCCACACTACGGCATTAATCTTACCCGTATCCTTTCTTAGTGATTGTATTTATTTTGTTCTAAACGGTGCACGCGGCTCTCTGATTGGTTAATCCGCCTGTCAATCACGTCCTCTGGAATCAGGGAGACGGGACACGGCTCCAGATCCACTCGTCTTTGTAAAGTTTCGTCACAGCGTGTGGTTCTGACCGGACTGGTGAGGTTTACACTGGAGCTGGGAATCATGCAGAAGTTGCCGATACGATACATACTTCGATACAGAGAGCTTACGATTTGATACGATATATTTCAAATCGATTTGATACAGTTAAAAAGAAAAAAAAGGCTAATTAAATTTGTGTCAAACGATCTCAAACTCATAATCGAGTTGAAACGAAAGCTTAAGAAAGTTTATTTTGGGATATTTTATATCTAAATAAATATATTTATTTTATTTTTAAATACAGAGGTTGTAGAACAGCTGGATATATACTTTATTTTGGATGCATTTAAGTTTTTTCGTCTTATTTCATGTTTAAAGTTTATTTTATTAATTTTATGTTTTATATGTCGCAAAACTGCTCTAAGGTTCAGATTTGTCGCCGATATTTATTTTCAATTTGAAAGTTTTGTGTAAATGATCAATAAAGTGTTTTTTTTTTGAGAGAAATGCTGAATAAAAGCCTCGTGTAACAAAAAAAATAATCATTTGAATAGTCGTGATTTCAGTATCGACCAAAATACTTGTGATAATGATTTTTTTCCATAATCGAGCAGCTCTAATATAAAACACAAACATTTTAATCATCAAAACAGTGAAAATGTCAAATGTGTCGCATAAAAAAGTTTTCTTCCTCTAAACAAACAACAAAACTGTAGCACTGTGACAAAATAATGTAGTAAAATAAACCAAAATACTCTTGGAGATATATCGATACAACAGCCCACGATATCGATACTGTATCATCACATTAAACGATACAATATATTGATATTTCAATATTTTTGCACGCTCCTGGTTTAGACCGCGGTTTGGACCTGCAAGAGACCACGGCAAGACCCTGTATAGACCAGGACCGGGGACAGACCAAGTCCAGTCCTTTTTCAGTCCTGCTCCGGTCCCAGTTCATCCCAAGTCTTGGTTCTGGTTAGAGGTGTGCAAAAATATTCAAATATCAATATATCGTATCGTTTAATGTGATGATACAGTATTGGTATCGTGGGCTGCTGCGTCGATATATCTCCAAGAGTATTTTTTGGTTTATTTTACTGAATTATTTTGTGAAAAAGATAAAATTGTGTTGCTTTTTTTGAAGAAAGGAAACTTATGCAAAACATGTTCACAGTTTTAATAAAAAGTTAAATGAGTAAAAAAAAATTTTTAACTTTGCATAAACTTAGTGGTTTAATAAAAACTTTTAGAATCACATTTAGTACAGTACAGAACCAGTTTGAAATATCTCATATCAAATTGTATCAAAGCAAAAGTGTGATGTATCGAGGGATGTATCGTATCGACAACTTCTTAATGATACCCAGCCCTAGTTCTGGTCCAGTCCTGGTCCTGCTGAAGTCCCGGTCTCAGTCCCTGTCTCAGTCTTGGTCTGAGTCCCGGTCTCAGTCCCGGTCTCAGTCCTGATCCTGCTGAAGTCCAGGTCCTGCTGAAGTCCAGGTCCTGCCGAAGCCCTGGTCCTGCCAAAGTCCAGGTCCTGCTGAAGCCCTGGTCTCAGTCCCGGTCTCAGTCTTGGTCTCAGTCTCGGTCCAAGTTTCGGTCCCAGTCTCAGTCTCGATCTCAGTCTCTGTCCCGTTCTCAGTCCCAGCGTCAGTCCTGGTCTCGATCCCGGTCTCAGTCCCGGTCTGAGTCTGAGTCTGGGTCTGGGTCTGGGTCCTGACCTCGTTGAAGGAGGCGAGCAGCCCGGCTCTCTGGCTGGACAGACCGTAGCGCCTCTCGATGGTGGAGATGGAGCTCTTCATGTAACCGGAGATGAGGAGCTGAGCGAGCTGCAGCGCGCTGTGACACAGCACGAAGAACTGACCGAGACAAAGACAAGACAAGAAGATTATTATTACAAACGCAGGAAATAAAGGGTCAAAATTATGTTAAAACTGCAAAACAAGGAGTTAAAGAGGAGATATTTTAGTTTTGTGGCATAAACTTCAACACATCATCATAAATCTTCATGTTAGTTTTTATTGTTTTGAAAATGTTACATTCATTTTCGTTTTGATTGTCCCTAAAGTCCTGCACCAGGTCTAAACCAGGACTAAACCAGGTCTAAACCAGGTCTAAACCAGGACTAAACTCGGACTAAACCAGGTCAACACCAGGACTACACCAGGACTACACCAGGACTAAATGAGGTCTAAACCAGGACTAATCCAGGTCAACACCAGGACTAAACTCGGACTAAACCAGGTCAACACCAGGACTACACCAGGACTAAATGAGGGCTAAACCAGGACTAATCCAGGACGAAACCGGAACTACACCAAGATTAAACCAGGACTAAACCAGGACTAAACCAGGACTAAACCAGGACTAAACCAGGATGAAACCAGGACAAAACCAGGACTAAACCAGGACTAAACCAGGACGAAACCGGGACTACACCAGGTCTAAACCAGGACTACACCAGGACTAAACCTGGACTAAACCAAGTCTAAATCAGGACTAAACCAGCACTAAACCAGGTCTAAACCAGGTCTAAACCAGGACTAATCCAGGACTAAACCAGGACTAAACTCGGACTAAACCAGTCAACACCAGGACTAAACCAGGACGAAACCAGGACGAAACCAGGACTAAACCAGGACTAAACCAGGACGAAACCAGGACGAAACCGGGACTACACCAGGTCTAAACCGGGACTACACCAAGATTAAACCAGGACTAAACCAGGACTAAACCTGGACTAAACCAGGTCTAAATCAGGACTAAACCAGAATTAAACCAGGACTAAACCAGGAATAAACCAGGTCTAAATCAGGACTAAACCAGGACTAAACCAGGTCTAAACCAGGTCTAAACCAGGACTAATCCAGGACTAAACCAGGACGAAACCAGGTCTAAATCAGGACTAAACCAGGACTAAACCAGGTCTAAATCAGGACTAAACCAGGTCTAAACCAGGTCTAAACCAGGATTAAACCAGGTCTAAATCAGGACTAAAAATGGACCCGTACAGGACTCTAATACTCGCTCCCTTCAGAGCACTGTCCTGACATAATAAACGAACGAAACTCCTGCACATCGACTCAGGTCTGTGAAGTCGTAGTGAACAGTTTTGTGTCGTGTGTTTGGCCAAAGGGCACAGAGTCAGACCTTGATGCTCCTGAAGAGGCTCCGCGGCGCAGTGTTCACAACGGCCATCTCTGATCCAGACGCTTATGGCATCACAGCCCTGAGGAGAGAGGGAGTACTCGAGTAAACACTAAAGAACGAGACAGAGAGAGGGAGTACTCGAGTAAACACTAAAGAAAGAGACAGAGAGAGGGAGTACTCGAGTAAACACTAAAGAACGAGACAGAGAGAGGGAGTACTCGAGTAAACACTAAAGAACGAGACAGAGAGAGGGAAACGAGTAAAAACTAGAGAGAACTCGAGTAAAACAGAGACAGAGAGGGAGTACTCGAGTAAAACAGAGAGAGGGACTCGAGTAAAACTAAAGACAGAGAGAGGGAGTACTCGAGTAAAAACTAAAGAGATAGAGAGGGAGTACTCGAGTAAAACTAAAGACAGAGAGAGGGAAACTCGAGTAAAAACTAAAGACAGAGAGAGGGAGTACTCGAGTAAAAACTAAAGAGACTAGAGAGAGGGAGTACTCGAGTAAAAACTAAAGAGATAGAGAGAGGAGTACTCGAGTAAAAACTAAAGAGATAGAGAGGGAATACTCGAGTAAAAACTAAAGACAGAGAGAGGGAGTACTCGAGTAAAAACTAAAGAGAGAGAAACTCGAGTAAAAACTAAAGACAGAGAAGAGGGAGTACTCGAGTAAAAACTAAAGAGAGAGAGGGAGTACTCGAGTAAAACTAAAGAGAGAGAGGGAGTACTCGAGTAAAAACTAAAGACAGAGAGAGGAGTACGAGTAAAACAGAGAGAGGGAATACTCGAGTAAAAACTAAAGACAGAGAGAGGGAGTACTCGAGTAAAAACTAAAAAGAGACAGAGAGAGGAGTACTCGAGTAAACACTAAAGAACGAGACAGAGAGAGGGAGTACTCGAGTAAAAACTAAAAGACAGAGAGAGGGAGTACTCGAGTAAAACTAACGAGACAGAGAGAGGGAGTACTCGAGTAAAAACTAAAGAACAGAGAGAGGGAGTACTCGAGTAAAACTAAAGAAGAGAGGGAGTACTCGAGTAAAACAAAGAGAGAGAGGAGTACTCGAGTAAAAACTAAAGAGAGAGAGGAGTACTCGAGTAAAACTAAAGACAGAGAGAGGGAGTACTCGAGTAAAAACTAAAGAGATACGAGAGAGGGAGTACTCGAGTAAAAACTAAAGAGATAGAGAGAGAGTACTCGAGTAAAAAACTAAAGAGATAGAGAGGGAATACTCGAGTAAAAACTAAAGAACAGAGAGAGGGAATACTCGAGTAAAAACTAAAGAGACAGAGAGAGGGAGTACTCGAGTAAAAAACTAAAGAGATAGAGAGGGAGTACTCGAGTAAAAAACTAAAGACCAGAGAGAGGAGTACTCGAGTAAAAACTAAAGACAGAGAGAGGGAATACTCGAGTAAAAACTAAAGACAGAGAGAGGGAGTACTCGAGTAAAAACTAAAGAGATAGAGAGGGAGTACTCGAGTAAAAACTAAAAGACAGAGAGAGGGAGTACTCGAGTAAAAACTAAAGAGATAGAGAGGGAATACTCGAGTAAAAACTAAAGACAGAGAGAGGGAATACTCGAGTAAAAACTAAAGACAGAGAGAGGGAGTACTCGAGTAAAAACTAAAGAGATAGAGAGGGAATACTCGAGTAAAAACTAAAGACAGAGAGAGGGAATACTCGAGTAAAAACTAAAGACAGAGAGAGGGAGTACTCGAGTAAAAACTAAAGCCAGAGAGGGGGAGTACTCGAGTAAAAACTAAAGCCAGAGAGAGGGAGTACTCGAGTAAAAACTAAAGACAGAGAGAGGGAATACTCGAGTAAAAACTAAAGCCAGAGAGAGGGAGTACTCGAGTAAAAACTAAAGCCAGAGAGAGGGAGTACTCGAGTAAAAACTAAAGCCAGAGAGAGGGAGTACTCGAGTAAAAACTAAAGCCAGAGAGAGAGGGAGTACTCGAGTAAAAAACTAAAGCCAGAGGAGAGGGAGTACTCGAGTAAAAACTAAAGCCAGAGAGAGGGAGTACTCGAGTAAAAACTAAAGCCAGAGAGAGGGAGTACTCGAGTAAAAACTAAAGCCAGAGAGAGGGAGTACTCGAGTAAAAACTAAAGCCAGAGAGAGGGAGTACTCGAGTAAAAACTAAAGCCAGAGAGAGGGAGTACTCGAGTAAAAACTAAAGCCAGAGAGGGAGTACTCGAGTAAAAAACTAAAGCCAGAGAGAGGGAGTACTCGAGTAAAAACTAAAGCCTGAGAGAGGGAGTACTCGAGTAAAAACTAAAGCCAGAGAGAGGGAGTACTCGAGTAAAAACTAAAGCCAGAGAGAGGGAGTACTCGAGTAAAAACTAAAGCCAGAGAGAGGGAGTACTCGAGTAAGTAAGTAAGTTTGATTTATTGAACACTTTTCACAGACATTTGTCACAGACGTGTTGTTCGTTCGCTCCAGACTCTGTGGTGTAAACTACTACTGTAGCCACAGCTGCCCTGGGGCAGATTGACTGAAACGTCGACCCCTCCGACCAGCACCAACACTCACACACACACCACTTTCATACTAGGCAATGTGGGTGAAGTGTCTTGCCTAAGGACACAACAACAGTTTTTATGACTGGCGCCTCCTGTGGCTCCTGATTTTCCCAGTGATTTTCCCGTCCAAATACAAACCAGACCCGGACCTGCTGAACTTCTGAGATCAGACACGATCTGACACGATCTGACACGATCTGACACGATCTGACACGATCTGACACGATCTGACACGATCTGACACGATCTGACACGATCTGACACGATCAGAGTTTGACGAGACGGTGTGGACACGAGGAAAAACAAAAAAGAAAGATAGAGACAGAGAAGAGACAGAGAGAGAAGATAGAGAGAGAGAGAGAGAGAGAGAGACAGAGAGAGAAGATAGAGAGACAGAGAGAGAAGAGAGAGAAGATAGAGACAGAGAGAGAAGATAGAGAGAGAGAGAGAGAGAAGAGAGAGACAGAGAGAGAAGATAGAGAGAGAAGATAGAGACAGATAGAGAGAGAGAGAGAAGAGAGAGAGAAGAGAGAGAGAGAGAGAAGATAGAGAGAGAAGATAGAGAGACAGAGAGAGAAGATAGAGAGAGAGAGAGAGATAGAGAGACAGAGAGAGAAGATAGAGAGAGAGAAGAGAGACAGAGAGAGAAGATAGAGAGACAGAGAGAGAGAGAGATAGAGAGAGAAGATAGAGAGAAGAGAAGAGAAGAGAGAGAAGATAGAAGAGAAGATAGAGAGATAGACAGAAGAGAGAGAGAGAGAGAGATAGAGAGAGAAGAGAGAGAGAGACAGAGAGAGAAGATAGAGAGACAGAGAGAGAAGATAGAGAGACAGAGAGAGAAGATAGAGAGACAGAGAGAGAAGATAGAGAGAGAAGATAGAGAAGAGAGAGAAGATAGAGAGACAGAGAGAGAAGAGAGAGACAGAGAGAGAAGATAGAGAGAGAAGATAGAGAGACACAGAAGAGAGACAGAGAGAGAAGATAGAGAGAGAAGATAGAGAGAGAAGATAGAGAGACAGAGAGAGAAGATAGAGAGAGAAGATAGAGAGAGAAGATAGAGAAGATAGAGAGAGACAGAGAGAGAGACAGAGAGAGAAGATAGAGAGAGAAGATAGAGAGACAGAGAGAGAAGATAGAGAGAGAGAGAGAGAGACAGAGAGAGAAGATAGAGAGAAGATAGAGAGAGAAGATAGAGAGAGAAGATAGAGAAGATAGAGAGAGAAGATAGAGAGAGAAGATAGAGAGACAGAGAAGAGACAGAGAGAGAAGAGAAGTAGATCCAGTTAAAGTGCTGATGCTGAGAGAGAGAGAATCGGGGTAAAAAAAAAACAGGGGACAGGGGAGAGTCACTTCCTGGACAAACGGAAATGAAACTAAACAAAGTCATTACTCGGAAAATGTTCCAGTGGTCCATTGTGTAACTTTTTCTGGTGAAGGGTCCATCAAACACTTTTCTCCAGTAAAATGTTATGGAAGGAAGTGACAGCACGATTAAAAGCTCTGAGAAGTCCAGTTTGCAGAACAGCTCCGCTTTAACTTTTGCTCTTATGACACATTTCTGCGAGGAAATACATTTTTACATTTACATGAAAAAGATTTAAATTACTTCTAAAGACCCATATGTATATATATGTATATATATATATATATATATATATATATATATATATGTACAGCCAGACCAGCTCGTCAAAGTCTGATCCCGTGGGGGGTGTAACCAGGCTGGTGCCACCTCGTTCCTCTGCTCAATTTCATTTCTCTCCAGCGACTCAGTCAGGAATCTGAATACACTAGACCAGAGGTGTTCACACTTTTTCAGCATGTGAGCTACTTTCAAAATGACTAAGTCAAAATGATCTGCCTAATACAAAGCCAAACAAACTGCACTGAAACACTCTGTGCCCCTTTTTTGGACCCTCCCCCACAGTTTGAGAACCTCTTCTTTAAGAGAACTTCCTCTGGCGCTTTACACAAAACTGTGAAAAAAGTGAAGGAAGATTTTTAAACCTTTTTAAAAGTTCCAAACTGGAGCTGCATTCTTTTCTGGTTTTGCAGTGATATTTACCAGCCTCTGCACGTTTACCAAACCAAACGCACATTGTGACAAAAACAGATGCATTTGTCACTTTTGTTAGACAAACTTCAGCCAAATGTGGCAGTAGGTCTGTTCTGTAGATCCGCTCTATGCTGTAGACCTGCTTTGTGCCGACACTGGAACACAAATTTAGACTGGTTTTTGCTTCACGTTTGGTCTTGCTCTTCTAATCAGCCGCACTGTGGGAGGGGCTTGTGTTCGCTGTACGCAGGAAGGAGCGAGAGCGTGAAAAGGCGAGGGGCGGCGTGCTGACGTGAGGCAGATGGACAGGTAGGATGTTTAGGAAGTTGAACCTGCCCTGTGATGCACGCTGGTACACGAGGGCACACGCTGTTCGCAGACGAGCCGTGCATAGGGAGCGTGTGTGTTTGTGATGCGCCGTAGAGGCTGCGGGTTTCAAATGAGCGCACAGGCTGCACTGAGACGCCCCACACGCTCTGGCACACCTGTACAAGTTTATTACCA